GTAGAGAGCTTCGAAGCCCTCCTCCTCGGTAGCCTTTCGGATACCCTTACCACCACCACCCTCAGAAGCCTTAATCATGACAGGGAAGCCAATCTCCTTGGCCCTCTCAAGACCCTCCTCCCACGATGACACGCATCCCTTAGCGTAAATATCATCGGCAACAGTGACGATGCCCTTGTCGTCAACAGCGACCTCGTCGACACCTGTTCCTGACCAAGGAATACAGGGCACTTCGGCGTGCTGTGCAACAATTGTGGAGGAAATCTTGTCACCCAGTGATCGCATGGCAGATCCAGGGGGTCCGATGAAGACAATCTTGTTGGGGGAAGCAGCCAGCGACTCTGGCAGCTTGGGGTTTTCTGAAGCGTGACCCCATCCAGCCCAGACAGCATGGACGTTCATACGCTCAGCAATGTCGACGATCAACTCGACGTTGGCATAGTTGTGGTTGTTGGTACCGCCGGGAACCTCGACGTAGTGGTCCGCCATTCGGATGTATTCTGCGTTGGCCTGCAGATCTTCGGGGGTAGCCATCACAGTGAAGTGAATGGCTCGCTCGTCGCCGAACGTCTCGTATGCCCATTTTCGGACTGATCGAATCTCCTTAACGGCAGCGATACCGTTGTTGGCAATGAGGACCTGCAGAGCAAAAGTTCTGTTAGTTAAGCAATTCCCAGATGCAAATGGCCAGCAATGGCGGGGTCCCAATTCCTTCCCCAATGCTGCCAAATTTTGTTGAATCTAGGTTTTCTTACGTTGGTGATGACAGTGTGACCATCATTTTGGCCGACAAAGTCCTTGACCTTGCTCGGAGGAGCATTCTCCAATCGGTTGCCGCCGATGAAGTGGTCTGCGATATTGTACTTCTCTGCATACGACTGCTTGCCATTGACATAGGGCACCGACCGCCCATTGGCACCCTCCTGGGCACCAGCTGAGATCTCAGTCATGGCTGCTGCGTTATGTGTAAAGAGAAGTAAAAAGGAGGAGAGGAGAGATTATGGAGGAGGAGGATAATCGGGGGGAGAAAGAAGTCGAAAAGTCGGGAATGAGGAGATTGATCAAAAGGTTGAATCGTGTCTCTCTCAGGTCGTCATGAGCCGTCCAGTCTAAAGTGGCGGGCGCGCAAGGGCAATCACGGCAGGGGTAGCTCCGGCCGAAGAAAAAAAGCAAGACGGATGCTGGGTCTGCTTGTTAGGTCGGCTGTTGGGGAGAAAAAAAAAAGTGTCCCAGGAGTGTGGTATAGGCGCTAAAAATACAGAAGGGTTTAAAGTGTAGCCAGAGGTAAAATTAAGATGGAGGAGATGGAGAGGGAAAGGAAGAACAGAGTCTGGCTGAGGAGGACCAGAAACTGATTATGTAGATAAGAACAAGATGTTAATCTTGATCTTCTTCCTATTGGACTGGACTTTAGAGGTGAGGAGAGGTAAAAAAGAGAGAAGAACTCTTGAAGAAAGCGAGAAGAAAGTTATGTGGGAGACGTTGAACCCAAGTACATAAAGGAAGCGATTGGAAGCTATCGATGTACAACGAGTAGTCTACAGTACCGCATGTGCACTGTACAAGGATGGAGACCAATTCAATGGATCTGCAAAATGCTCCCCACTCCATTTTCCCCTTGCGGGTTGTTGACCTGGTCCTGTTGACTGCTGTTGGCTGGTGGCAAGCCTAGCAAGTCCCTCTCGGCACCTGGCGGGGAAGAGAAACGTGGGAAAACTAGAACTGTTGGGAGACAAGCCCGCCCTGGGCGTAGACTGACCCCCTGGGGGCCCTGGGGTCATCCAGTGAAATGAAACCAGGCAGTTTAGTCTGCTATTTCCCCCAATGGAAAAAAATGATTTGATACACTGTACAGTTAAGCAGTGGAGTTGAGATTCAATTTCTTTTGCTCTTGTCGGCTTTGCAAAGACCCGGAATGCCCAGAGGAGGGGCACCCTTCAGGGTCCATTCTCATGACATGACATGGCATCCTTGGGAGATGAAGAGGTTGAGGGGCCGGTGTTTTTTTTGCTGCGGGTGAAGGTGGGGCCGTAAACCACAAGTACCTTTTTGATGTACCTATCACCACCACCACATTCATCATGACAGCCAAGCATAGCAAGGGAACAAACAGGGTCAACTATCTCCATTCCCAGCCAAGCCATGGCGACTCCGGGTCGATTGATGGGGTATGGGTAATGACACTGCATTTAGTAGTGCGCGCATTGGTCTGAACTTGAGGTGGTTGAGAAAGGCAGTTTCCATACGGAGACCGAACAAGACGCCGGAATCCGTATCGGAAGCCGGATGCTATCATGCTCAAGAGTGTTTGCTATAATTGGAGAAGCCATCATGACATCTAGGTTTGTTTGAGAACGGGTTTTACGAAGTAGATACTGTAAATAGTAAGCTGATTACGAGCTCGTAAGCTGATATCATAACTAGGAAAGTTACTTCTTCGCAGATCTAACAATGATCTTGAGTTCATCAACTGCTTTTAAGGGTGCTGAGCTGAGCTGTTGAAGCTCTGTATTATGTAGATTTCATCATCGTCGGAGATTTTCGGTGCGTAGCTGTAGATGCATGATGGTGGCTTACACATTCGGAACCCGACCACCAGCTTACCCATTAACACATATCACTACATATTACCATATATTACCATATTACCGTAACAGTTCAACTTCATATAAACCTACCAATCAACTAACAAACTTATTAATCTAGCTCCAGCGTCAACGGCATCTTCCTAACTCACAGTTATCCTACAACCCAACCGTTCAACCCTTCGTATCCAATCCCTCATATTACCAGCGACATCCCTCCCACCACAAGGCTGAACTGTCACTCAGATCTGGTGTACATACACACCCCTGTCCGTTATCGTTATCAATCCCAAAAAGCCACAGATGCAAGCCGCATGTTGAGAACCAGTCAGGCGTTGAGACCTGCCAACGCCAACTGAACTGACGTCTTCACTCTTTGACGTGACTTCCTGTGATCCGGTACCGTTGACCTGAGCTTTTGCCGAGCGGGAGCGAGATCGAGAAAGCACGGTGACCAGGGACAAGGGACTACGTATGTCTAAGTGATTACATGTCTGGTTCAAAAGTTCAACCTTTTTGGGTAGCAATCTTTAATTTCTTCTGAACCTAAGCATTGTCAATTCCATGGTTTTCTTCGGTGAGGCTGGGTATCTTTTAATGAGACTGGATACCTATAATCAATAGTCAATGGATCACTTCTTGAGCCTCATCTCATCTAAACCAAGACAGCCCAGCCCAGCCTAACCTCCACTTCCCTCGCCCAAGCAATACCCCTGTCTTGGCATCTCATCTCTAGACCTACCAATGCAGACTTATCTTCCCCAGCATCTTGAAGTTTACGTAGATCAAGAATGCATACGTACTGTACTGCTATCAGCCAAATCTCTCATAACAAAAGGCCAGTATTCCAGAACAAGATAGGTATAGATGATACAACATCTCAGATTCATCAATTCTTGACCGATGAAATGCCCCCCACTTCCCACTAGCGTCCTACCTTATTTCTTTCACACCCCCCTTCCTCTCAGAAAAAAAGGACCTCCTCCCCAATTGTTGAGTTCCCCAATCTTCCATCCAATTAGACAACTCATTTGTTTTTCGGGGTTGATCTCAGAGCCGCAGCCTCGCAGTCCGCGGATCCCCAACATTGTTCTCTTTTTTTCTTCCGTCTCGGAATGGCGGCATTGCAGGATGTCTGTCCCAGATCTAAGGATATGGTAATACCCGGAGCCGAAGCTCGGTGATACGTTCGATGTGTTGTGTTGAGTTCGGTCAAGCCCCGTGTCGTTGCTTGCGTGTTTTTGATATCGCCAGACTGTTATATCTTCTCATAGTAGGGGTTATTAACTGAGCGATAAAACAGATTCGCTTGCATAGGATTTGAGTGGTGGTTGCATCCGCTGCTCCTATCGGCTCAACACCTGGACATCCTCTCAACCGCATCTTGAACAATGGGTCTTAGACTTGGTTAACCGTCGTAAAGCTTGCAGACAATAGCATTAAAATTCGATTTCACATAGAGCCAAATTGGAAATCTTTGCAGACAAATGCCTGCGCACATCACACATCACTTCTGAAACTGTCATGAATTCAATCAGTATGTATTTGGCGTATCGAGACTAGGGCTTCATCTCCATACCCAGATCTCGAGCTAAGTTTGAGATACTATAATCTATGTATCGTACGCCTCCACAATCTGTGTTTACACGTCTTCCACTCCTTCTTTCTCCAACTCCAATGCACAAAGGGAAATATTTAATTCAAGTTATAGTAAGTCCAGGCCAGAGCTAGCCCTCGGGCCGCTGCCTCAGCCTTGTCAGACATCGTACGACTCCCCACTGATGTCCGCATGTCCGCCCTCCCCCCCGCGAGCAACCTTACTTCAGTAAGAAAAGAGTAGCCTCGCATCAATTCCTTCCCCAGTATTACCCGCTCCTTTTTGGCAAGCCGATTTTAGAAAAAAGAGACCATCCAAGCAGATCTGCCCGGTCGATGACTCGCTTTCGGAGCGGTACACCCCCGTCTATCCAGGCCCAGCCGGTATAGCTTTGTATGTATGTGATTCGGATATACACCTGGCCAGGCCCTGACTCTCTCTCTTTCTTCCCTTTCCCTCCCTTCTAGAAACACAAAAGAAAAAATGATAAATGCCATCCGTGTCTTCATAACTTCCGTAAACCCCGGTGCCGAAATCCCATGTACCCAAAGAAGCAGAAGTATTAGTAACAAAAGTCTGCCAGAGAGCAAGAAGTGGAATTCCGTAACCATCGTCAACACCGTCTTCGCCGTCTTGAAGCGCCAGCCGTAAAAGTATGCCGTACCGTCCAACCCATATGTATTGCAGAAACGGATATCAAATGTGAGGGTGAAATGCGACCAATTTGTGTGAACCGCTCGAACCGCTGTAAAGTAAATAAAATGATAGAAACACAGGTGATCTGAAAGAGTAGCAGAGCTATATGTGGGTTTGACTGCTTAGTATGTCTCTCCCAGATCGCTCAGTTGTTTCCTTGGAGGTCCGGATACGCTGGACCTCATAGCGTTGCTGATCCGTCGGCTGCCGCTTCGCCGACGGAGTGATGGCATGGGAATACCACTGCCTTCACTATTCTGGTTCGAGTATGTACCTCGGCGGCTTGGTGTTCGGAACTCGCCCTCGTCCTCTTCCTCTAGGTCAAGCTGGCTGATGCTGGCTGAGTGACCGTGGAATCCCATAGAGGAGCGAGATCGGCCCATGGGTGTTCGTGAGCCTGTGAGTGATGCACGTGAAATTGGTCGTGGGATGCCCTCGCCGGCAGCTCGAGAAGGTGGCCGAGCATACGACGTCATACTAGCACGTGAGCTTGGCCTGCTCATCTCATCCGGGCCTCCGCGGTTCGGCAACGGTCCAAATGATAGTCGGCTGACTCCAGACGTGCTAAGTCGAGGAACATGGCTTCCTTTGGACGTAGATGAGGGCATGGTAGGGGTAGGCTCGTCGCCTGCTACTGAAGATGCAGCGGAACCACTAGTGCGCTTGCGAGAACGGATCGTAACCGATGAAGGCATGGCGGTGGCGCTGTATACATTGGTCCGCGGTGAAGCTCGGGGAGGTGTGCGAGTCGGCCCGGGAAGCTTAGATCGCGCGGAGTGCACACGAGCCTCAAGTCGCTGCATTTGCGCCGTGAGAGTTCGGATGTGGGTAAGCGAGTTCGAGGTAGGAAGCTTGTTCGAAGCCGAGCGAGGTCCAACAGCACGCTGGGCAGGAGTGCGCATCGTGGTTTGGCCACCAGTCGAGATGCGGCTGCCAGGTGCGCGTTGCGCCGACGTAGCTGTAGGGGGCTTCGAACGAGGCTTGGGTGTGGTGCTGACGTCGGCTGAAGGCAGACGAGAGCGACTAACAGTTCTGCGGTGACCCTGTGCCCTTGAAGCTGCAACCTTGGGAAGAGGCGCAGAAACATCAGACATGGGAGGCGACGGTGGGTCAGGAAGCTCGGAAAGAGTATCGCCGTCCTCAGTCGGCACAGGCGACTTGGAATCGGGAGGTGTTGTGATGAGAGGAGAGCTGGCGGTAGAACCGGGAGAGGCTGGATGGCCGTCGAATGTCGGTGACGCAAGAACAGAGATGTCGGTCGAGATGGTTGACAAGTGTCGAGACTCCTGCTTCTTGATTTTGTCCTGAAGAAGCTCGGCTTCGATCTTGAGGTCGCCAAATTCTTCACGCAGACGCTGCGACTCGATACGTAGTTGTTCACGCTCCTGCTCAACAATCTTGATCTCCTCCTCCATCATAACAGCCCTCTCGATCGCTTGGTTGTACTTGGATTCCATGTCCTCCAATGATGACGTGGTGTTGCGCGCCTGTCGCTCAAAATCATCGTTGGCAACCTCGATATCCCTCAGCTTCAATTGCAAAGTTCGGTTGGTATCTCGAAGGGTTGTGATTTCTTTCTCGAGCGCATTCTGGGATGCGCTAGCCTCGGACTTTGATTCCCTATATTTTCTCTGTGCGACGAAAAAGAAGCGGTTGAGTCAGCCAAAATGTCCATCGGACCAGAGTTGACATCTGTGTCTGAGGTTGTGGTGAGTCAACATACCTTCCACTCTTCCACTTCATACCCCAAAGCCTCGGCCTTTTCTTGATGGTAACGTTCTTGCTTCTCTGCTCTCTCGATATCCTTCTCCAACTCTTGCTCTAGTTCTCTGCTTGAGTCTCTGAATTCGGCGAGTTCGCTCTCTAGTTGTTCGTATTGCGACTTGTACCAGCCAAGAGTATCCTCGACGGTGGCACTAGGGCCTGGCGGAGAGGATGGAGGCTCAGAAGCCATGCTGGGCGGTAAATAAGTTATCTTGTTGCGATGGTTGGTTGCTTGTGTTGTTTATCGCATTGATACAGCCGAAAAGGAGGTAATGATCGTTATTGTGGAAATGTCGGGGGACGTAATAGAAGATGGCGCAGGTGAAAATACAGGTACAAGAAAGATAAAAAGTCGTCGGTGAATTCGTCGAGCGATTTGATGTTGTCAATGCGCAACTGTCATCGTCGTTAGTCGCCCTGTTCCTGGTCGAGGTGGCGGGAAGATGTCGCTCACCGATCCCCAGACGGACCCAACGTTGATCAGAAGGGAAACAGACTAGGAGTGCACCTTCGGTATGGTTGACCCTGAGTCGCAACTGCACTTGGCGATAAAGTGCAGTGAGTCGCTTCACTAGAATTGTGCTGTTTCTGTTAGTTAGTAGTCGCGGCCGCTGGAGAGCGGAAGTTCCATGGATAGGAAACGTCGCGCGGCGGGTTGTCGAGAGAGGTTGTTGAATGTTGAATGTTTGGCCTGTGACCCTCGCTGTTGATGCGACACCTCACTGAACCAGCCAGCCCCCCCATTCTCCTTGTGCCAGCATCATGCACTATACTTTTATTGGTCTAGCGTCTGGCAACCATGGGCAACAAGAGCGTTTTCGTTCCTTCCAACGACCCCACTATTGGACAGCAATCAAGTGTCTCAGATACACGTGACTCTCCTTATGACTCTTTGTGCCTGACTTATGGTCATGATCCCTCCTCTGTATGTATGCGTTGGCATTCGACCCAGGTACTGTTACTGTATGTGATTCTAGATTCATGACTTGCAGTGCGCCTATCTTGCCTTGCCTTACTCTTTCATCTTGAATTTCTGTGCATCACTTTGTGGGCTGGGCTGCGCATTGTCACTCTGTGACGTGACAGGGGTCTGCCACTTGGTTTGTCTAAGACCCGAGTTTCATAAAAGGGTCTATGAATAGATGTTGGCCACAATCCAATATGATGCACACATATTCATCACTTTCGCATAACATGAGATGACAGCCCGGGATTATAGTGATACGGAAAAAAAAGAGGCATTTTTTGAGCTGTCAAATGCACATTAAAGTGTCACCTGAACCAATCCTTTGTTGTGTTTTGTCTGAAGTCATAATATCCACTCTCGTGCAGGGTAACATGTTTGTGGCTTCATTCCACAAAAGCAAAGTGACATAATTCAATCAATTCATGCTTGTTGTATCTAGTTATGATGAAGAATTAAGAGAAAAAAAAAACGCTAAACCATCAAAGGATCTTCTCATCGCTTTCTATTAGACGTCCGACCCTCATGTTTGCTCATAGCCTTGCCCCTCCAGCTCTCCATGCGCCTCTAACCCTTCCCGCTCCTGCAGCAGCGGCACCGAAATTATGCAACCTTTCTCCAATAAGGTAGGCCTCATCGCGGATGCGAGCGGTCCAGCCGTTAAATACCTTTACCAAGCCAATGGTATTCTTGATCAGCAGTGCGAATAATGCAACAGCTGGGTAGGAATGTCGATAAATAATTGCAAGTCGTGCAGCCTCCACCAATTCATTTTCTCCAGGCTGGGCACCCTGGATCAAATTGTACTTGATAAAAGTACTAGCAATTGCTGGAGGTCCAAAAATGGCAGCCCCAGCAATCGCCAAGCCAGGTAGGACGAAAGCTCGGGTCAAGACACTAGCATCGGGGTGCATCCAGCCGCCTCGTGTTACCGTCCTAACAGCATTGGCAAGGCGACTCTCTGGGAACATGGCTGTAATCATTCGAGCTCCGAGCTTCAAATACAACAGACCAAGCGTCCAGGCTTGGATGACACGGACGGTATGACGACTGGCTTCAGATGCGCCCTCTCTGGATGCCTGAACAGATGCTGCAGTAGGAGGATGCATGTAGGTGTGCAGAGGGAGCACAAGATACAGCTCCATAAGCCCTGAGACCAACAACGGGAAAACAATGTAAAGGAAAAAGTAGGTATAGACCAACTTAACTCCCTGCAGCATAACCGTAGCAGTTCGTCGCTCAAGATCACCGGCAGTGAGCGATGCACGGACAGCGGAGAGCCCGTCTTTGATCTTGGTATACACACTGCGAAGATGAAAGACCAAATAGGCCGCAGTCCCAAGCAGATAAACGCCAATGCTGAATGCGTAAATGTCATTTGTGCGGATATGTTGCGGGATCAGCATCTTGAACATTCGTCGACCAAACACTAACGGAATGATGGTAAAGCCAACGCCTGTGACCGCCGCAAATATCCAGATAAACAGGATGAAGAGGAAGATTCTCGCTCGGAAGTGGGGTGGGATATAGACCATCTGATATTGGTTGCTGGCGTAAAGGTCAGAATCGTCCTGACCGTCGTTCCTTCGGCCATGTTCATCCACTTCCAGGAAAACCTTTCTACCCTTAGGAATTTTAACACGGTCGGAAGCGGGTGCCCGGACGAAATGTCCACTCTCAACGAGCTGGTTTGCCTCTTTGAGGTGGTTCTTGTGGCGAGTGAGCGAGCGAATCTCGCTGTTATTAAGAGGTGTCTTGGGCTTAGCATCACCCCCATCAAAGAAGTCGGTCCAGGTCTTGGGTACAACGTGATACCTATCACTCAGCTCCAAGAACAGAGTCTTGTACCACGGCAGATCCTGCTTTCTACGAGCATTTCCAAGCTGAAGGCTTCCTTCTTCGTCAAGCTTTCTTTCGCCGAAAAGGAAATAAGTGAGTCGCAGGCCTCTTGCGCAAGTTCTGAACCACCAGGTATACATGGCATGGAGTCCATCACCGGGTTTGAAGAAGTTAACAGCAAGCGGCATGAGGAAGTTGTAGAACAGAAGGTCCACAGGAAACTCAAGCACTGGTTCGTTAGATGAGTAGTGGACCGGAAGAACTCCAGGAACCGCGTAAGAGAGACCCCATACGACGCCTCCCAGACAAACGATGACCAGCGCACCATAAACGAAAGCCGAGAAGAGAATCTTCCTCAATTGAGTGGTCAGGTTCCTCTCTAGCACATCACGCACCGGATGGAACTCGGGATCATCAGGGTCACGAATGAAGTCTGTGATTATGTTAGTTGTGCAGTCCTCGAGGAGGGTGTTGGGGAGACTTACAGAGAACGCCTTGGCGCATTATTTTGCGGCACATAGACACGAACAGTGCGAAATGGAACATGTATCCAGTACCAACGAACCAGTGAACAAAGACCGAAGTGAGAGGATAGTTGTAAGTGAAAAGGAGTCGAGACTTGAAGGTCGTATTTTCAAACAGGGGAAGCAGGGCACCATCCAGGAGCAGTCCACAGTAGAGTGGGAAAACAAGCATCTCAATGCTGATGATCATAATGACTTTCATGATGCCACTAGCTTGGTGCAGAGTATCAATGATACCAGCTTCCCAAGCTTGCAGAATGTGCCCTCGAGAGAATGGACTTCCACGCTTGAGATAGAGCGCACCCATAAAAAACAATGTTGCATAGCCTGCTGTGATAGCCCAGAATCGATCCAGGCCAGACCAATGGGCCAGCTCAGGGTTAACAGTAAGGGGTCCATCGGACTCGCCAAGATTGATGACCCATGAGTTAGGTTTGAGGAGCGCAGACGAAAGAGCGACCACCTTGGACCAGGCGGTGTTGACTGCCAAAGTTGTGTCTTCGATGGAGAGGTCGCTGCTCAAGAATCTACCGCTGAGTATGAAGCCCAAGGTTTTGCTGATGATTGTAAAGACTGTGCCGATGTGGCTTTTGACAGAGAGGAGTGCACTGTGGCTGATAGCGGAAAAGTTCTGCATCTCTGCAGCAGACATGGGGATCTCCATAAAAGTGTAATCAAGAACTCGGGAACCGGCGGTAGTCCAGAGGGCCCATGAGGCCTTCCTCGCCGTCAAGACTTGAGCGCCAATAAAGCCTCCAATGATGCCTGTAAACATATCGACAAGGTTGATGACAACCCACAGACCGAATCCGATAGCCATGACAGCTGCATCTTGCAAAAGTTTTGAAAACTCGAAGATCAAACGAACAAGGCGCATGGGATTGGCAAGAATCCATACACTGACACGTCCGAAATTGTAAGGAACAAAAATGCAAGCAAAGATTGTCACAGAGACAAGGACCGCACAGAAAATGGCGTTTTGGAAAAGCCCAGCAATAGGGCCACGCATACCGATGAGCTCCATGACACCCTCGAAGTCTTCCAGGTCTTCCATAGCTTCTTGGTCAAGACCAACATCGGGGGGATCAGCCACATTCTCAGGTTCTTCGGGATTCTCGGCTACACCAGGCTCAGGAGGTGCGACTTCTGGATGAAGGTCTTCAAGCTCGGTTTCCCAGCCATCTGTGTCGTCAAGTTGGGCAGCAAACTCGCCAGCCTCAGCTGCTAGTGCGGGCTGTCTATTTTGTTGCACGTCGTCCAGGTCGCCCCACATGAAATCAGTCACCCTATTGACCAAGCCAGCAGGTCGCTCTTCTTCGACTACAGCGTCAGTGTCAACTTGTTGGGGTCTTGGCAATTCCGAGTGAAGTGATTCATATGACTCAGTTCGGCCCAGTGAACGGAGGTCGTCATCGTGTTCCCTCTGGCTAGATGAGGCGGTAGGTCCGGTTGATAGACTAACATCGTCTCGGATCATTCTCTCAACATGTGCGGGTGAAAATGGTGATCGGGGATTGCGGTTTCCATCAGATGGCTGTTCATCTTGTGTATCAACAGGAAGACCAGCAAATGACCAGCTGTTGTTCGCCAAAGGATTTACGGAATCTTGCAGCTGAGGGCCATCAGAAATAGCGCGAGGCCGGGAAGCACTTGGCTGCGGTTCAGAGTCAAAAGGAGTCGTAATAAACTCCAAGTTGGAGGAGAATGGCGTAGTCTCCTTTTCCTTGCCTTTGCTGGAGGAAGATTCGCCAGGTGCATCCAGGGGTGTAGGAAATTCGTCTGAACCGGGAGTAAAAGCCTTTCTGGAAGAGCTGGCGGCAGTAGAGCCAGAGCTCCCTATACGCCCCTGAGTTAAATTCTCGCCAGGCTGTACATTGGCATCCCGCTCGCCAAAAGCCCGTCGGGTGATGTCAACCCAGTAGGCGAGTTTTACTTCAAGTCCTTCTTCATGGATTATCTCCAGAATCCTCTCATGATCGCCGTCGGCCTCGCGATAGATACGCAAGTAATCGTACACACTGGCACGCTCCTCAGAGGGGTTGATGTCCGTAGGCAGATTGGCCTCAGCACCACTTGACCCAGAAGGCACAACTTCCGTTAGACCTTCGGGAAGCACGAGCCCAGAGTTTGTTGACCTACGTCGGCGTGTTTCGGTTTGGACCTCGACAGCGAAGTCGACATCATTAGCGATGGGCTCTCCGGTATCAAGCGTCTCGTCATCTGACTCGTCTGGACCTGGTAAATCCTCCACATCCTCAGGTCGAACAAGCATTGGTTCTTGCTGTGCCAAAGGGTTTTCAGGGGCTGCAAACGCTGCACGCATATTCATCTCTGGTTGTTGTTGAACGACATAGTCCCGAACCAAGATAACGAGGATGAAGCAGACAATGACCAAGACAGTGATAATTTGACCCTCCAGGACTGAAATTACTGCTCGGTTGATTGTTGGATTGCGGGTAAGATTGTTTAGGAAAGCCACTTCACCCAGTAATGTTGGTGGGATAGATGCAGATCCGGATCCATTCGCGTTGGCAGCCTCCAAAGATGCATCAGGTCGGTCGGACTTGCTTGACATGCCCCAGCTTCCCAGGAAAACCCGTACAAGAAAATCGCTAATGTTCTGATCCGATAAGCCATCGAACAAGGCCTTGGCGGCAGCTGATGTGGTCGTGGGCGCAAATAAGGGGCTTGAAGGGCATGTATCGGCATCCAAAGCTGAAGAGGAAAGATGGGCTCCAGAGCTGGACGCCAGGGTACCATTGGTATCATATGCTGTTGGAGAGTTGCCGAACCCTTCGTCGCTAATCCAGAACATGAAGGACCACACCGTTCTCATAAAGTAGGGCAACCAACAAAGCCACACGCTGATGGCCATGGCTCCACGAAGCCAAACGAGAACATTTTGTAAAAGATACCTTGTCATATGACCAATAAAGATATGCACTGGCAGGGACTGAGGCATGTCGGGAGCGTATAGCTTGGTGAACCGGAAAGACGTTTTACAAAGCTCACAGTATTTCTTTTGCGAATGTGAGAGCCATTCCATCAAACAATCTTGGTGAACATATTTGATACTACCACTGCACTTGCACGGGTAGAACAAGGGTTCCTCCGGTGTTCCTTCGCCTCGACATATTCGACAAATCCCAGGGGCGGCGTCTGAAGGCTGCGGGAAGTCGTCGGATCGAGTCGAAGTTCGGGTATGGCCCTTGGGCTTTGGACTCGTAGTCGGGTCTTCCATGACGAAAAATTAACTCGGCGAAAGCGAATCGGGGATATCGATCGCGCCCACGAGGGGCTTATTATAAGGGGGTGGCCGACAGGAGCATGCGCCGGCTACTGGGATAATATCGAGGGGTCTGAATGGAGACGAAGAGACTCCAGAACGGGAGAAATGTACCGATAAGCGATGCAGATAGCAACTGTTGAATATCGATTTTCGATCGTCTTAGAAGTCGACAGCAAACACGCATATAAGCCTCGCGTTCGTTTGAGCGTTGGAGATTGCGAACGGTCGCAAGTCTTCAAGTCGTCGATGCAGAGTCAACCAAACTGTTGAGAGACGTGGTTGTTAATAATTGCCCGTGCTGTTCAGAGGAGCCACTAAACCGCCACCCCACACAGAACCTTGGACCCAACCTAAGAAGGTGCCAGTGCCAGGCCTATTGCATACGGGTCGGGTCAGTAATATTCCGAAGATTACAGGAAGCGCAGGAACTCACGTGTCTACGATGCTGGTTGATGTCATCAGCTTAGGACAAAAAGAAGGAAGTGTTTTCTTAGAGTAGTCGATATTCATTATATTTGGTAAATTAAGATGTTCTTGTCTATGTTTCAATACCTAACTTAAGGCTTGCCATAGATGTTTTGGTATCGTGTCGGTCTCACATCAAGGTTGAGGTTTCTTGTGTATCCCATAAGAGTACTTGCGTCGACTAGGCCACGGGTATCTCTTACCATTGACCACCACTATTAAAAAACACCTATGTTGTCGATGATATCACGTATTTATATATATCGCGGACTGCTAATTCACTACTGGTAAGATGCTTCGTGTTTGTAATACGACATCAGACAGCAGAATTATACGTTCTTCAAGTATCATTTAGGGTAACTTTGTTCCAATATTTCCGTCATAACGGGAGCAGGACATTTCGTAGCGCAATCACATGGAAATGATTTAACCTATCGGCTACAGCCTACACCCTTTTCTTACCGACGAGAGTTTGTCACTACGGCTGATCTGAGCCTCTCTGAAAGCTGTCAAAACTCAAACAGAAAGCTTGCCATAGGCTTAGCCTCTGCTGTTTCCTGCTCTTGGCAAAAGCTAGTCACTGATAATCAACCATTGTTGACACCCGTCAACCTCCCTGACGTATTATGTTTGACCTCGACCCCGATGAGCCAATCACCGCGAATCCTCTTGTCTGTGGCATCAAAGAGGGCCCGGGGTAAAGCAAGCTTGGACGGTTGCCAATGACGTCGCAGCCATGCAACTGTTTCGAAGGTGCAGTATGGATGCAAACTGCTGGGCATAGCTTATCTGCTGCCGACAGAAGTTGGTGGAGAAATAGGGATATGGCGTACTGAAAGGATGGATGGATGACACCACTTTACAGAAGTGATGTGCGTACTAACGTTAGATACCTACCATCCTAGGATTCCAGACCAAGGCAATGCAGCTGTAAACGACGTCAATCAGTGACTTCAGTGATTTCTCCTCTATTTCCGATTTTCCTTTCCTCTTTGTAAACCATCAAAAGCCAAGAGCTTCGCAGATTGATTTCATCTGTAATTATCCGTACCTTCGGTCGCTTTAATTGCCGTCTCGCTTCTGTCTCGAGCGTGTCGCAGGAAGACCTACCCAGCCAAGCCTAGCAGCACCCTAGGTTCCCTTTCGCTTGCTTCCATCATTACGACTCCATTTTAGCACAAAGCACGACCCCTGCCGTGTGTACTGTAGCGCACCGTTGCAGGTAAGCCAAGCCAGCATTGAAGCCGACGGGAAGCTTCTAAAACTTCCCCAGGCCGAAATTTCTCTGCAACCCTGGACTTGACTGATCCGATTCTTCTTTTGTCTAGGCCATCTGTTCATTTCAGAGAACACCTTTGTTCCACGGTGCATCTTCCCGCGTAGCTTGTCGCTGAAGGTTCTTGCTACCGTTCGCTTGCCTCCTCGGCTATCGTTCTTCAACGTCTTTCATCAACCTTCCTGACCGCAGTGCGCGTCTAGCTATCTCGTTATCATGGCCGAGTCTGGCGGCTCGATCATGAATGGCAACGGCCACATGAACGGCAAGACGAATGGAAAGCCTATCGCTGGCCGCAGAAGACCAATTAAGCAGAGAAGAAGCATTTTGGCATGGACTTTCAATGTCGTAGCTAGGTATGTCCCCCACGCGCGTCATTGCGCTGTATCTTACTGCTAGCTGGCTACTTTTTCCACGATCCTTGCAGCTATCAGCGCATCAAGATGCCAGTGCTTTTCTACGTTGACCTGAACTGACCATCATATTTTAGACTCGCGACATGGGCTGCTATCCTCACTGTCCTCTTCCGATGCCCCTCATCACTTGAGGAGTGCGACGAGACCTCTCCCTCAATCTGCAAACCATATTTCCAGCTTAAGAACACCGTGCAACCTCAGGTGCAACCGTACTACGACCATTACGCAGCACCCTACGTCGAGATCGCCCGTCCTTACTACGAGACCGCCGAGAAGAAGGTCTGGCAGCCCACTCGTGCGTACGCTGTTCAGTACGGAGCTCCTTGGGTCGAGAAGGCCCGGGAGCACACTCTAGCTCAATGGGAGAAGAACGGACAACCCCAGCTCGTCAAGTACCAGGCTCTTGCACGTACCCATTATGATCAGTCTGTTGGCCCCTACGTCAACCAAGCTGGCGAGCAGCTAGGCCCATACTACGAAATCGCTCGTACCAACGGCCTGCAAGTCTACTACGAATATCTTCAGCCAGGTTATGCCTACGTTCACCCTTACGCTGTTCGAGGTTACGACGCGGCTTCCGATTTCACCAAGACCACTGCGCTTCCTACCGCTTACTGGACCTACAACAAGACCTACTCTTTCCTTGACAGCAATGTCTGGCCTCACATCCGCTCTGTCTATGCCCAGAGCGTTGAGCCCCAGCTTGTTCGCATTGGTGAGCGCTTAGGACGTTACAAGAACAAGTCCAAGTCTATCCAGGAGAACTACTCTGCAAGCTATGCCACTGGAACAACCGCTTCTTCCTTCCAGAAGCCTTCTCCCCAGAGCACCACATCAGTCGCATCTGTCGAGTCCGCTAAGTCTTCTGCATCTTCCTCTCAGGCCCCTGTGGCCACAGAGAGCGCCAAGCCCGTAGTTGAATCGGGTTCTCAGGAATACATCAACCCTGTGCAGGCTCCTCCTGCTGGTGAGAATGAGAGCGAGACTCGCCGAAAGGCCCGCGAGATGGTGGCCCAGGACCTGGAGACCTGGCAGACCAAGTTTGCTACACAAGCCGACGAGGGTGCCACTGACTTGGAAGAGCGCGTAGGCGAAATCGCCAAGCGTGTGATCGAGGAAAAGGTCAACACCAAGGGCAAGAAGCTCTTTGACGACCTTGAATCCACAATTGATCAGGAACTTAAGAGTCTGCGAAGCAAGATCTCTGCCCTTGCTGGATCTCAGGGAGACAATGTCGACGAGGAGATCGTTTCTGCTGTCCGAACTTCTGGCAAGACCATCAAGCAGAAGGCTCAAGCTATTCGACAATGGCGTCAACAATATGACCAGGAGCTCCAGGAAACTGTTGTCACAGTTGCCGACGTTCACTTCCAAGTTCTGGACGAGACTAGAAACCTCGCCCTGCAACAGATTGGCATGAGGTGGGCGTGGACTGACGGAATCACCTACAAGGACTGGGCCAAGTACCATGAGCTCAAGGCTACTCTGAACGAGTGGACTGAACAGCTCAAGCAGTTGATTGTCACCCACCCGGCACTTCTCGAGGCTCAAGATGCTGCCGCACGAGTCGAAGACGAGGGAATGGAAATTGCCTCTGTCGCCGCCAAGGAGCTGGCTCGTCTCAAGGAGGTTGCCCGTTGGAAGGTCACCGCCGGTGATGCATCCGACAACTTTGACAGCGATGCCATGAAGCTTGCCGCCGAGCAAGTCATTGCAGCCAAGGAAGCTGACGAGCAGACCCCCGCACAGGAAGACAATGCAGCCTCTAGCCTTTCGGAAGTTGTGGAAGAAGCTACATCGGAAGCCGCCGAGGTTGTTGAGGAAAGCTGGGAAGACTTTTGGGGTTCATTGAACTATGAGCCCCCCGTTGAGGAGGCCACCGAAGCCGCCGAATCCGCTGTCTCAAGCGCTTCGTCTATTGTCGACGAACCTAACGTAATCGAGGAGGCTACCGAAGCCGTATCAGACAGCGCCAAATCAGTCGCCAGCGACGCGTCCAGCCTTGTTAACCAGGGCGAGAAGAGCGCCAGCAGTGTCGCCAAAGAAGCTTCCGCATCCATTGAATCGCTCTCTTCGACAGCGTCCGAGTCCGCCACCGCCGTCAGCGAGGAAGCATCAAGCGAGCTCTCGCAAGTAGTTGAGTCAGCCACCAAAGCCCCAGAGTCAGAAGACAGCAGTATGTCGACCCCCCTTGCCTCGGAAGCATCAGAAGTGCTCATCGGTGACCCCTTTTCGATAGTCAGCAATGGTAGTGAAGAGCCCCTTGTGCCTGGTGGTAAGGAGCCACTCGTCGAGATTGAGGAGGACCCTGTGATTCATCGCGACGAGACTCCTCTGTCCGACCAGCACGAGAAAGTCAAGCCTGCCTTCCTCGGCGCCGCAGCCCAGGAGGTTCCTCACCGACAGATTGTCCTCGACGATTACGTGGATACCGATGCGATCGCCAGCGCCACTGATGCCGCCCAGTCTGTGTACTCGAACGCCGTTTCTCGTGCTTCTGAGCAATACTCGAGCGCCCTCTCCGTCGTTTCCGCTCAGATTTACGGAACCCCCAAGCCAGTCCATGAGCAGCTTCTGTCCTCTGTCTCAAACTCTTACGACCAGGCAGTCTCTGCTGCTGGTGATCAGCTGGACAAGGCCAAGTCCGCCGCTACAACTGCCGCTTCGCAGATGCCTGCTACCACCACTGTCCCCGACTGGCTCAACTGGGAGCGCATCGAGTCCATTGCATCTCAGCGACTGAACGAAGGCCGACTTTGGGCTGAGATCCAGTACCAGAGTGCTCTCATCGCTGCAGGATACGCCACACCTACACCTTCCTCTGCCCCCGAGAAGTACTACGAGCAAGCCAAGGTCAACTACTACGCTGGCCTCGGTATCGCCCAGGACCGTTACTCTAAATTCCTGGCTGGTGCCTCATCTGCTCTCTCATCTATGACTGCCACCCCTACTCCCACTGACCTTGCCGGATCCGCCTCTTCTGCTGCCTCTGTGGCTCGTGAGTCCGCTGCTTCAGCTGCTCAAGCGGCTGCTGATGCTGCTGGATCCGCCTACTCCGCTGCTGATGACACTGTCAAGTCAGTCGTTCAGGCTGTGGATGACACCGTCAACTCTGTTGTCGATGCAGCCAACGAGCAAATTTCTAGCGCTGGTCTCCTCATCGGTGAATCTTGGAACAGCGTTGTTGACCAGATCAGTGGCCAAGTTTATGGTGAGCCTACACAGATTGCCTGGTACGAGCATGTTTGGGGTGACGCTGGCTCCGTCGCTTCCAAGGCTACTGGTGTTGCTGCCGACAAGGCATCTGTTGCCTCTGAAGCCGCTGCTGCCTCCGCTATTACTGCCTCTGCCGAGGCCATGAAGCAGTACGAAGCTATGAGTGGACTTGTCTCCGAGCTCATCAGCGGCAAGGAGCCCGCTTTCACCGACAGCGTCATGAACCGATTCAAGGCAGCTTACGCTACCGCTGCCGCCAATGCTGAGAGCCTCAGAAGCCAAGCTAATGAAGCTGCCGCTTCTGCTGCCGACAAGGTTGGCAGCGCTGCCAGCGGCGCTACCGAAGCCGCCAAGGACAAGTTCCAGCGCAAGGATGAGCTGTAAAGCAAACAAGTCGACCAGGAGGAACATTCTTTTGGGCGATACCCTGTATGAACTGACGATCGTTTAATGCCATGGATGATGCGGAGGAAAATTACAAGAATGGACCGAAGAGAAGGTGTGCAAAAGGTGCAGGACACGAAACAAAACCAGTATAAGAAAGGGGAGTGTTGCGTTTGAAGGGTTGGATCTCATTTGTTATTGATGCCCGGCTGTTATGTATTTTTATGATTGCTAGCCCTAATTGACATGCATTCAAAGCGATAAATAACCTGAAAACAGAGATATCATGCCCTGAGTGAAGATGCCTTGGTGAGCCCTGGTCAGGTCTGCAACACACCAAGAGTTGTTACTGAGTATAGCTTGTGTCTATTGTAGGTTTCGTAGCAAGCCCATGCGCGAGTTCAAGACCAAAGTATCAATTCGCCACCCAAGCAATTGTAAAGCAAGATTCCCGCCTACGCCCAAACTTTTGTATCAAACCCAGACCCAAGCCCAATTCCAAGCCCATGATCATAACCCATCGCCTATAAGCCCGTTTTCCCATCCCAATATGTATTCGTAACGCTCATTTCTCATGAAAACCAACCTTCAAAGCACCCATCAATATCCATGTCGTCTTCCAAACGACCCATTTCAAGAGGAGCCTCAACAGCTTGCACCTTCTCCCATTCATGGTTATCTTCCACCCCAGCGAAAGAAAGTTCCTCGGCAGTCTGCGCAATGACCTTGTTGAAGTAGATGACTGTAGCTTCTTCGTTTAGGGACGCGAGAGTGGCGTCGTACTTGCGGAGTTCCTCTTCGTTTAGAGAAAGTTCGGGGAGGTTGAAGTCATCCTCGTCTAGCTCGAGTTTGTCCTCGAGGACAAAGGTATCAGGTTTGGTAGGGGCTACTCCGAAGAGGATCTGATTAATCGTGCGATCGATTTCCTTCTCGTCTAGGTATTCTGGCTCAGGCTCAGGAGTTGTAGGGGCTGAGGACATTGCTCCGACGAAGGAGATGAGAGAGCTTTGGTCGTCGGTGTCATCGTGTTGTTCTCGTATATCTTGGAGAACCGGGTCTTCAAAAAGGCTCAAGGGATAGCTTTGGTCGTCCGCATCTGGGCTGGAAGCTACAGTCGCAGCATCGTTGAAGTCGCATTGTGGCTCATGAGGCATGTAGCAGGGTTCAGTGAGCTCGCCGTAAGGCCATGGCTTCTCTTCGATCATATCCTCAGGAACATCATTCGGAACCCAGCAATCCCTGTTGTAACAGTGCGCGCGGCGACATCTCTCAAGCGTCCAGATTGCCTCGTCAAGATCAATAAGATGACCACAGGTAGGATAAACGTATCGAACCGGTTGACACATGATGATCTGCGATATCGTCAACTTCAACTCATCTCCAACATCAACAAAACTCACCGATATCAATCCCCGAAAAGGGTACTGCAAGAAAAAGGGAAGGGCGGATAGAGAAGCTTCTATATAGCTTCAAATTTGAACTGTCTCCCGAATCATTGCTGTTAGGTGCAATGCATCGTTGTTTGCAGTTAACACAGCATCACCAAAGGGGAGGGTCAGGGCAGTTGAGTGCGGGAAGCAGGCGGGAGGATGCAGTATCGGTAAATCATTTCGGGGAGATGCACGGATCTGTGCAAACGGGGATTTATTTATGAATAAGTCGGTATGGGCTTTACAATACGCAGGCAGAAGAGTAGTGGGCGGCTTATATTAACACGATGAACAATAGTGTTAACACTGAGAAACAATTGGAACAGTGTTGACACAACCCTCTACATTTACTATTCATCCATAAAGGCATAATTAGGTGATGAGCTTTTGCAATGCTATCGTTTTGAAGCAATGAGGACTCTCGCAGTCTATGTCAAGAAGCAGTGTTCGCAACATTGCGATCGAAAGCTCACCAACGAAGGCCACAACGATCTGATACATTGGATGGTGATTGATGGACATCTGTAGCAATAAACAGACCATCCATGAGAAGAATATCAAGCTCAGCTCTCCGCTTGTTAACACGGCAAACCTGGACCGTCAGTAATTTCACAACCCTACAAAGCATTCGCATCCAGTATCACACAAGATCAAGGTACCAAAGTATGTACATATACATATTCTTATTTCATTTTATTTAGAATCTGCAGTGCCAACTAGGTATGTAGCATATACAGCTACTGCATCCATCCTGCTAAAACAATTGTTGGGCCATTCTTGTTGAAGGAATCCCCAGTATAGACGCCATCAAGTAATAATAACTCCAAGGAATTTTGTGCCTGCCTGAGCAAAGACTTATTTGATCCCTTCCAACTCCGTTGAATGCAATAATCCATGAAAGCGACTCTCAGTCGCATGTAAAATACTCCCGCTACCATTTGAATCAAAGGCGGGTAAATCCAGAAGATAAACATGAGCGAAGACACAAAATGTGGTCCCCCATATATCAACGCTATTTGGTATCTTTGTACGTCGTAAATATTTCGAAAAGAAGATGATTGTCACCACAGACAAGACGTCCATGACTGTGCTTATGAAGGTGTGCCGCGCTCTTCAACACGTTCGCCCTCAAAGCTGTAAATGCGGACTTCGCCATCTTCACTGCCACTTGCCATGCGGCTGTCGCTGAGACCAACACAGGTAACAGGGCCAGCATGGCCAGTGAAGCTGCGCTCACACTTGCCAGAGCGAGGCTCCCAGATCTTGGTCATGGAGTCATTAGCGCCAGTGACAACACGGAGAGTGTCGCCGACCAGTCCCCAAATGCCCTCGACGTGACCAAACATACTGCGGATACACTTGCCACTAATGGTGTCCCACAGGCGAACAGTGTTGTCCAATCCACCGGTGAGCATATAGCGCGGGGGAAGAGGCCGGTTGGGGTCGGAGGTGAACCCCGAGCCAAATGACGCGCGCTCATCTACAATTTGTTCGGCAGTCGCTGCAGGAGGAGTGTTGCTGCGGCCGCTCGACACCGAAGCCGTGTCTGTGTTATCCAAGCCGGGCACCTCATCAGGCTCAAAGTCAGCGGGCATGAGTAGAACCTGCTGAACTTGGCCAACATGACCAAGGAATGTCTTGATGCATTGCCTAGTCTCGATATCCCAAAGTTTGACCGAGAGATCATCGGATGCCGAAAATACAACACGAGAGGGTGAATCGATGCGCACATGGTTGACCCAGTCAGTGTGTCCTCGAAGACAGAACGTCTCTTTGGTCTTGAAGCTGGACACCTTGATTGTCTTATCAATCGAACCCGATGCCAGAGTACAGCCATCGTAGTGGACTGACAATACGCCCTCGTTATGGCACTGAAGTGTGTTCAAGCACTCTCCGGTTTGCCAATTCCAGATCTTGATAGTCTTGTCGAAGCTTCCGCTAATCAACTTGGAATCATCGAATTGCAGAGTGCGCACTGCCGATGAGTGGCCTCGCAGTGTGCGAATCACCTCTCCAGTTTCAATGTTCCAGATCTTGATGGTTGTATCGTAAGAGCCGGTCGCAAGGATGTTGTCGTCGAACTGAAGGCAAGTGACGCCATTGTCGTGACCTTTAAATGTCTTGATAGAGCAACGGCCGGTCTTCCAGTTGTATCCCACCTTGAAGCGGTCCCGGTAAACGTCTTTCCATGGTCGAAACTTGCGCTCTTGCGCAAGTTGTTGTCGCGATTTGGTTTCAGCAACCGCCCGAGAGCGCTTGGTAGCTCGATCTTCATGTTCATGTTCGTCGTCGGCTTGGCGTTTTCGTGAATCGCTGCTTTGTGTCTCAGCCTCGTCGTCGATCTCTACCACGTCGGCGGCATTCGGTTGTCGGTGAACTTGTTGATGGCGGCTCCACGCCATGAGTTTTTTCCGTTCGAGCAAGGGCAGGCCCCAACCGCACTTTGTGCATTTGCGGTCGATATGCTGCTCGCACATGCGATGCCAAACGACATCGTCGTCGGCAAGGTTTCGCCATCTACGGCTGACCTGAGCGGCTTTGCAGAGGGAGACTGTATCGAGGTAGGACAGGATCTTGTAGGAGAGTTCGGTGGGAAGGGCGGCAAGGAAATCGATCTTGAGCTGCTCCTGAACCTCGCGCGACACAGTAGAGAGTTGAGGAAAGCAGCATTGTGTAATAATGCCCTGCAACATCAAGTCACGGTGTTTTGAGGGAGCAGCTGAGAATAGAGACCAAACATGGGTGATGGCCTCCTGATCGGCGGAGGATAGACTGTTCAGTTCCTAGTGACAAAATATTAGCATCAAGCTGTCTCCGCGATCGGCATGGCGACCAAGCTTGTTGAGAGGTACTCACACTTTGAATGAAGCCCATCTTGGACTCGTCGGCAGCACGCCGACATTTTGAATCAGGTCGATGGCGGTAACAGAACTTGCTGTTAGGGTCCTTTTTAGGAATTGTGTTGAGTGTGCTGGGAGGCGATAGAGGCATTGCAGCTTTGGCCTTGCCGAAGGGTGCATAAAGACCAGGAATATGTTCCTTGAGGAACGGACTGACGGTCTTGCCGACCAGATCGGAAGGCATCTTGACGAGTCTTGGGTTTATTTCTTGTTCGGATCGATGCCGGTCGCAGTTGTTTTTGGAAGGTTGTTGCTGTGTGTCGTCCTCAACCTGTTCTGTGTCGAAGTCGGTGTCGGTGTTGGAGTCGATATTGGTGGCTTTCAACGAGCCACCGTTGGTAGCAGAGGGAGATAACGAGGTCGTTTCGAGTCCCACAGTCGATACAAGAGCATGGCTTTGTATGGGGATTGTTGTCGACTCAGAGACAGTATAAGTGGAAGTAGACATTGGATTTAGAGATAGAGTTGAAGTTTCGGGGGATGCGTCAGAGTCGGAGGAATGCCGGTATCCGTTGACGAACGAAGTGCTGTCCATGGCGCAGAAATAGGTACGGGGAAGTACCAGGGGTAAGTATAAGAGTTGCGCGATGATAAGGTAAGATATCGCAACTCCCTGGCTGAAATCGCAGTCCAGGGAAGAATGACAGACAGTCGAGTTGTGGTCTGGGGGAGGAAACCTAATCTGAGGCAAAGTCAATGGCGGATGGCGTGCTGAGTCTCGAAAGCGCTATGTCCAAGGTCCACTTTGCAGACTCAGACCCCCAGTCGCCGATTGCACAACAATAGTTCTTGGCTTTGCAGACGCTAATTGGATTATGGAAGGAGGTGAGCTTGTTGATGATTTGTTCTTTTGTCTCCGAAGGAACTTTTAGTTGGCTTATTGTTTTTGTTGTAACGAATGAATGCCGAAACCAAAGTTGAACCAAATGGTGTGGAAGGTGTAAGTGGGAGAGGATGTGACGTTTGGTGGAGGCAAAGCAATCCAACCCTGATAATACCAGAACCAGAGAATGGAAAGAACTTCGGGTCGTCGGGGAGGGACCCTCTCTTTCCGATTCGAAGTGACAAATTTCCCATTTTGTACCACCCAGACCTTCCATGGAAATGGCGGGGGAATGCGAAAGAGGGTCCTTCCTCAACGTTGGTTCCATCAACGCTACAGTACGCTAGACAGTAAAACAAGCAAGGCACAGGTATATCTTATCGGCCTTCTTCCCTATCGTCGCGACTATCTGTCTGTTATCTTACCTGACTTCTTGTACAAGTATATCTATTCGTGCGATCGATACTATCTCTAGGTACATTGCAGGCGGTATGCAGCCGATGATCCTCCAGTGCAACCCCTCAAACCCAACTTCCATGTCCGCACTGATCTGAGCCCTGAGGCGTCGAGCATTGACCTTTCCTCCAATCATTTCACAGCAATCTTTTTCGAATTTGGGCCATGAATGGCGTTATCAGCAACCGATCGGGCGGATAGCTGAACGCTAGGTACCATACTGTAAACAGTGGATCTACAGTACAGTACAGAACGGCAGTCGGTCAGTCCAGTTAATTATTTCCCTTGGCGGCTCTGCTTAGAGATCAGATGGCGAAATTTGCCACTTCGAAGCTTTCACTATCAGATCTTTTTGGAGGTTTGAATATCAACAACAGGTTCTTTCTGGGGATTGCTATACGATATTTAGGGGACTTGACGCTATTCGCGCCGTCATGCACAAGAACGGGGACCGGACGGGGCATGACTGAATTAGACCTGAACCCTTCCTTTCGTCTATGAGACCCGCGACCCTCACAGAGGGAATCTTATTCACCAGTAATGAACGGAGCTCATCTTTTACACCCACTTCATGTCTACTTGCAGCGTAGCTGTCGGCAGATGAAAGAGAAACCTGACGTTTGAGTACCGCCATACTCGTCCCTGTTACATAAAACGACTCCATCGTCAGAAAAATTCAACATCGTGTCTCCTCTTTTTTACGTCTTGTTTTTCTCTTAGGCTTGTTTTGTTCTTGTTTCTCGCCCCTCTTTTACGGATTGTGTTCCTGATTGTCCTGGCATTTGCCTTGGTTGCGGTTGACAGATGCGACGCAAATCAAGACTTTGGGTTTTCGAAGGAGTATGCGCCACAGACAGCCACGATACTGGATATCTTCAACGATCTGGAGTTTTGACTCCATTTGCTTCAAATACAAGCACCACAATAAAAATCGATTTATTGTTCTAGAATTTGCCTCCCAATGTCGTGATTTTACCTTATTAACTGGGCCTTTACTGAACACCAGATCTATCTTTGTAATCAATACTATCTCGCCATTCCGACTCCCGAATTGAGTCATGCTCCGTATATCCGTATACTGACCTTGACGGCTTATCAACCTTGAGAGCCACCTTACAAACAAACACACAACAGCGGAGAATGAGAGTTGTTCGAACCTCGGCATACCGAAGCTTTGTTTTGACTCACTTTATTGTCATTTGATTAAGCAGCCAATGCCTTGTTTCTTGAACGGTTCTAGATCTCACTGCTCACTTGACTCACGGAGCACATCATCACAGGTGAAGCCGTGGCGTAAACCATAATCCGAGCATCGCATTGCAGCGCCAACTAACTGTTTGAGATGAGTACCCTGTTGGGCGCTGTTCTCAGTCCTTCTGTCTTGACCTGTCATATCAAGAACGGTACTTGACACAAAGGTGCCCGATGATCGTCATGTCTGAGGGCATCGATATTTACCCTCGGGCATTTCTTCATCAGTATTGGGCCGGCAATGTAGTGTTTTGAAACTCGACGAACTTTGTCTGTTGTCTGTTATCTAAATTCTGACGACATTCTGTGTCGGTGTGGTGAGATTTAAACAAAGCAAATACCGTGCCTCATCATGACTTGTGATTTGACAAGCTTCGCAGATCGGCAACATGTGCTGTAATGGAACGGGGTCGAGGTTTCCAACAGCAAGATAGTGGATAATAATTAGTTTGATGTGTTTTCACCTTCATGCTTGAGTTGTCCTGCAGCTAGTTCAAGGTGACATGTGGTGTCGCGACTGACATGGAGGGCTTGCTCACTTACACTGACAATAGCAAACTCAACCCTATAGAAGGACTGAATACTTCAAGAGTACAAGTGATCAAATTCATATGTGTACGGAGTCGTAGATGTATGAGGGATCATATGTGATGCAGTCAGATTAATGAAAGCTGACCACCATGAAATCTCCCAGCAATTCGGTTCGTTAGACATACATATCAACTCGATCATCACCCTACACTGAAACGCAGTTGAGCTTGCTGCAGCAGCGTAGATGAATTGACTTTCCCGACCGTTGCTCCAACAACAAATTCGGTGAGATGGCCGAGTTGGTTATGGCGCCAGGTTAAGGTTAACCTTAACACCAATTTCCTGGTGGAGCAATCCTCCTGGGTTCGAGTCCCAGTCTCATCAGATTCTTTTTTGCTTTTTGTCTTTTCTTGATCGCTATCCTTTTGCCTTGTTCGATGATGGTATTGATGGGGCCTTTCTTGTATGAGATCTTGATCTGCAACTTTAGCACAAGGCCAAGCCTTGTGATGGTTAAAATTGCAGTGAAAATTGGACCGTGATTCACTCACAGTTTCTAAGCTTGCTGACCTAAAGCCATCATGGCCAATGTCTGAGGGGGTTAAAATTGCAGTGAAAGCAGTGATAGATACGACGAGGCGTTTGGTGTTTTCAACTTTGTCTCGCACTCAACCTTTACCTTACTACCATGACTTCATCCATGATATAATCGTATCAACAAATCATGGCAGAACCATTGTTTATTGTCCCTAATTTGCTTCTTTTGTCAATCCCTATCTCATCGTCCACTAACACCAGCCGTGCATGAAAGCACTGACCTCGATGCAAAGAAGCTAGCAGCACCTGAGCATCATAGATCGTTGATGTAGCTCACAAACTCCCCAGCCGTTGTCTCATTAACGACATTCAAGATCGAACTCCACCAGACAATAGATCACGAAGCGACCACTTAACGCGTCGAGTTTATACGAAACGCGGATCATTCGCGGTTGGGATGTTGCCACTTGCATCACTTCCTCCCTGCCACATGGTGACTGATCTAGATAGAATGTGATTAAGCTCTGCGGATCGGAGATTGCCCCTGGTCGATGGGTGAGATCAGGGGCACTAGAGATCGGGTTCGGAAGTGCTTGCAGCTGGGCTGGGCGGTTGGTTCTTTGAAGATGATTCATTGAAGTGTCTATCAGTCAATGTCGTCATGGATAAATGGAGCTGCGACAGGAACAATGACGGAGTAGGAGAACAGATACGACAATTCAGAGGAAGAACTGAGATGTATAAGATAGGAGCTCTTCTCGAGTGAGAAGAGAAGTTTATCCTCATCACATTCAGTATCAACACTACAACTACCACAACTCCAATAACCACCTTTCCAAACCACCAAACCACCATCATCATGTCCGACCTTGAGAACGCCCCTTCTGCCTCCTTCGAGGAGAACTCCTACGTATCTCGCCCTGGTGAGAAGGACCAGCCCATTGCTGTCCAGGCCGACTCCGACCGAGTTGAGGACCCCATCGACGCCGAGCAGGCTGACACTGATGCTCAGCTTGGTACGTCAAAGACTCTTCCCGTGTTCAATTGCATTGTCCTAACGTTATAACAGAGCGCGATGAGAAGGATGCCATTGATAAGAGCAACATCATCGAAGAGCGCACTCGAGGTGCTGCCCAGCCCGGCGGCACATACCAGGAGCCTGGAGACGAGGAGGGTCTTCCCGCTGATGACGGCACAAGCTCCGTCTAAACGAATTATTGAAGCATGAAAGCGATCTATGAGCGAGTCAATATGTATATTTAGAAGTCTTGGAATGGAATAAATCTCGATAACTTACCTGTCTGTTCACATTGTGACAATTTACTCGTATTTTTCCGTCCTCGCGTCAGGAGAAGGAATTGGATATAACTCTCATACCGGCCTGTCGTAGCATTCATGATGGTTCCTCATGGTCTACTAGACTACTGAATCCGACGAGTTCGTACCGTCTGTCACTCAACTCCATACGTTCATCTCAATACAGAAAATACTATACCAGATTAATTGAGTAAAGGACGGATACGTTGCCAATTTGCCATGTCGAGCTGAAGAAGTGTTAGGCAACAGATTGGTAGATAAACCAGATTCATCCGATGTGCACTCTTTAAGTACTCATCGATCGCGCAATGACTCTAGTCGAGACTATTAAGTCAATCCTCGAATTAATAGTCTGATGTACCAAAGTTGGGTCTCTTATATGCTCAACTGCTCTAGTAAAGAGTCAAGGTTGGTTGGTGTAAGAGTACAGGCGCCTGCATTATACGACGACAGTTACGGTAGGAAATAATATTAAAGAAACATAATATTCAGAAGCGCTTGTAGTACCCATACGAACTCAATGATATTGTAAAGGATAGATAGGTAGGTATGTAGTCTCAGTTTGTATTCCACTTACACGGCAACTTCGATGCAGGGTAGCTCCAATACGAATGACGAGATCCCCCGCCGGGACCGCAACGGGAAGCCCCACTCTCCCGCATCGAAAATCTCCTCCACCAAAAAAAGTGTCGAGCGCGACAGCTAGCATACACCTTCCCTCTCCCATCCAACATATTACTTTTGTCGCAACAGATGCAAATATGGCCGAGGATAACCAAACTCCTGCCGCGAGCAGCGCAAACGATTCTCGCCTGTCAGGCGACTCCAATGCCGCTTCTCAGAACAAGGAAGGCAATCGTCGCAACCCACGCCACGATCACCGAAAGCCTGGCAAAGGACGCACAGAGAAGGGACGAGGAGAGTGGGGGTAAGTCTTCCTCTCAATTGATGGATTGAATACAGTCGCCAACGGCGCTAACTAGTTATTAGTCGTGGGAAGGGCGATAAGCGCAAGCAGAACGATGAGTTTAAGGAGTTTAAGCGTCGCAAACTGAACAAGAATGGCGATAACGATACGAGCAACAACCCCTTCTCCAAGGATGAGATTGCTGCCGAGGAACGACGACCCAAGAAGAAGGTTGCTGTCATGATTGGTTATGCGGGCACTGGCTACAAGGGAATGCAAGTCAATGGCAACGAGAAGACCATCGAGGCCGACTTGTTCAAAGCCTTTGTCGCTGCAAGCGCCATCTCCAAGGCCAACGCCGACGACCCCAAGAAGTCAAGTCTTGTTCGATGCGCCCGAACGGATAAGGGTGTGCACGCTGCTGGAAACGTTATTAGCTTGAAGCTCATCATCGAGGACGAGGATATCGTTGAAAAGATCAACGCCGAGCTACCAGAGCAGATCCGAGTTTGGGGCATCCAGCGAACCAACAACGCCTTCAGCTGTTACCAGACTTGCGACTCAAGATGGTACGAGTACCTCATGCCTAGCTACTGCCTTCTTCCTCCCCACCCTGAGAGCTTCATGGGTCAAAAGTTGGTAGAGCTGGCTAAGGAGCATGGTGTCGAAGATGACCTGGCCGCTAAAATGGCGGATGTCAAAGACTTCTGGACCGAGGTGGAAGAGAAGGAGATCAAGCCCATCCTGGCTCGGTTAGACCCCGAGACCAGGGCTGCTGTGCTGGAAAAGGTTCACGTCCAAGATGATGAAGAGATGGCTGCACGAAAAGCGGCCGAGAAGGAGACGGACAATACCGAACCTGCAGAGGAGAAGCCTGCCACGGAAGCACCTGCTGGCGAAGCTATGGACCAGACTCCCGACACCGAGGCTCAACAGCCCGGTGTTGTTCTGGAGAGCCACAAGCCTAAGAACCGTGAGCTCGGTCCTGTCGACTTCGCCCTTCGCGATATTAAGGCGGCGTACATGGCTGCGAAGCGACGATACCGAGTTAGCACTGAGCGCCTGAACCGCCTTCAGGAGGCTCTCAACATGTACAAGGGCACAAGGAACTTCCACAACTACACTGTTCAGAAGTCCTACTTTGATGCTTCAGCTAAGCGACACATCAAGTCGTTTGTTGTCAACCCCAAGCCTATCATCATCGGCGATACTGAGTGGCTGTCCCTCAAGGTTCACGGTCAGAGCTTCATGATGCACCAGATCCGAAAGATGGTCGGTTTGGCCAGTTTGATCGTCCGCTGCGGTACCCCCATGGAGCGTATGAAGGAGAGCTACCAGAACCAGAAGATGGCCATTCCCAAGGCCCCTGGTCTCGGACTGCTACTTGAGCGACCCGTTTTCGAAAACTACAACCGAAAGGCAACCGAGTCACTTGGAAAGGAGGGTATTGACTTTGACAAGTATGAAGACAAGATCCAGGCTTTCAAGGACAAGCATATCTACACCCGTATCTTTAGCGTGGAGGAGAAGGATAACACGTAAGTATTGTCGCATGCAGTAGTTGGACAAGGCGCTAACAGAACCGCAGGTTCCACATGTTCTTTAACCAGATCGACCAGTTCAAGACGAATCACTTCTTGTGGCTCACGGCTGGCGGTATGAAGGCTGCCGAGATCGCCAAGGACACCACAGGCGAGAAGGTGCAGCAGGATGTTGATAAGGAGCTCGGTGACGAGGATGAGGAGGACCCTGAGGGCGGTGAGGGTTAAACGTGTAACATCAAAACCGGATAAAGTCATGTTTTTGGTATGATCAGTTGTAAACGAAGCATTGTTTCATCACGACTTGTTGTTGGACCTTTCGGATAAGAGGTCTACCATTGAAGTAGTTTTAGGTGTGATTGAACAGCATCAGTTGTACTGCATTCAGGTCTTAGATTCAAGTTAAGTTTGATTAGAAATCATGAAGATCAAACAAAGTCTTGAGATGCTGTGCTACGGGTTACTTCATGACTGAACTGTGCAGCCACGAAACGAAGCATGCCGTGTAAGTGATCGGATTTCCACTTCTGGTTCTCTTTGAGATGCCCCACTTATAGCGACGGGTCAGCCTTCAAACTGGAGCCCAGTAGCCCAGTCCAGATTCACGCCTCAGGCAACCAGATTGCCGACCAACAAACGCACGGACCACCGAAATTTGCGCACAGGGTTTGAAAACCCCAATTTAGCGACAATCCACTCTGCCGTGCCAGCTACTCTCAAAAATTACAACGGCCTTCGCAACAGCACTCAACTCCGTCGTCGTCAATTCACGTAGTCGAACCAGCCGTCAAAATGAGCGCCCAGGCCCTTAACAAGATCGCTCCCAACAGCCCCTCGAGGCAGAACCCCTCCGAGCTCGAGACCAGCATCGCTCAGGCTCTCTACGACCTCGAGTCCAACACCTCCGATCTCAAGGTCGCCCTCCGACCTCTTCAGATCGTCTCTGCCCGTGAGGTGAGAATACCGTGAAATATCCAAAAAACCTAGGTGCTCGTTTCGATGAAATCCTGTTCCCACACAAGAAACTGTCTTGCAATGGCAATGGCGTGGCATTGTCCCGCGTCCACTTTCCTCTCCGCCTCACGACCCGCGGCGCACACACTTTTCTACACTTTCGCAACGTCGAGAAGATTTCCGAAGATGTGACAATTTTCGAGAGATGTTGAAGACGAGAGAGATGGAGATTGTTGTTGCGCTACACCTTTTCCATGTCGTTTGAGGCGGGAGGTAGTGCTCAGCCGGAGTATCATTGACTTCTGTGGAACAGGACGGGAAGCGGTCCAAGGTTTCGTCCTGGAGCTCGCATGCTGACTTGGGATCTTGATTAGATCGAGGTTGGCCACGGCAAGAAGGCTATCGTCATCTTTGTCCCCGTCCCTTCCCTGCAGGGCTTCCACCGCGTCCAGCAGCGGTAAGATATTCCCTATCCTGAAATTGACAACCAATACTAATGATATACAGTCTCACCCGTGAGCTCGAGAAGAAGTTCTCTGACCGCCACGTCCTGATCCTCGCTTCTCGCCGCATCTTGCCCCGCCCCAAGCGATCTGCCCGCAGCCGCAACACCCAGAAGCAGAAGCGACCCCGTTCGCGAACTCTCACTGCCGTCCACGACGCCATCCTCGAGGATCTCACCTACCCCGTCGAGATCGTCGGCAAGCGCGTCCGCACCAAGGAGGACGGTTCCAAGCTCCTCAAGGTCATCCTCGACGAGAAGGAGCGTGGTGGTGTTGACTACCGCCTCGACACCTACTCTGAGGTCTACCGCCGTTTGACAGGCCGCAACGTCAACTTCGAGTTCCCTCAGAGCGGTCCCGCTGACTACTAAGTCGGTGCGTTATCGAGATGAGATAGAGAACTTGAAGAAGAAAAATAACCAAATGTCTTCATCAATCAGGGCTGGGAGTGCTTTTTAAAACTTTGTTGGTTGGTCAAAAAGGGGCTTGGCGTCTTTAAAGAAAGTAGCTTGATAAATGGTACAAGCTGCGTATGATTTGACAAGACAACCTAAACACTTCTTCCGTCCATGACTTTGTCCAATTATTGGGTATCTAAATCTATGTGTCTCATGTGCATGTCTAAGTAAAGTATTTAATGGTTTCCGATGCGTCCAACTCCTAGTACGCACCAGTAAGCAAGTTCTCGCTTCTCCTGGCCTTCCTTTTCCTTTGCCGACGCTCCGCCGACGACATCTTGCTGGGAGTCAGCTTCCCACTCCATTCTCACAAACATAGGGATCTCCAGAATGTCCTCGTCTTCCTTCAGAGGACTCTGGTCCTTCACCTTATCATCCAGTTGTAGCGAAGCAGGCACCACTTCTAAAATGATACTGACCCAGTTACGTCCTCGCTCCCAAATCTTACCAGCCTCGGGCTGTCCACTGCTCTCCTCACCCTTACGCTTCTTATCCCGGTCATCACCCCTCAGAGCATCATCCCACACATCCTCCGCATTGGCATCAATCTCAAACTGCGGACACAAGATGGTGACTTTGCTTGAGAATCTGCCTGGCGTGCTGTTTGGTGTGGCAAGTGTAACCTTGATATCGTCGAACAGAGGGTTCTTGAAGGTAACGATGTAGTGGTGCGGAGTAAGAGGCTTGAGGGCAGGCTCCTCTTGGATTTGGGGACGTAGGGTGGAGTGTACAGGTAGGACTGTAGGGTTGAGGGGTCGGATGGTGAGGGTTGGTATGTACGACTTTGCGACCAGTTTAATCTTGAATCGTGTCGAGGTGACCTTGTTTTCTGGTTTGGAGATGATGTGTCTGCACACAGAGCAACGCTTGGAGCGCTTTGTCCGGAGGAGGTATGGTATAGGACGTAGACCATCCTGGAATCTCTGTGTCTCTGCTTGTTGAAGGTTTTGCTCAATGGTAGCTGTCGAGTCCAGACCCTCTTGGTGCAATTTCTTGATCTGGGCAGATTCGTCCAGATCGGCCAACTTGAGACCTTCCTCTGGCGAAAGAGCCTCCCGCATGACATCTGAGGGACCGTTGCGCTTGCGAGAGTGACCATGACCAGTGTACATAGCCATAATTCTCGTCAACGCGGCAGGTGAATTGAAGCCCAGACTGTCGTTGAGCGAACCCACCCCACTAGAAGCATTTGAGTCCGCCAACTGCCCTTGGTAGAATGACTTCAAGTTGGCGTACTGAAGGTCCGCATCGACCTCGTGGTCGGCGAGCGGAGGTGGAGGCTCATCTGGTCGAGCCTTGCGACGTTCCTTGAGATCCTTGGCTGTGAGCTTCATGCCACCGCCGTTGTTGACCTTGGAGAGTTGTGTGAAGATACCACTCGGTCGTTCAAAGTCGATGCCTATCTCGGTCGATGTCCAGTTACAGTACTGGCAGTATAAAGCGTATTCGTCTTTGGGTTGCACCGAGGGATCTGCGCCTGGTTTCGGTTCGTTGGGTATGGCCATGACCTGAACAGGTCCAATACAAATAGGACATTGGTAACAACTTCGAGTGCATCTATTCGCATCGTCAGGCCTTTGTTCTCCCAACATTTCCTTTGATGAATTTACCTGTTTCCCTCGCTCCGCAAGTTACTGCTCGGAACCTCAAAAAGACAGTTGGGACAATAGTACGTAACGATCTCTTCGTTAACGCATCGTGGACATCGGATCTGCTGGCAGTCTTCGCAGTAGAGAAGGTACTCTAGTGGGTAGAGGCTGTAGTTTGAGCGTGGATCGTGGGGGTCGAAGGTATGCTCTGCGGAAGCGGAGGTTGGTGTTTGGGGGGTTTGTTGATCGGGCGGTGAGTTGTCGGAGCAGGGACACTGGATGTACGTGTATGGTATCACGGGCGCCATTTCAGCGGTGTGATGTTGAGTATGGTATCGCCAGCTTAACTTGACTTTTTGGGTTGGAGGAAGCTCTTTGTCTTGAAGGTGAAACTGGGGTCTTGGGGTTCGGTGAGCTTAGGTGGAATCGTCGCTCGGTGAAGGGCCAATCATATTTTAGAGCTATCAACACAGCAAGACATAGGCTATTTGCTTATTACAGATTCATAGTAAATCCCATATAAGAAACCCGTTATCAATGTCGATCTTATTTTAATAGTACTGAAATAGCTCAAGCTTTTGCTTTTTCTAGATTGTAGATGATGAGCTGTCAGACATTGTCTTTCGAGCTGGCCATGCATCAGTACAGTACGCTGTCAGACACTCTAAATGCTATAAACTACGGTCAGATTGAGTTTGCTTCTGCATTACCGCCCATTCAGGTGCATCAATAGTTTCTCCAGTCCAGCCCAATGGAAACGCCATTGACAATCAGCTGTCGCTCCGGACTCTTCTTCTACTGAACCCCTACCTTTAATACTCTGTATTAATCGACCTAAACTGAGCGCTGACCATCTACGACCCTTATTTTAGCATCTTTCTCTTGCCATCTCTAAAGACCCTTATTGTTTCAACTTCATCTTTATTCATGCAAAATTCTTTCACCTCAGTCGAGACTCAAAGTGCACGATCCTCTCCGTGAATAGCTTCATCCGAGCACTCGGTTTATACTAACGCTGCAAGGAACTTGTATCCCGTCCCCTACTGTAAGGTAAGCATGAATGGGAGGCTTTTCATGCACACTTTTTCCGACACAGTGGCGTTTTTTTTCCTCATACAAAACAGTCAGCGTCTGTGTTGGTTTAGTGAAACACACAACTGAAAAGACACCTTTTTACAGTATCCTCGGCCGCTTTTTAGTGTCCGTCTCAAGTTCAGCTCTCAATAAAAGCGGGAGCTGGACCAAATACGGCTCTAGACGTTATTTGTCAAATGGATCTTTGGTTCTGGTTTGGCCGACAAGGTCAACCTTGTATGAGAAGAAGTTTTTCTCCCTCGCATCCGCCTTACAAACGGCTGTCACCAGCGATGATCCCTCCTTGCAGGGCTGGTCTGTGTTAGAAACTTGACTCTAAATTGAATTCTTTTTTACTCGCTTCTCGATTGTGCCGAGACCGAATTGTCCAAGCTCGGGATCCGATTTGAATCGCTTCTGCCTTGTATGGATAAAAAAGTTGGCTTTTTTGTCTCGGCCTTGGATGAGGAGGGAATATATCTGCACGACATTGGATATTCTGAGCGGGGCGATTGGAGTTTAACTTTGCGATGAAGTGACTCAATGATGAGAGAATGCCTCATTAGCTGCCTTAGTTCACGGATCCTACTATTCCGTTCTGTTGGTGATGTTGAATGGCCTGAGCTTTTGGCTGCATTTACTGCACTTGTATCTGCACCTAGGGCCTCTTCTGCCCCTGGTTAAGCTGCCCCTTGGTCCAAGCAGCTTAGCAAACTATCTTGGGCTTGGCTGAATTCCCCAAAAAGGTCCAAGTATTGACGCCTCTTTACCCGGTGCGGCTGAGTTTACCACCACCACCGTTGACTCTCAACAGCGGCAGTTGCAAACTTGATACACAAATCACCAGGGATATGATATCCATGTCAGGAAGAAAGAAAGATGCATGCATGCCTAGGTGGAGAAGTAGAAATCTCCAGACCCCAGTTATTTCTTCTTCAAGTTCCAGACTTTGGGCTGTGGAGATGGAGAAGAACGAAAAAGGCCCATGTTTAATTCCCGAGTGGAAAAAACCTGGTAGACGTCACAGATTAATTCAGGGTACCCAATTTCCAATCCTCGGTCCAAGAAATTAAGCCACTTTCCATAGCGAGAATCCCGATGGTCGATCCTGTTAGTTCGGAGAGTCCGGTTCAATTGATCATGGTGAGTTTAATGATCCTCAGAGGTTTATGTTGTGCCGTCCTTTGTGTGACAGAGAGCTACATCATTGTTGATGCAGAGAAACACACCATTGAAACTACTGAGCTACAGTATTGCTAGGCGCATGCTAACGTTGTGATGGTGGGCGGTAAGCTAACAGACTAATGTCTTGTAGTGGTGTTGTTGTTGGAGATGCTCCGATCTATCAGATCGAGCCTGGAGATTTCCGTCAAGTTGGCGCTTCCATTGGATCGAGGGCTTACATGTGGGTGACATGTATGGATGCGATGGAATGATACTCGGTTGTCGTTTACAGACGAGACTGGGCCTCAACGATACCTGGTAACTGGAACTGGGTCCCTCGAAACAGTCACTTATTCACTCATCCACTCGCTTATACGATGTGGGCGGACTAACCGAACATCATCAGCCTCATGAGGATCTCTCTTTCAGCTCTTGTCAACATCGTATCCAAAGCGATGCATAACGAGCACTGATCAGCAATAGTCCAGACATAAGCCTGTCTACAAGAGACGTCAGATAAAAGCCAGCTCATCTCAATGATCATAGCTTCCTGTAGATAATTAGCTCTAGCTCAAACTAGCCTGGCAAACCGAACAGGGATCGTCAATGAATGGATGACACCAGCGCTAGACTAACGCAGTGGCTTGATGGTAGCTCATGTCTCACAGATTGAGGTCTCCTCCCCGACCGACCGGGGCCCTGGCTGGTCTGTCCTCCCGGACATTGAACCAAGGTCCAGGGTCCGCTTAAGTTTGGGTGAAGAGAGAGAGAAAGAGTGAGAAAGAGAGACTTGGCCGTAGGATATTAACATGACAGCCCCCCCTGACCTGAACAACCGAAGAAGGGAGGGGAGATCTCTGATGCTCCCGAATGTCTTGATTCTTACGTAGGACCCGTCATGGAACCCTGTGCCTGACGTCTTTTTGTCTTTTGTTGGTTGAGAGTTTATATCTATCTAATGTCATGACGAGCGAAACTCTACTGTTATAATTTCAACGGAAACTCACTTCTCGCAACTCTAGCCTCAACTCAAACCAAACCAACCGACCTGACCCTGGGAGAGAGACATACATAACCAGACGAAACAAACGAAAAGAGACAAAGAATCTGCAACATCCCGACGACACGGCTATCTGCATTGATTGTTCAGCCACTTTCAGCTAATATCGACTTTTATTTATATTGGATTGACGGACACCAACTCAGCTCAACATATACACTTATACGACAAAAATCCTTCACCATGCCTGCGACCATGTTGAATTCTCGTCAGAGTTCTCTGAGGTTCAGTGCCATGGTGAATGGGAGATCCGAGGAACCACTGCCAGTTATGCGGTGGGATGGTGCTGCGAGGTCGTGTACAAACTGGAACAATATCCGCCGAGTAAGAAGAACTTCAATTCAGTACAAACAACAATATCTAACATGAATAGGACCCTGAATTGTGGTTTCGAAACGGAAACTGTATGGTTCACTTACACGCAAAAGGACACTCAAGAAGAGGCCCATCCTTCAAAGTCCCCTTTACAACCCTCCTCAATACCCAATGCTACCCTCTCATCGAGAGATTCCTCGTCTGGGAATCCGACCAAAAGAAACCTACCTTTCGCGAACTCGTGCGATGGAGCAGAGAGAACCCTTCACAGATGATCGAACTGTACATCCCACCACCACCCAACGCAGATAAAGCTCAAGCCTTCAACTACCATCTAGCCACTCGCAACTTCTTCGCCTGGATCTTTCGACGATCAATGGTCGGCACAAGTCTTGGCAGCGCTGTAATTGGCTTGTTGCACAGCATGCACGAGTTTCGCTGCGGCGTGGAGGATAATGTGGCCGATATGCTGGACTACTTTGACGAGGAGGGCTACCTCGACATGGCCAACCAGCCCAATCACGCATTGGCTATGCTGCAGCTCGCAGAGTCCTTTCAAATGCGGGATCTTTATATCCGGGCTTTTGCTCATTGCGTAGGCATGAGCGAATACGTGTTTGAAAGCCCTGGTTTCATGGTACGTTTTGTGATATATGCAAGTCAGGAATGTTGAAGAGGACGCCACTGACGAAAAGCAGGAACTCAACCCCGCGACTCGCAAACTCATTCGAAAGAGACATTTGGAGCTAGACTACCGCGTGACCCGCTCGTCGTCTATGCTTAAAACTTTCCTGGATGAGGAGCTGTCAGAGGCGCACTTGAGCGTTGCAGCTGGCGCCCGCGCCCATCTCGAGCGGTTCCGAAGCTTTCTGCTATCGTTTTACACGGCCAAGTTGGGATATTACCCGCCAGCCACTGCCGATCCCGACGACGGCGTGTTTGACCCTGCTGCTCTGCGAATCATGCGTGAGGATTTCGAAGCCTTGTATGATCTCCTGGTTGATGATCAGTATACCAAATCTTATACCATGCCGCCTACTGCGCATGGAGGAATTTGCACTATGCAGTTGGTGCAGTCTTTTGATTTGCAGCATGATTACGTTACCTTAACACATCCTCTGCCGTTGATTCCTGATTCCAGTGGACATAACTCGCGGCTAAAGGCGTGGCGAAGGTCTGAACGCAAGGTTACTGCTCACGCAGCACTTGTCAACGCTTCGAATTTGATCAAGCCTGGTGTTTCGCAGAATGATCTTGTGAAAGCCTACAAGCGCTTTGAAGAGGACTCGATCATGTCTCCTAACAAGGCCGATAAGTTGGAGAAGGTGTCGCTGGTGGATGCTCGCAAAGTGCGATGGATTCTCATCTACGCGACGTACCAAGTCCTTCGCCACGTTACTGAGCTGGCACCTGAGCTGGAAGAGGAGGAGATTAACGAAGCTCACTACAGCTTGTCTGCGCAGACTGAGGGACTTCCACCGTGGGATACACCTCGGGAAATGGGCCATATGCTGAAGCGTCAGACGCAGTATGTCACCGGCCCAATGGACTGGACTGTGTACGCAGATGACGAAGCTAACGGACGAGACGATGCGAGGATTGAGATCAAGCCTGACATTGACTACTTTGCTCTCACACAACAATCCCGTCCGCAGACGCAGAACGGTCAAAGGGAACGTCGAGCATCGATGCCTTCTCGCCCTGTCATGCCTCCTCGTCCGTCGCGCTCAAACTCATTCTCCCAAGCTCTCAGTCGCTCTTCAACCTTCCGTCGCTCTATGGCTATGTTTAAATCGCCTGGCAGCACTCCGCCTCAATCTATCGCGCCTGCTCGACCTACATACCACGAGATTGTCGTTCACGGGTACGGCAACGGAACAAACGATGTCAGTCTTGATGCAGAACCCGAAGCAGATCTCACTTGCGAATCAAAGCTATATGATCTGGGTCCTGAATTACCTTTGCCTTCTCCCGAGAGCATCATCGATCCTCCTTCTTGCCCTGAGAGTTTTATCTCACCATCACCTTCCCCTCAGAGCATAATTTCCCCTTCGCCCTCCCCCGAGAGCTTCAACGAAAGCATCGACTCTCCCCGAGACGTCGACACACCGCCCCTGATCGAACATTACGTTGAACCCATCGTTCCCAAAGATGTCAAAGCCCGCCGCGAACGCCGTCGCGACGTGCGAAGCATGATCGGCCGCGTCCCCAAGCGCAACGGCCGACCCATCAGCGCCATCTTCTCCGACAGCTGCAGCTCTTTCGAGAAGGACGCGACAAGCCGACGACACAGCATGTTCCCCGCCCCATTGCGCATCAAGACACAAGTCGATGAACCCTTTATTCTGAGCGAAGATGCGGATTGGGCGGCGATGCAGTCATTTATGGATAGTCCTGGACAGATGTCTGAGACGGATGATGATATGATGCCTGCTTGGGAGCAGTATGCTGATTTGGGAGGGTTGACTGATATGCGGTCCTAAAACTACATTCTTGCGCCAGACGCGGATTTTCTTTTATTCTTCTTCTTTGTTATTAGCGAATACCCCCTTATATATATATTCTGTATAATAGGACATGTTGGATGTCTAGATGAGAAAGATGATTAGTTTACTATGTTTGGTGGAAAGGCCCTGGTGGTTATAGTTAGGGTTAGGTAGTATAACTATATAACCTACAACCAATTATGAAGCTTCAGAATTCGTTCTCCTGTGTGTGTGTGCTTGTGGTATGTGGTATTAAGTTTGGTGAGATAGAGAACTCATGTGATCAATTGATATGTACGACCGTCTCATCGTCAAGTCATCCCTCATTACCATTACTCATACAAAAGTCCCTTCGTATTTTAACCATTTGATCTATTCAGTTCTTTGCTTCACTGGCTGACCAGAAGCAAGAGTCAATCCATTGATGATGTCCTTTCCAAATGCCCAGATCATGTAAGTGGGAAGGATGAGCCAGAAGCCACTGTCACAAATTAGCAGCAGTACAACCCCGGTTGTGAAAAGGATACTTACTTGGGAATAATCCAAAGAGTGAGAATGTCCATGGGGGTGTTGTGACCGATGTTGCCAAATTCGCTGTAGTACTCGTTGGCCCCTGTAATTTGTTAGTTATCGTGCGTCTAGACACCCATGTACTTGACTTACAGTAGAGGGCAGTCTTGCTCAAAGTCATAACCGCAGCACTGAAGCCAATAACAACAGCCAACGCACCATCCCGTCCACCAACCCTCTTCTTGCCATCAACCTTGTCAGCCCTGAAGATCTTCCACAGATAAACAAGATACATCAAAGTCTCAACAACATTCATAGCCGTCTGCGCAGCCGTAAACCCATTCTTCTCCTCCCAAGCCTTTTGCCCATAAACGTAATCAACCTGACCATACAGCGCATAAGGCGTGTACAAAGGCCAGTGGAGATATCCATTGGGCATGGTGTGCGGACGGCCGAACACGTAGCCAGAGTCCCACGCAACGAGGGGTAGGGAGACAGCGAGCCAGAGAAGGGTAGCTGAGGAGGGAATGTGCGCCCATTTTCCAGGAGAGTCAGTTGAGAGACGACGCTTCTTTGCTGAGCCGTTTGTGGTTGAGGAAGAAGTGGTTTTGATGCTTCTTTTGCGGGTTGAGGGTGTTGCTGGGATAGAGGGCAGCTCGGTGTGGAATTCTGGTGCGAATTCAGGACCGACGCTTGCGCCGCGGGAGCTTGCTCTAGTTGTGACCATTTTGACGAAATGTGAGAGATATTCCAGAGATGTTTGTGAAAGAAGGTATGTTGTTTTTAGAAAGTAAACAAATGTAAATAAACAAGATAAAAAAATAGTCGTCTGTCAGTGGAGTGAAGCCCTGAAGAGCTCCATTAAAGTCGGATCAGTTGCATCCATAACTTCCGACATCACACACCCGTTTCCTCTTTAGGAAAATTAAGGGAAGTCCCCTGGCGGGAAGCTTTTAGTGGCTTCTCGGCAGATGGGAGGGTTGTCACACTTTTGATGGTGATTGGTTTAGGTGAGTCGGCGTGGCATTTATTTAATGTGCCTATTTAAATACGACAATGCATGATCTGTTTGTCTTGTATTTGGAATTAGAATGATGAAACTGTGATGTGAGCAGAATATAAGCCAGATGTCTAGGCATTTACAACACTAACTCTATATACGACACTGTGATGGATAGATAATCATTGTTCAGCTCCCAAATGTATCACCTCCATTCTCAAGAAACTCTCTCTCCTCAGCCCTCATCTCCCTTCCCAACGCCTTATTCCTATGAGGATACCTTCCAAACTTCTCAATAATAACTCGATGCTTCTCCTCAAACTGTAAACCCATCTCCCCAACACCCTTCGCCTTTTCTGGATCAGCCTGCACAACCTCTCTCGCTCTCACCTCATACTCATCCGCGCCACCCATTCCCTCCATCAAGCTGAGGATATCCCCATTCATGCGCTGAAACGCTGCCACAGCTTGATCGTGCGTGTCTAGATCTTCAGAGTGCATCAAGGGCATGTAGAACCAGTTCCGGTGGGAGAATACCCAGCGGATTTCGGGAGATGTGTCGGGAATGCCTTGGGAGATAGCTGCGAAAGAGATTTGAACGGCGAGATGGTCAAAGTAAGTGAAGCAAATGGAAGACTTCTCGCCGCGGTAGGAGTTACGCGGGATTTGATCGAGGAGAATGATCAGACTTAGCCAATCTAGTGAGTTGCGAGGCCGAGCGATGGTGAGAAGCTCTTGAGCTGATGTTACGCCTGAGCTGCGGATGGCCTCCAATATAGGACTGAACTGAGAGCTGCAGGCTTGTCAGATGGTTCTGTTGAACAGGTGGCGGGTGACTTACACGCAAATATCGTCAAACTGTTTATCTGAAAAGAACCACCTCTTCTGGTACTCCGGTCCAGCAATGATGCGATCAGCATCCTGCGGCAAATGCTCAAACCAAAAGGCCCTCAGTGCCTCGAGTTTTTCGTAAGTGAGATACTCTTTCAGACTATCCAAATCCTTGTCCTGAGAACCCATGTCGGCAGATTGTGCTTGCAGCTTGAAGCTTGATGAACTAAACGGTCTTGTTACAGGGAAGTAATTCTGGTAGACTTTTGCTGGTACTGTGCTCAGTCGGGAAAGAGCGCCGCATTGATCTGATATCCATTCAGCACTGAAATAACATATAACGATAAAGAGAGACCAACATGCTAGACGACGAGCTGTGATGGTCCAGCTTGATGATGCTCGAATTGATGTTCTCATTGAAGAAACTCACGTGTGCTGCCTAAGGGATATCTAGGTATGCGGGAGCGAGTGTAATATACCCAAGAAAGAGAAGGTATGCTATGTGACTTATAGCAGTAACTTAATGACAAATCAATGACCCGATTGGAGTCGTAAAGAAGGGAGGGAATTCTTGGAGCACGTCACATTGAATTGTTCGAATTGACCGATCCACTCCGAGATCCACCTCGGTCTCGCAAGAATACCGAGCTCGGGTCCGGATGACCAATCTTCGGTGCTGACTCCGTGTCGATTACCCGATTAGGATATGCATCACGCCCAATACCAATCATAGTCAAAGAGACAGGTTATTCAAAGAGATGATAAATTGCAAGTATTAGGTACTAATCTAGCAGGACCGGGGGACAAGGTCTCGAAAACCTGTATCTGAATTAAACCAAAGGACACACAATAGCTCGCGACAAAATCCAGACAGACGCCTTAGATCATCATCATAGCAGCAACAACAGCAAACAGACCAGCTCCTCCAGCAACGACCTTGGTGTTGGCACCGTTAACAACGGGAGTCACATCGCCAGTAGGAGTAGTAGCAGCGCCAGCATCAGAAGTAGCAGTAGCAGTAGCAGTGGCAGTTGCGAGAGCGCTAACATCGATAGCCTGAAGAGTTCGGAGGAGCTCGGGAGTAGTGTAAGTCTCACTCTCGCCTGCGTAGCTGATGACGGAGAAGGGAAGCTTGGAGACAGGTGTAGCGGAGGGGAAGGCGAGACGGTCGGTGGCATCGGCGGCGGGCTTGATGTCTGCGCGGTCAAAGGGGTCATCGGCAGGGTTGAGGACACTATAATAGTCAGTATTGGTTATGAGGGAATGGTAAGGGGATAATTACGTGTCAATGATATGAGCGACACCATTGAAGAGAAGAACATTAGTGAACAGAATCTTCGCTCCATTAACCCAAGCACTTCCATCCTCAGCAACAGTAAAAGTCAGATCAGCTCCCTGAAAGCTAGGAACAGTGACATTCGCCAGATCCGTAGAGAAGAGAACATCATCGACAAGATGGTACTTGAGAACCTGCTGGAGCGTCTCCAGATCAGCGCTCTCGAGGACAGAACCGATAGCTTCAAAGGCTGGGTCGTTGGGGATGAAGACGGTGAAGTCGGAGATGTTCTGAAGACCAGAGGTGTCGGCACCAATGTTGCCAAAGTTGATGGGCAGATCGGCTGCGTTGATGGCGGCGTTGAAGTTCAGGAGGTTGTCGCGGCGGGTGAAGAGTTGAAGGGGAGCACCGAAGCTGAGGACTGTGTCGACCTTGTGGACGATGACTGAGTCGCCGATTTTGATGTCCTGAGCATAATCAGTATAAGTAATGTCTTAAGTCAGAATGAGGACTTACAGCTTCAGTCACGTAGGAAAGAGTTTCTTCACCAGAGATGACAACAACATCATCACCATCCTTCACAATCCCATTATACTGCCCACCAGTAAAGTTCCCAAAAGGCTGACGGTAATTAACAAAGCTACTATCCAGAAGAGACTGCACAAAGACAGGAATGTCCGTAGCAACACTAGCAGGGTAGTATCCCTTGAAGACGTGGTTGGAGAGAAGAGCGCCAATGGCGATGGTGTCGTTCTTTTGCGAAATGGCTTCTCCTTCGGGGATGTCGCGGGGGACTGAGTCAAAGGCTTTGTTGGTGGGAGCGAAGATGGTGATGTTGCTTGCGGATACGAGAGTCTCTGCGATGTCGGGGACCAAAGCGAGCAGTTCGGCCAGAGTGGACAAATCTTCTTGGGACGCGATGATGCTGGCCAAGTCGCTTTGAGCGACGACTGCGGTTGCGAGAGCTGCGAGGTTGAGGAACTTCATGTTGAAGATACTGATCTTGTTAATGATGTTTATGAAGCGATTGAAGAGGTTTCTGAAGCTGAGATGACTGTGAAGCTGTTGAGTGATAATAGACTTGTACTGAGGTTATCACCAAGTTTTATACACAACATCAATCTATAACGAAGCTATAATGATCCATCAAAATCACAATCCCAAATTCCAATTCACTTCAAAGTCAAGGATAACTTCGAATCAAAGCATCATCGATTGACTACAATCTGTAAGCAAGACTGCTTCATTTTGCTTGCTACAACCTCAAAACTCCAGTTGAAACCTTCAACGGCAAAAATTGACCGTCCCCATAAAACAAAGACCCTGGATAGACAAGCTTAATTCCTATCCGGGGACACAGCCTTAATTCAGCACTGCCTCGTTAATGCCGGTAACTGCAAGAGTCGTGTACGTCATTTGGTGACTCTGACAGACGGGGAATTTAATGCGGCACGGTTACATATGGAGCTACCTAGTAAGCGAATCTCACTATTGGACGGCTCGCCATTGAATTGAGCTTCTAGAACAACTTCATGATCCGATAAATATTAATTAATTATTAAGAATGTGATAACTAGAAATGTCCATTGGGGCTGAGCACGTCGATTTCTTGCTCGGCTGTTCCTCTTTCCAGATTCGTCTCGTATCGCTCGATGATGCTCTCGTAGTCATTCAGCCATACAGATAACCACTCTACAGAGCCTATGATCCTGGTATTCCAGTTACCCATATGCGGATCAAGCTTGAGAAGATTCTCTTTCACGGTTATGAGCTTGTTCATGGCTTCCCTGACATGTAGGTCCGAGCGGGTCAAGACTTGGCTGTAGGTATTCCCTGGTGCAGACACTGCCACGAATGTCTTGATAAGGATGGATAGCGTGTAGCTCACCGACGGTCCGAAGCAGAGCGATGGTAGGCTTAGGATCAAGCTGGGTTCCATTTCGAGGACGATGTCAATGGCGAGATGGCATGCTTCGACCAGGGAGCGCAGAGCCGTTGCGGTTGTGGGTGTTATTTGTGAGGGGCAGGCAAAGTCGTGTACGCCGATGCGTTCGGCGAGATAGGGTGATCCGAAGAGGATTTTGTTGGTGGCTGTGTGCAGAACTGACTCATTGACGTGGATGGCAGCTAGCATTCTCCAGAATCGAAGCTGAGCATCGTGTGCGAGCGGTCTGCTGCTCAGGGCGTTGAGGTCGTTGTATGCTTGTGCCCTTGTAGCCGCCGCGATATCAGAGTCTGTATCATGGAAGGCGTGGATATCGCAGAGTTCCAACCCGGAAGCGACTTGAGCGTGAAGCCTTACTGTGTAAAGCATCTCCAAGAACAGAGGGTCTGAGCCATCGGCCTCCAAAGCGTGTAGTGCTTCGTAGTGTGAAGTTCCCCATTCGAAGGAATGTGCTCTCCTGAGACCGAGAGCAGCCATTGTTGAAGTCATCCATGAGACTAACCATGTCTTTTGCATTTCCAACGTGGGAGGTCCTTGGATGCGGAAGAACCATGCTGGTGCGGAAGTCTGCATTTCTGAACCTCCTAGGCCGAGTTCAACGCAGAGATCGTGGGCTAGAGATGCAAGTTGTACAGGATTGCCGTGGTTCATGTCGATAGAAGGTCTTATCCAGAGACTCATAATTAGAGTAGCTTGGATGAGATCAACTGATGGGCTTTTGAGACCGACTGCCGCCTTGCCCAGTATCTCGAGCGTCTTTGTCCGTAGTTCCTCTTGAGTTTGTGGATCGATTCCTGCATCTGAAGGGGCCACAGCAAATACAGCCATGAGTTTGATGGGTGTCTTTGTCCTCATAGTATCCAACCAAGATCGTGCCGAACTCCCGTCCACCGAAGGAATGAGATACCAAAATTGTCCAGCCATCGACGAACAAACTTCCAAACCCTTCACCTGCGTCTCATAATCCAAATGAGCATCTAGAAACCCAAGATCAGAAGACAAAGTTGTTCCAGGCCAATTACCCTCCGACGAAAACACAGAAGTCGCCCTGGTAGAAGTAGCAGCCTGCGTAGAAACCCCATCCAACCGATCCTGCAAAGCCCTAACCTGCTCCTCCAACTCGGAAATTCTATCTCTTTGCCATTTTCTAGCAGCAGGAACACAGGTGATACTGAAGCGAGTGCAGCGCTCGCATGTTGATGGGTCGTTTGGTGAGGGTTCGCATTTGACTTTGAGAGCCTGGCAGGCTTCGCAGGCGCGAGATCTTTTCTTCATGGTGGCATGGTTGTGATTTGGAAGAAGGGCCTGTTGAGAGGCGATTTATAAGTGAGGTGTGAAGGAAGGGTGGCTGAGTATTCTGGGTTGTATTTGTGATGCGTTGGATGTAATGGATGGTTGGTTGTTTGTACAGTAATCAGGTTCTAGCGGGGTGATGGTAGGTCGTCATCCATTAATTAATGCTAGCGTTTAGCACTTACAATCGAGAAATGATTGTCAGTGGCTCTGGTAATACAGAATAATTATAGCTTATAGCAGCTTGAGCATAAACTGATATTGTATAGGTAGATGAAGTCGACTGTATACACCGTAATTTGTAGCTACCGAGGGAACTCGAATTTATTTGCTCTCGACAGCAAGTACCTACTAATGTACGTGAGTAAAAACACTGAAATTCAAGGGGACTCAATTCCCTTGTAACTCGAGCTTTTTGGAAGTGTGGATATTGAGTTTCCCATTGCTTTATATTGTTCAATAGCAGCTGTCTAAGTGTAACACACGAACTATGCGATCTGGTTCATTCTGGCCTCACGGTTAGAGCGCACGTTACGCCCCTTTTTCCCAAGATCTTTTAATAATTAAAGTTCACGATGGTTCAATTCCGTTATAAACTTTTGCGCAGTGGACCAGCCTTTGGTTCAGGTTATAATGTGTAATACCTGCTGCCTCGGTGTGGTGTGGTACCTCGGCTTATACGTTCTGGCTCACTCTGGCCTCACGGTTAGAGCGTTCCATTACAGCCCTTTTTTTGAAATCTCTGTACGTGATTAAGGTTTACAGTTGTTCGATTTCCTTGCCTAGCCTTTATTGTCATTTTTATGCCAATATGCTCTGTCTGCTTTGATGACGCACCTAAATAAGATATTCATGGTACGGAATTTGTAGTGGATTCATCATGAGCCATTAAGGTACCATGCCGTGAATAATCCAGACAGCTCATTCTGTAATAGAGCTTAGGCATATGTATGAGCAGTTGCTTCGACTCCTTTCTTTTTTCTTTTCTTTTCTGTTTTCTGCAAGTTACTTTGTGTACAAATCGCTTTCTCTTGTTGTTATTCCCCCACGTTTCGCGCTTACACTTCCAAGTCCCCATCATGACAGCCGCTAGTGGGTCGGTTCCAAAAGGTCACGTGAACGAGACGTTATGTTTCTCACACCCTCCTGGATTATCCTCCACAACTCTTCCTCGTAAATATTCTCGTTCTTGAGTTTACCTCCGTGGTTTCGCATCGAACTTCTCTCTGCGTTGTCCCTCCGGTATTTCCTTTTTTTCTGCAAGCAAAAGCGCTGTTCGCGCTGGCCCCACCTTGGGCCACATGTGACTGCCCCGACATCTGAAGCACCACCACTGATCCCGCAACATCGGGAAGGAGAGAACGACCATCACCACGACCATTTCAACTCCTCACCTTCCCAATGAACACTCTATAAACGGTATTTAAGCTGTAAGATTGTTGAGTCTCCCAACCAAGGGCGTAATGGTGGCGTAGCGGCCTGATCGCGTAGGCCGAGGTACCACACCCGTGTCTAAGATCGCTGGTTCGAATCCAGCCCGTCCTGTCTCGAAACACGTGCGTCCCTTGGCCTCTGGAGCAAACTCTAGGGAATAATTCCTCTTCTCCTGCGTTGGGGTTGAGGGGTGGACGTAGTAGGCATCTTCCAAATGCTTTGCGAACCATTTTGCTATCGTGAGCTTCTTTTTTGGAGCATTGCGCCTAAGCCAACGTGATGGTTTTCTGAACTGTGCAGACGATATTCCCTGTGGACTTACACCATGGTAGAGATAAAAAGGAAGATGGCCATATTCACTGGCCACTGGTCATTTAACACCGTTGTGAGAAGAAGTCCTGAATACGGCAAGCTTGCTTCGGCAGTGGTTGATAGTAGGCTTGTCCTGGCATAAGCCACTTGGACTCAACCAGCCCAATGTCTTGTGCCTGTGCTGGGCTCTGACCATACGATTCCAAGACGACGGTCATGACCGAACCAGCTGTAACGAACCTCATCTCCTAATCCGCAGCGGATCCGAAGCAAGGACCAGGTTGATGTCACTGCAATGATCTACCGGCACTCGCGATCTTGAATTGTAACCATATTAGGGTGATCGGATCTTGAATTGTTATGTACGGCATGACCGTCACCGTATTCACTGACGAATGACAGCTGAAACAAGACGATTGTCTGATCTGTAGAGCTTAACAAAGTACACGAGGCTCATGAAAGCCCTATCAACGGACGCTAACTCTGTAGCGCCAAATCATGTTTCACAGGCTAAAGAAGATCCGCTCTGCCGGCGATAATTATAGAGACTGTGCTGTACATACGTAATTTAGGGGTTCCTACAAGATCTGGTCAGTTGTGATAGCTCATTCGTCATCCAATCTTTGAAGGAGGATTGTTTGTGAGGAACTTTTACATGACCCAGGATGGTCCTGGTTTAGACGATAAGATGCTAACAAATAGATGCTTGCGACGGCTGGTCTTCTTTGACGCCGTATCAACGGATCTTCACCGAGCAAACATCACAAACACCTTTCAACTTCCTTCCTTTCACCCATTTTCAAACTTTAATCATTATTAACAAATATTTTTTTCTTTTTCGCAAAGGAATTGGCTGTATTATGCGGCCGTTGACGTGGGTCCACTATTCATCTGGCTTGACTCGTCGTGGTCAGCAAAGACACTTGCTGCTCCGTGGTGAGAGTTTGGAAACATACTACAGCGCCTTCTGGAACTTGTTAGTGTCGGGCAATACTAGTATAGAGGTAGGGCTGTTGTCTTTCAGGGTGAGCTGACATCATTCATCATTCTGTGAAGAAGGCATTGTTTGTTGTTCAACATCTTGAAGAGTCCTTTGATGATGGAAAATCTGTATCCTAGTCGATGATAATTAATCCCTCTGCAAAAGCAAGGATACATCAGCTGAAATGCAATACATCTGCAGATAAATCTTCAACGGTCGAATGGAGATCAAGTCTCGCCTTACGAACAAGGATCCCCTGCTGAAGATCTGTGCGAAAATGGATTCTCAAGTCCGTGCTTCTTCCCCTTCAATGTGATGCATACTATGATTAACAGCAACGAGATCGGGTCAGATCACTTTAGTACCGATGCTTTGCTTCAATATCTATGTATGAAACCCGTTCTTCCCCTTCTAGAAGGTTGTTCTTTATGTCTCTCTCTTCATCCCACACTCTTTTCGCTTTTCCTTTCTAGTATTGTTCCCATCTGCAGTGCAGATTTATCGCCAAAATGTCAGATCTATGGAAAGGACCAACATTCACAGAAGTCAAGGCTGGCTCAAATGACATGAACATCGCCAGCATCGCCTGGGGCATATCGCTCGGCGTCGGAATGTTCACTTTTGCCAAGGGTCTACGACAAACGATCGACTCGTGGCATAGAGGCAAGAAGTTTAACCATTATGTTATCTTGCTTTGGTTAGAGTGGGCGAGCAGTTGTCTCATGAGTGCTGTCACTTGGTGTTATCTACGAAATTACATTCCCGGCGGGTTTCCGGTTTTCTTTGTTTTGAGTAAGTTCATCCAGCATCTCTATGGTATTAATCTTGAGTGTCTTGGGTGGGAGGCTAACAGTGTCAGTCTTTCTTTGGTGTATACAGATTCAAGCACTCATCCAAATCATCGTCAACCGAATTGCGATCCTCATGGTCGACCGCCGAAAAGCAAAATGGCTCAAGATCTGGTCGTTCGTTATTATTCTTTGCATCAACATCAGCGTCTTTACAATTTGGATCCCTGCCAGATTAGAGGTTAACCAGACCTGGATCAGCATCAACAAAGTCTGGGATAGAATCGAAAAGGTCATCTTTTTGTTTGTCGACGCTGGATTGAACCTTTACTTTATCCATCTTGTGCATTCGAGGCTTATTGCGAACGGCCTCACCAAGTATACTCGCCTGTTCAAGTTCAATTTGGGTATGATTGCAGTTTCCATGACTATGGATGTAAGTCACTCCCTTTACTTCTTGCATTTGAAGATGCTAACGGAAGTCAGATCCTTCTTATCGCAATGATGTCCCTCCCCAATGACATTGTGTAAGTCCTCTCCACCATCCTGCCCATCTCTCGCTAACAACCCCAGTTACGTCCAATTCCACCCCCTCGCTTATCTCGTCAAACTCCACATCGAAATGAACATGGCCGATCTCATCATCAAAGTCGTAAAAGCCAGCAACGGAAACGGCTACGACTACTCAGGCTCCAAGTCCGGCAGTACCCAACCTAAGCAAAAGAGCGGCAACAAACTCGGAAAGGGCCACATCCCTTCAGCGATGTTCATCGGCGGCAACTTGACCTTTGTTCAAGCAGGCGACGACGATATTGAGATGAACAACTTGGAGGGCGGTATTCAGAAGACTACGAGGACAGAGGTTGAGGTTGTGGTCAAACAGACCAGAGCGTCTGATAGTGATGATCGGGAGGGCAGCGATTCGGGCTCGGCGAGGGCCTTGAGGAAGAACAACGTTTACACGGTCCCCGAACCCAAGAGACGGCGAAGTTCTCAAATTGCGATTCTCACAGCACCATAGATTAAATTCTCCTTCTCTTCTACCATATACTATAGACGATACCCTTGCTTTCACTAGCAGAACACTTAGAATAATAACAATCAACTTCGATTCAACAACAAAGCGTGCATTTACCCCATCTAAGTGACCTAGTTCATGTACTTTGCATACCACTCCAAAAACTGCTCCGGCTCCCTCTGGAAATACGTATACCCATCCCACCTCTTCTCAGTCCCTTCAATCCACTTGATCTTCTTCTCCTCAATAGGAATATTGTCATAAACAGACTGCACATCCGCCGGCGTCGTACAAGGATCATCGCGCACCTGGTACAAAAACGTCGGGACATTAGTATGTTTCGCATCGCTGGGTGGATCAAGCTGGTTGATGTGGAAGCTAGTCTTCATGAAGAACATCCGATCTGCTTCCTCCATGAATGACTCCGGTGCTCCCATTGTCTTGACGAGTTTTCCGATGGAGGATTTGGCGGATATTGGCTGTGGTGCTACCATGCAGCGTACACCCTTAAAAGTGTCGGGTCGATGGCGCATTGCTGAGAATGTCGCGTTTGCGCCGGCGCAACGACTGAATAGTCCGATAGTCATATCCTTCAAATCCTCTCTTCCACGAACATACTTCAACGATCCAAGCACATCCCTCCATTCAAAGAACCCAAACAGACCCTGATTTCCCTGTCCGCTCAAACCATGGTTTCTAAGATCATACACAAGGACATTATACCCCCCATCGTGGAGGATCTTGTAGTCAGGGATGAAATTAACTTCAAAGTCGTTGCCGGGCATGAGATTATTCCAGGGTTCGAGATGGGAGGGGATGCCTGCACGGTTGAACCAGTGTGGATGGTTGGCGATTATGATCTTGTTGGAGTTTGCGCAGGGGATGAACCAGCCTTCTAAAGGGACGCCGTCGTCGGAGGGGAAGTAGATGTCTTCGTAGGAAAGATCAGCTTCGGAGGGGTTGTGCATTATCGGGGCCAGCGGCCAGCCTCTGAAGTCGTCTATGACCGTTTGAAGGACAGCTCTCAATTCGTCTGATGCCATTTTTGCTGCTTTTGGTTTGTGTTTTAATTGCTGTTGTCTATGGTACAATTGGTGATAGGGCAGGTGTTCTTATAATATGTCGTCCTGGCATGTAAGACGATCTGCCGAGAATTGAGGCTATTCAACCTTATCAGTCCAGACTTGCCGTTGGAGGAATTCCCCACTGAATCCTTCGTTCATCTTTAGCTTATCGACTCGGCTTTATAAATCGTCGCGATTTTATCCCGATTCATGTCTTGTCTTTTTCGCGAGAAACTCTGCTTGTTATCCCCGCTAACTCCAAGCGCTGCATGTACAGGGGTCAGATATAAGCGTCATAAACTGCATGGAACTTTGGTGTTGCTTCGAAACAGCCCACGATGCGCAAAATAGCACAGAGATTGGGAATTGAAGAGGCACGTAGCATAGGTTGAGTCCAAACCACCATCGGGATTATGCAAATACTGCATATTTCCGATCATGAAAGAAGGTATGATCGATTGGAGACAACGTTCAATTGAGGGAAAGTATCCTACTAACTCGATCTGATACGCCTCATGCTTGGTACACCGCAGCCTCAGGAGGATATCCCGTCAGCTTCGATCCAGGTCCAGGTCTGAACTTGGGCTCCTTGTACCACTCCTGCGCAGTCTCAGCAAGTTCCTTGACCTTGGAGAACTCAAACTCTGGCTTCTCCAAAAGATCGTAGATACCCTGCGCATAGTCCTCTGAGATGTTGTATACCTGCGCCAAATACTTGCTCTAAGGGGAAGTCAGCTTGTGTTAATTAAGGGATAACTATGCATGCTTACCTGGATCTCGGGATACTTGACACGTCGAAGACCCTTGGCTGTGTTGTAGCAAGTATTCTTCTTCTCCTGCTCACTCATAACTCTTGTCCAAAGCTCCTTGGCTTGGTCGTAGTCGTTCTTCTTACCCTCGTGCCAATAGTGACTAGACCTACTCACGATGTTGTCGTTCACCTGGTAAGGAGCCTCGGCTGCGTCAGGTCTGAATTTGTGAGCGAAACTGTTAGGGGCGTATTGCTTGTTGCCCGCATGATTGGCATCTGTACGCATTGGCCCATCAAAGTTCAGTGAGGCGTAGGACTTTGCCATGAAGGGACAATTGACGGGGATTTGGTGCAGGTTGACGCCGATTCGGTGGTACTGGGCGTCGCGGTAGAAGAACATGCGGAATTGAAGAAGAGGATCGGGCGAGTCTTCGATACCGGGGACCATGCTGCCTGGAGAGAAAGCAGCCTGCTCAACATCCCGATGGAAGTTCTCGGGGTTCTTGTTAAGCACAAGTCTTCCAAACTCCTTCATCGGGAACTGCGATCTCGGCCAAACCTTTGTAACATCAAAAGGATCGAACCCAAGCTTATCAGGATCGGCCTGTCTAGGATCCATGACCTGCACATGTGCAGTCCACTCAATCTCCTCACCCTTCTCAATAGCCCCCCAGAGATCTCTCTTGGAGTAATCAGGATCTTCACCACACATCTGCATTGCTTCACTGTCGGTAAACTGCTTTTGGCCGTGTTTGGCGATGAAGTGGTACTTGATGTAGACAAACTCTCCGTTGGAGTTGACCCATTTGAAGGTGTGGCAGCCGTAGCCATGGTTGAAGCGCCAGCCGTGGGGGGTGCCGTGGTCACTGAAGAACATGAGTCCTGCATGGTTCGCTTCGGGGGTGTTGGCCAAGAGATCGAAGAGGGCGTCATGGTCCAGGAGGAAGTTGGTTGGGTTGCGATATTGGGAGCGGATGACGTCTGGTCCTTGGATAGGGTCACGGCAGAAGAAGACGGGCTGCGGAGTCAGTATGGACTTATTGAGAGTAGAACGGAAAGCTCACAAAGTTCAGACCAACAAGATCATAATTTCCCTCCATGGTGTAAAACTTGATAGCGAAACCTCGAGGGTTGCGAGCCTCATCCGGAAACTCTCTTCCAAGAGTGACAGTGGAGAATCTGACAAAGACCGGAGTCTTCTCTCCTTTAGACGAAAGGAAGTTGGCTTTCTACGATATGATCAGTCGTTGTAGATATGTCTCATATTGTAGCCTGGCTTACTGTGAGGTCGGTGACATCTTGAGTGCACTCAAAATATCCAAAAGCGCCGGAGCCACAAGGATGGACCATGCCTAAGATGTGTAAGTCTATATCCAACTTCATAGACAGTGCTGTACATACGTTCCAAGTTCTTGGATCTGTTGAAGTGCTGCTGCTTCCTATCTCAATGTCAGATTTGAAATTCATAAGGCGAAGAGGGAAACTTACTGCAACAAAAAGGTGTCGCTGATCAGCGGCATGCCTCCAACTGTCTTGCTATGCGCCCTAGACAAGCATCAGTACATTTCTGAGCACGATAATATCAAAAAACATACGGATCAGGGAAGGGGTGGCCTTCGTTGTTGGTAAAGTAAGCGCCATCATCTTCTCTCTTCCCTCCACTCACGGCACCAGACACCTTGGCGATAACATCAGCTGGTCCTTCATTGGCACCCATCATATGACTTGAGCGAGGAGGTCTGCGCTCTCCTTGTGCTTCAGCACTGATGGCATTGCCAATAGCCTGGAGGGGATGTTGGCGCGGGTCCAGTTGGTTGGAGTTCTCCATGGTGAAGATTTCTATGCAGACCACTTCAGGATGAGGAGACGAGAACAGGACTAAATAAGGCAGAGCAGGGCATACCTTATAACCCTCTTCTCACAACCCATTCCTCCCAATTGTCAAGTATCATGTCGTCGCGCATACAAAGAAAGCACTACTGCCCGGAGATTACCTCCGGATCGTTGACACATCGTAAAAGCATATCGATAGTAGATGTGCAGCAAACACCATCAATCAAACATAGTGCCAAGCCAAAGACATCCAAAAAGCTCCGGGGTCCAATAGAATCCACCGGATTAAAAACCGCTGAGGAAAATTGACCTAGAAATGACGGTTATGTTGTCGTCATAAGAGGATAATCGATATTTCTCACCGCCCGAAATATGCATCTATGATCGTATTAAGAAGCAAACTCCGAAACATCGTGCGGGGGAAAGAGAAGTTGAAGTGAATGTGTGTTTGGAATCATTACCTGGCTGTTGGGATTGGAGAGATTGGTCCGTTGTAGTGAATCCGTTAGAGGGTGACTGGATAACGCGTGGTGATTGGATTTCTCTCACCTTTCCGCGTAGGCTAAGATTACTCACCAAAAGACATCAAAGAATAGGCAAGAGCTCTTTGGTATTTTCCATATGACGATTCTAAATAATTCTGGTTGTTGTTCTTTCTAATTTTCTAAGGTCAGTCTGGCTCCTTGTGCCTTTGATAACCGGTAACAAAACCAGTAAAAACTGCAATGAACTTTTCCAATTTCCAATCTCTATCATTGCGATGATTTCGAGAAGAGAAAAATCTTTATATTTCCAAATGTCTATTGCAGTGGTATTGCCGTTATCGCGACGTTATCAAGTAAAATCATGGCTAGGGGTCCTCGCCAGGACAGAGATCCTCAGTGAGACTTAAGAGGCCAATTTCTGCTGCCTGTTCAAAGTTCTCAAAATCATATCAATGTGCCCAACCCTATTGCAGCAATGGAAATTAAGCTTTACTTGTCACCTATAAGAACCCCCAAAGCTTGCTCTTCTATTGAGCCCTAATACAAAGTTACTTACAAGATGTAAAATTCCCTGAGCTGCTCCTGATTCCTTCTTCTCCTTTAATCATCACCACAACCTCCCAATCCGCACGGCAGTAAGTAACTTTCAAGGTAATCGTTTCCCGAGTTACCAGAGGTCTGATAATTTTCAACAGTAGTCTTGGACATGATTGATCCCTTAGCATCTCATCATGTCGTGAGTCGTTGGAAATTCGACCTGGCCGCTCGATGGTACTCAATCCAGTCTGAAACCCTACAGATTCCCGATCTTTTTGGCTTTTTCACCTCGGAGGGCTCACCTCCAAGCCAAGTGTTCGACGTTGAAAGCGTCATCAGGCTATTGGTCTGCCAGTTGTGCTTGGCCCTTCTCTACCCATTCTGCATCATCCTCTTACCACAAATCGGGAGATCTCGAGCTTTGGGGGCTTTTGGGACCATATTGATAGCATAGCTCATAGTGTTCGGTATAGCTTGGGCATTCGCATATACCAGCCCTCGCCTCAGTTCTGAAGACTTGGGAACATGGCAGTACAGGGACGATGATAGTCATATCCAATACTGGAAGGAAATCTCTGAGTGCTTTTGGAGAGGATGGGAGAGGTTCATTTTACACCAACTAGCCTTTTGTCTCGTCTTTTTTATTGATTTGTCTTCGGTATGGCGGACGGTGGTGGTCATCGTGGATGAGGCAAGAAAGATGTTTATGCGGTCGTTGGTGAAAGGCGCGGAACATACCGCGGGAGAGACAGCGTGAGTTTCAACGTCAATACCCAGTCCAAACAGGAATTTTTCAAAGGTAGTAGAAGAAAACCTACGATTATGTATGAATTTCCAATGCGAGACATTCCTCGATGGCTTCAAGACAGTTTCAGTTCTGCTGGTCCGTAAGTGACTGTTGATGAATCATGCACATTGTCTCAGAGGACAAAGCCTTTGGATTTTACCCTACACAAAGATCTTTATTTATACTGCTGGGGCCAGAGTTCTTGGATACATGCCCTTCGGTGGAAGTAGTCGGGAAATAAGTCTTTTTATATCAATCATCTCCGCCAGCGTTCGGCAACTCCACGGATCACCATGCCGAGGCCAGTCAACGCTCAGGAGCAAGAAACCCACAGGGCACAAAATCTTGTTCCTGGCCTGACCAATCATTAGTAGAGATCACTAGTGCAGATCGATCAAATCTAGGTCTCGTCGCCCTGAAACCTTATTCAATAGTGTCTCAATGTCGTCAGGCACTGGAATTCGATCAGGAACTAGACTCAGAGACAATTTCCCAAAGCGTCAAAATGGGACTTTAGAGCGAGCAAGGGTCTGACCATCGAGAAGTGGATTTTATCTGCGTTGGCGCTATGTCGGATTTATCGATTTTAAGCACAAGCTGAGCCGCAGTTCAGCAGCATAAGCACAGAAATACGGCGGAGATAATCACAACGACTTGGCTGTAATTGGAAGCTGGAATACGAAAAATAAGCGGTTGCTGACAATTGACGGAAAATTGCCAAATTCCGTTTTCCGCGCATCAGCTTTTGATATGCTGATTAGAAATGGATATAGCTGCATATTCCTAGTCATATATAAAGACACAAGACCAAGGCTTTGATAGAAGTTCAATCCAACGTTCGCCTTACCCAATAACATACAGATTATTCTACTCTTCACCTCATTATCAACATCAAAATGGTCACTGTTGCAGTTGCAGGCGGTACAGGCAAAGTTGGCCGTACCATAGTCGAGGCTATTGTTGCAGCAGGAAAACATGAAGTCGTTGTCCTTAGCCGAGAAGTAAATCTTCCAATCTAGTCAGGTATGACAGTTTGACTAACTGGAGTTAAAGGAAAACAAATCCTTGGAACAAGAGCTTGGCGCTCCCATCCTGGCGGTTGACTCCCACGACGTCGATGCCCTCACCCAACTCTTCGAAAAGCACAATGTCCACACCATTATCTCAACATTCGGCATGAATGGTCCAACACCTCCAGAACTCGAACTCATCCAAGCGGCAGAAGCATCTCAGTCGACAAAGCGGTTTATTTCAAGTGATTGGGGTTTGCCTCACACAGAAGAGTAAGCAACCTTTGATTTCTAAATAACTCAGCAAGATAAAGAGAGTTGGAGCTGACATACATTAACAGACACACCAAACAAGCAAACTCAGCAAACAACAAGTTCCGCGCTCAAGAAGAGCTTCGAAAAACAAAGCTCGAGTGGACATCTATCCACAACGGCTTCTTTGTTGATTTCTGGGGTTCTTCTGCAACGAAGTCTTATTTGCACAACGCCGCTACCTTTTTGGATATCAAACATCGAACAGCTGCTATTCCAGGTTCTGGAGACGTTCCCGTTACGTTCACGTTTAGCAAGGACGTGGCAAGATATGTTGCTGCCTTTCTTGACCTGGAGAAGTGGGAGCAAAGGACGTTTATCATTGGTGATAAAGTTACGATGAATGAGATGGTTAAGATTGCGGAAGAAGCCACAGGTATGTTGTTTGTCAGTGGGAAACCGAGGCACAGAAAGCTAACATTACTCAAGGAGATAAATTCACTGTCACTCACGACGATATCGAGACGTTGAAGAAGGGACATTTGACTGAACTACCTGGCCATGTTCCTATGTACGACTTTGTGCCCAAGGCTGTGTTACAAAGTGTGATGGCAGCCTATGGCTCATGGGTAGAGACTGGTGGTTTTGATCTTGATGAGAGTAGGACGTTGAACAAGGAGTTTCCTGATATCGAGCCAGTTAGTGTCAAGGACTTTCTGCAGGAAGCCTGGGGAACTAAGAACTAGACTATGTGTCGCTATCTAAATTCAATACACAATCGTAATTGCAGACATTAATCATAGAATCGCGTGGTTTTTCCGACAGCTTAGTATCGAACAGCAAAACATAGGATGGAAAGGCGGGTGCGGTAGAGACTACAGTCGACAAGTGGACCCATACTCAGATTTGTTCCTCGCGATCTTGATCACCAGGTCTTGTGATCCTTCGATGCCCAGAAAGGAAGGAACGCGACTAGCCAATACGATTAACGACGGTCCAAGGCTAAGTCGCGCGACCTTGTCGCAGATCTAGCCGATTGCCAAGTCGATTAAAGCCGGTCCTGTTCCTGAACTCCCACAATGACATCAACCATGGCCCTTGGCACAGACAATTCTCCTTCCGACAAGGAACTCTCGTATTCCGTCAATTCACAGACATCAATCAGGAACAAGGCACCGATCTAGTTACCCCAGCACCACCGAAAGCAGCCACCAAACGGATACCGCCGCATAAGACAACTTCAGGCAATTGGCCCTGACTATCAAGGGCCCACCGGAGTCGGGAACCTTGAAAGAAGACAACGCCGGGCGCAAAGAGAAAAACGTGGAAGAAACGACCATTTTCTACAGTAACGGCGAAAATAGATAAGACAGTATCTGGAATCCATCGATTAAGGCTAGACACTCGGCCGGTATGGGAAGAGCCAAGTAGGGAATGATGGTTGCGGGTGGTGGAGTGGCTGGAATGTCTTGGGCGTCTTAACCCAAAGTGAAGAGCAGACCGCACGCGGCAAAGACAAAAGCGATGGCAAATTGATCAAGATAGAGTTGAGATCAAAGACACGGTTGGCCGTCGGGTAGCAAAGACATATAAACCCGATAAACCCGTGGCCTTGGTATGTCTCGAAATTCCTCATCACCACCATCAGCTTCACTCACTCTCAGCTTCAGCCTTCACTCAAGATACCTCTCGACATTCGCTTCGAAACACTCGCTCCGATAATCACCTCGACGCAGCAAAAATGAACAAGGTCCTCCTCATCGCTCTTTCAGCTTCCGGCGCTCTCGCCGCGGTGCAATACTCGCCCAGCTTCCCCCTCCTCGCAGTCCGTCAAGTCGTCGAAGTTCCCTGCGCGGACCAGGGCCTCAAAGACTGTGGTACCGGCTGTATCCAAGAAGACTGGACCTGCTGTCCCAGCAAAGCCGGCGGTTGTCCTCCGACTGCCTACTGCGAAGTAGGCACCAATGCGCAGTACGGCTGCTGTCCCAACGGCAGCGTCTGCAATGGCGAAGGAGGCGGTAGTACTCGCGCCGAGACCAACACTCTTACTCTTTCCGGTGGAGGTACGACTACTGTTGTTCAGGGCGGCGTGAACACGGGCGAGACTCAACCTCCCGTTGTTGAGGGATCTTCGACTGCGGTTATTGTTCCTCCTCCTGTTGATACCGCTTCTGTTCCTCCTGTCCTCCCCAACCCTGGTACTCCTGTTCCTCTGCCCAGCCCAGAGACTCCTGGTGTTCCCGTCGTTCCTGTTCCTACACCCAGCACGGTTATTGTCAACGGTGGATCGTCCAACAGATACAGCTTGTTTGGTGGTATTGTGGCTGGTGTCGCCGCTCTCGCTCTTTAAGGACACGCGTTTTCTTTTGTAATGGAATCATATAGATTGCTGGTTTAGATGGTGGACATTGGGGTGGAGGACAATTCAGTATGGGAATACCAGGCATTGCCATCAGCCTGAGGGGATATAATTATTGTTGATCGAGTTATGGAATATCAACTCACTCATTAGAGGGATCTAATTTGTTTCTCAAATATTGCGCGTCACTAGAAATGTTCCTTGGGATCATGGTTCGTGTGAAAATGTGGTATCAATTATTCTATATAACATCAAAGCCAGGCTCTACACCCGGCATTACTTTTCTCATAAATCATCGCTTATTCAATCTTGACACAGACCTTGCCCTGGTGCTGGCCAGACCACTGGTACTCGTAAGCCTCACGGAGCTGCTCCAGGCTGAAGATCTTGGGGTCGACAACAGGGCGGAGCTTCTCGATGTTGGCCTCGACAGCGCGGCACATGTCCTCCATCTGGGTTCGGCTTCCGACAAGGAGACCGCGGGTGGTGCAGAGGTTGGAAAGGCAGTCAAGGAATCCGGGGTCGTTCTGGCCAGTGCCACCGACGAAGCCGATGATGGAGATGACACCGTCGATCTTGATGGCGTTGAGAGACTGCTTCATGGAAGAGGGACCGGCGACCTCAATGATGTGGTCGACACCAGCACCGCCGGTGATCTCCTTGGCCTTGGCTCCCCACTCGGGAGTCTCCTTGTAGTTGATGATGTGGTCAGCACCGAGCTTCTCGAGAAGCTTGGCCTTCTCGCTGGAGCTGGTGGTAGCGATGACCTTGGCGCCAGCAGCCTTGGCGAACTGAACAGCGAAGATAGAAACACCACCGGTACCCTGGGTAAGGACCCACTGGCCGGGCAGGAGCTTCTTGCCCTCAAGACCGTAGAGACCGTTCCAGGCGGTCAGACCGGCGCAGGTGAGAGTAGCGGCCTCGTGGAACTCAAGACCCTTGGGCATGGGAACAAGACCTTGCTCGTCGAAAGCACCGACGGATCGGAAGGTACCGTCAATGACACCACCGAGACCGGTCTGGACGGAGAGGTTGTCGAGAGAACCGCCGATGTGGCCCTGGTTGAAGAGGGTGACGACCTTGTCGCCGGGCTGGAAGCGGGTGACGTTCTTGCCGACGGCGAGGACGGTACCGGCACCATCGGAGCCGGGGACGACACCATCCTTGGCGGGGAAGGGGTATCGGCCGATAGGGAGGATGAGATCACGGTAGTTGAGGGAAGCACCCTGGACTGTGAAGTGTTAGATGAGGCATCATAAGATGTTGATGAGAAGACTTACGCTTGACGAGGACCTGACCGTCACCGAGCTCAGGAGCGGGAGCCTCACCGAACTTCATACCACTGAAGTCCTTGGCATCCCGAGAGGGAATGGTCCACTGCTTAACAGACTGAGGAATAGACATTGTGAAGATGTGTTTGTTGGTGTTTGTTGTTTGGGAGAAGGTTGTTTGTATGATGAGTTGTAGCAGACGGGTCTAGATGTAGTCTTATATATCTTTACAGAACAACAAAAAACTCTATAAACAGAACTGACGATGCTCGAAAGATGGAGATTTGTAAGGAAACAATGTCTGTGCATGAGATTTGTAAGAATTGTTTCTTTGAATGAAGCTACGATACTGACGTAACTGTCCCGAGTGGATACATCTTGACGTTTTAGTGGCAATTGAAGCTTCAACTGCCGAAAAGGTGATGGAGAAGAAAAACTATGGAGAACCAATTGCGGGCTTTGGACTAAGAATTCCGATGGTGAGGCCATTCATATTTTTTCGGGTTTACGGAGTCCACAAAGACCCACGCGGATCCGAGATTCGTCAATGCCTTCCGAGTTTAGAGAGTAGAGCCGCTCGGGGCGTTACCGCTTCGGTGGGATGGAGGGACGGTGGTTTGTTCTAGAGGGTGCGGTGCTGGAGTTGACGTTGAGATCTTGTCATTGGGTTGTATGCCACGTTGTTCTAATGACTCGTGGTTCATGCAGAATGCATCTGCAGTAGCTGCATGCATTGAAGCTTGGACTAGCACATACCTTTATGTCCTCGTTGGTATTGCGATTATCATGAATCTGTGATAACGAATCTGTATCTTCTTTGAATTGAAAGTAAACAATTGCATGGTTATCGGGCCAAGCAACCAATTCGTAGCCTTAGCCTTGTAATACCGGGGCTTAGGTACCTCTAGCCCCGCCAACTGTCATCTGTCATCAACATCTACCACTATCAAGTCTACCATCTCATCTAAACAAATCACATAATACTCCCGATCGATCAATCCATGGCTCAGTTTAACGGCCTCGGTCTCCAGCTCCCAAACTCCAGTGGACCCTCCACCCCTCGACGCCCCATCACGCCCGTCCCAGCTTCACAACCTTCAGTAACAGGCATAGTCGTCTTTTCAGGCGGTAGCGCCGCTAACAACCTCGTCGATGTCTTCGAGAGTCTTCGAGAAGCGAATCACTGCGCCCTCAGCTACGTGATCCCCATCTCCGACAATGGCGGTAGCAGTAGTGAGATCATTCGCGTCTTTGGTGGACCAGGTTAGTCAATGCTACCACGTGGCATGGCATACTAATGCTAACTGGAAATAAAAAAGGTATCGGTGATGTGAGGTCTAGACTTGTTCGCCTTATTCCCAACGATGGAAACCCGGAGACCGCGGCTATTAAGCACTTCTTCAATCACCGCCTTCCCAAGAACTACGCTGTTGCTAGATCGGAATGGTTTGAGATCTTGGAGGCTACGCATCCACTTTGGGAGGACATCTCGTCGCCTAAACGGGAGCTTATCCGGTCTTATCTCAATAGCTTCAATCTTGAGGTTGTGAAGCGCATGAAGCCGAGTAGTCGCTTTGACTATTCTGGTGCTAGTATTGGAAACCTCTTCCTCACTGGTGCTCGTCTCTTTACGGGTAGCTTTGAGGCTGCTATTTACCTATTGAGCTCTATCTGTTCTGTGCCGGATAGAATAGCGGTCCTTCCGGCGCTCAACACTAACTTTGCCAGTCATATCGCTGCTGGACTGGAAGATGGCATGATAATCACTGGTCAAAATGACATTTCTCATCCCAGTGCTCCCACGGCTGCTGTACCTGGGACATCAGCGGGTGTGCATAGCCCATCGGTAACGCGAAATGACCCGTGGGATCATGATCACCATCATGTAGAGGACGCAAACTTACCCGGCACACTACCTGCACTGCGACGACCAGCAATTGCTTTCTCCAAAGAACAAGAAGAGGATCTACCAGCCAGGATCTCACGACTATGGTACATCAATCCATACGGTGAAGAGATCAAGATGCCCGCCAACCCAAGAGTCCTGGACGCCCTCCGATCCGTGCACAGCGTAGTATACAGTATCGGATCTTTGTTCACCTCACTAATTCCCAGTCTCGTCCTACGCGGAGTAGGAGACGCCATTACGAGTCCACACGTGCGCAACAAGATTCTCATCCTTAATGGCACAACCGACCGTGAGACGGGACCTTCCACATCACCCTTTACGGGATTAGACTTTGTTGGCGCTATTGCAAATGCTCTCGCTGACTCACGAGGTCTGCCAAAACCTTCAGAAGAAGAGTATAATAAGTATGTGACGCATGTTATTTACATCGAGGGTCCGACGTCGCCGAAGGTGGATAAACAGTATTTTGGACAACTGGGTATTGATGCGACGAGGTTGTATGGGCCGAAGGATGAGAAGGGTCGAGGTGGGAGGTATGATGCTAAGGCGTTGACGCAGGCTCTTGAGACGATTATCGGGAGGAAGGATGTTCGATCGGATAGGAGTCGACGAAATACTCTCGTGGGGTGAGTATGCTACTATGGTATAAGCCTCATCGTGGTGCAATGGCCATGACTCAGATGTGGCTAGACGATGAAGAATATGGGAGACATAAAAAAAGAATATGTATTAGATGTTATATCGATGTGGTATGCATTCAAACTCCAGGTCTGACCTATATGCTATCCATCCCATCCTTAACTTGATAGGCAAAGTAAGGTACCTCGAGGTATCGTATCTCCCAAAAATGCGCCGTCCATATCGCTCATAACCAGCAACGCTTTCCATCCCAACCCAAGTAAATGTCATTTTGTCATCCAGATTCCATCTCATCAATCGACATCGGCGGGAGAGAAGATGAGATACGCCATGACAACAGGCCAAGCCGTGGATAATAACAGCGCTCCAAGTACAGACCCTCCCGTCGTACGCACACGGTCGTAAGGGCCCTTCCAGCGATCGATAAGGGCGCAGGTGCTGAAGATCATGGCGCAGGCGTAGAGAGATGCAGCCCAGAAGATGCCGAGAAACATGTCCGCCTGTCTGTCTTCGGGGCTGATGACAACGCCCGAGAGGTCTGGGACAAATGTGGAGGAGAGGTTGGCGCCCATTGTGTCGGACTTTGTTGTAGTAGAGAATATGTGGGTTTTGTTCTTGTTTGTTGGTAGTGAGAGTGAGTGTTACCAGACCAAAAATTAAAGAGAGGTTCGTTCTGGTAATAAAAAGGATTAAGATGTAAGAGGTCACTCGTCCAGCGAGGAGAGAAAAAGAATGAGAATGAGTGAGACTGGGCTGAGGACTTTGGTCTGGAAAGAGCGAATCGTCGTGACAAAAGAGCATCTCTTGATGCATGGGATGAAGCAGGGATAGTACAGCTGACCAATTAGAGACTTGGGAGGGTCATTCTTTGAGGTCGGGGCCAAGACGACCCGGTCGCGGATGCGTCTCGTTGGTTGAAACATCTGCCACTATCGAGACTAGGGACCAATTGAGGTTGTCTTTAAGCGCGCGGTATCTATAGTCCAACTGCCAACATATCACATAGAGCTAAAAGACTAGGCGCTGGGCATGAGCTGATTGATTAGAGTTATCGTGAGATCTCTCTTTGTTTTTCTCTTCTTTCCCTTCATTCCCATTGACTTGTCCTATTGATCGCCCTCTCTATTATGCTGGGCTTGTCTCCAGATCTGTTTCACATCTGGGGCGATGGCCCGATGTGACCATGGTAAAACTCAGAACAAACATCTTAACTATGGGGTGATGCAGATAAACCCCTGCACCTCAGAATTTTTATGTATAGCATTGATTAATATTCTTGGCTTTTGCCGTTCTTGGCTCATCCGAAACTTGGGACGTCCGATTGAACTCTCCCTCTCGTCGGGTCCATGCCGAGCCGGCCCACTATTTACAGTACAGTAAGCCAGGGGTCTACCTAAGCCTCGGGCATGTGACGTCTTCACCATGTCCCCTCATGGATTGAAGGTTTGTTGTGGTATGTTATTTTGCAGGCAGCAAGGCAGCAAGGATCAAACGTGAGGTTGGATACATCGACCAGTCACGGTTGCTGCTTTGGATCAATCATCAATCTCCAGAGGGTGACAATATAGCTAGGGAGTATTTGGTGGTAGCTAGCGCATTATTTCTGTCGGCATTGCTTCAAGAGTTTCCGACCCACGTGACTGCAGGTTCGGTATCCTCCAACAACTTGAACTACAATATCGAGGTTCAAACTGTGTTAAAGGAATTGGGTTCAGCTGATAGTAAGAGTTTGTCTATCTTTCTTACACTTAATAAAGTCCTCTGATATTTTGACCACTATTGTCCCAGTAACTTTAAAATTTCAGCATCAGATGATATGAAAATTGTCAACTGCATAGTCTGGTACCCTGAACGATATTACCATCATCCTTTGAAAGTCAAACACGCCCAATGGCCTTTTAGATACTATCTTATTGATGGTATAAGTTTTCCCCTTTCAGTCATTGTATGATGGATGACTCAAACCCGCAGTCAAACTTTGCAAACCAAGAAGATATGGAAGAACATGGAATTCAGCAAACGATGATAAACTCAAAAAGAAAAAAGTACAAGAAGACAGTCTGCCCCCATGTCTTTGAAAGGTCAGATTTCTTTATTCCATTCCCAGACAGTGAAAAAACGTACTCTTCTGTTTTCTCTGCTTCTTGTTCAAGTACACAAACAATCTTTCCGTACAATCTCTCTACAGACAAACCTTCACGAAAAGTCTCTACAAACAACCATCGTACGAACAAGCTCTATACAAGCACTCTAATCAACAATCGTTCTAGTTTACCAGAAGACAAGTCACAGCAGGTTTGTCTCATCTTCAGACACAGCCTACGCTCTATCCTGCCAACCCACAGACTTGTTTTACATACCATCAACAGTCAAAATGGTTCTCCTCCCCGAGACTCGCGATCGAGTACATGGTCACTACCTCTGGTTTTCAGTCCACCTGTGCGACTTCTACGAAAGGCTGGACAACATGCCCAAAGTCCAAGCTGCAATGGATGAGCTCTGGGCCGACTGGTATAAGCATCAGCCGGTGACCTGCATCATGGACCCAGACTATAATGACCTCCTCAAAATGTTTGCTCTGTGCATGTTTACCAGCACGAGCTACACCCGCGACAACCCTGACAAGTCAACTTGGGGCGAGATGTCTCATCTCACGCGCTTCTGCATCAAGATGCACCTTGTTCTCAGAGAACTCAATCAAGATAGGCATGGTGCTGGCTGGTACGACAGTATCGAGGCCGCTATGCACTATGCGAAGCTGAGAATCAAGATACGGGTTTCTGATGCTGAGTTTGCGAGAGATATGGAGACGCTCAGAATTCATGATGCGATGCTTGATGAGGGACGGCACCTGCTGGGGCTTTAGAGTGAGAGGAAGCTGTTATTAACAGGGATCACTTGACTCAGGCCTTCATTATACAACTATCGATAACGCTCATCTGAGGTTAAACTACACATTGAGAAGATGCCGTTATCACAGGCACCACTCAATCTTATTACACGTCTCTATCTCATTGCGACATATTCATCAAGCAAGCTCAGCTTACTTATTCTACACTACTACATCTCATTCGATACACCAACTACACATTCAACACATTAACTGCACACTCAACAAATGGTTTCAGGGAGTGAAAGGTTCACATTATGAACAAGAAGCAAAAGCTTCTTGATGTTTTGGAAAAGCGTTTTATGAGAGACGGGAAAAGCATTTTCATGCATGGCACCTGCTCGGCGGTTTAGAGAAGCGTTTTTGAGAGGAAGAAGAACCTCGTGGAAGAACCAATGTTTGCATGAAGCAACTGGTTCAAAGCTTTATGTACAAAGAAATTCAGCAAAGAACCGATTTAACCAATACTTGATTTCTTATGCCCCTAAGAGTGACAGATGAACGATTTCATGTATATGTCGTCTACATAATATGAGAATATGATATCAAGCAAGCAAGGGAAGAAGTTTGCGCAATAATAAATCCTTAATTTCTTGCATTGGGATGGGATCAGAAAGGTCTTGTGAGTTACGAAGTCTGCAAACTAAGTGAGGAAAGTCTTAACGGTCATCCTCACGAGTGTACTAGTCCCCTGTGCAAGGGTTAGTATGTCCCTAGGTAGTAATGACCCTTAATGTACGACAAGTCGGTAGTTGTTGCTACTGGTAGGTTGTTGGGCTTCCTTGAATTACATGAGGCTGTATCACAAGGACAGGCGGCTATGAAACCCTTGCAAGAGACGGGGATTTTCATAGATATGTTCAAGCTTAAGAACAAGCAAATTTCAGTAGTTGCTGGGTCTGAAAACGTGATACTGTTTACCATGGCTTGGCGGTATTGACATCGAATTGGTGTTATTTACCACCAACTGGATCATAGTCACGCTGCTATATTCTGGCTTTACTGAACGAGAAGATCAATAAACATTAACTTTGGCGTATAGCTAGAATCGATTCGACTTATGCGTGAAGAGAGCAAAGCCCCACTCCTCTCCCGTACCTATCATTTGCTGAGACCACTCCAAAAACATCAGTGAAAGAAACGTCGAGATTCCATGCCTTAGACCTGTACGCAGAATCAAGCCTAACATCCCCGTCTTTGGTATCTATGCGCGTTATCCACCTGAGCATAGTGATGGTCCCTCGACCCTGATCTTGGGGAGCTCTCGACAACCATAGGCATGCCTGGGGGCACAGGGGCCCATGGTAACCAAGGTGTTGTTTGGCTGCTATCCGGGCGTTTGTATCTGATAGTCGGCCGTAAGACAGCTTCTGGAGGTGAAGGAAGGTAAGAAGTCTGGGCTGACTGACTGCGGTGATAGACACATAGTTGATCATATGGGCTTGCCTTGGGCAAGCCGCAGTCAAGCAACACGCAGGCTTCCTTTGGGCAACAGCCATTAGGAACCTTGGCCTCTCCATGACAACGACTAGTGATACAACGATGATGTGGACAATAAGGAGAGTTGAACTTGTCAGTACGGCTTTGTTCAGAACAGTCCGCCCGCCTACAGGTATGCCAGGAGCACAGACGGCTGTTATAGCCCCTGGAGTCCCCAATAGAATTACTGCAGTTCATGACGCAGCACCGATCTAAGGCGGGGTGTTAGCCAGGAAATGTCACGAGAGATAGGCACGTACGTTTGTTGCAATACCTGGTGTCAGAAGCCCCACCAATGTCTCTCCTTCGCTGACAGGTCTGCACATAACACTCGTGCTCAGCACAAAATGAAGATCCTGTCTGGACAATAGCATGACATCCTCTCATGCTGCATCGACGATGATAGATGCAAAACTCAAATGGAGAATCGTTGCCATCCGATCCGACATGCTGAGTACAGCCTGATGAGGCACAGGGCTGATGGTGATGACACTTTTCTGTATCCCTGCCTGTAGCAAAGGTTTCCTTTGTACAGTTCGGCTGCTGACAAGTGTGCTTATCACAATAGTGCTTTGAGCTCCGATCTGAAGAACAGTCTGCAACCTCGCATTGGTTTTCGTCACCATGCTTGTCACAGTACTTACTCTTGGGACTGCGACGATATCTCCAGCAGTCTTTGGTCTTGCAACGATCTGCGCCAAGTCAGTTGCCCTGTTAGTTCCTAGATAGATATGAGTCTTACGGTCAGAGCAGAACCACCAGTCCTGTGAAGGAGTTGCTGCTTTCATCTTGGAGTATTTGAAGTCGTCGTCCTCTTGTAAAGCCCTTTTTCCACAACCTGGATGGCTGCACTGGCCATCTATACAAGTTAGTAACTGCCCCTAAGCCAAATAAATGGACTACTTACGGTAGCTGCAGAACTTCTCACCCCTTTCGGTCATAGTCTTGCATCCATAGCCAGAGTGGCAGCTGTCTTAAAACTTGTTATTACTTCCTTTCGGTAATTGGGCAATACACTTACGACGGCCACAGTACATGGAATACTTCCCATTACCACTATGCTGGAACTTGATCGTTTCCTTGTTGCAATCTGGATTGGCACACTTCACGTGTGGACGACGGTAGGAACTGCGACCGCTGGGACTGTAACTGGATCTGCTCATGATGCTGTGGTATGGACTGTACGCGGCGTACTGATAGGGATTATGCTGAGTTGGATAGTCGGTATCAATCGTGATGGTGTATAATGAGGTCAATGATGTAGGTATGGAAATTGATGGAAAATGGGTGATGAGGTGCGGCGTCTCCGAGATTTATATAATTGCAAGCCTGAGGTCCAAGAATGCCTTGGACGTCTCCCCAACGGATAGAACCGCAAGCGAGTCTCGGTTAGGTATGTCTATATTGACTTCAGTTACACCTTGGTTGTTTTGCTCGCATCGACCTCCACAAACGTGGGCTTCCACTGATCGTTACACTTCCCTGAAGCCGATACACCTTGCCATCTCCAGGAGCCTGGTTACCTCCTGAGCGGCATGATCAAATGATCATGAGGCTGAAAAGAAAGGGTTGAGCGAGTTTAGTTGCCTTTTTCTTGCTTCTAGTATATGTCAACTCTCCGCAGTAAGCCCGTAGCAAGGAGTCAAACTCACGATGTAACGGCCCATGTTCCTGAAGTTCAACAATCGCCACTGTAATTCTTGTTCAAGTTTTCGTTCGTAACGTCATAGTTCGCATCTCTATTCCTCTGCTTAGTATCGCTAATTGCGTATGACTTCAGCTGCGATGTACCAATTGGAATCGCAATCTGTGTCTACTTCTGTCAAACAATACAAACAGGTCAGTTGTATTCTCGTCTCGAATCTGCATCTTTTCAAGCCGCCTTGAGACTTTGACAGACGACTTTCAGCTCCATGAAGCAAGATATCGTCAGTCCAACAAACAGTAGCATTGGCAGGTGACAAGAGCTCTGGTATACCCGCTGTTGCACCTGTGTATTACATTTTTGTCCCTCCTCTTGTAAGACACGGCTGCCATCACGTCAAATCCGAAGAATCTCGGATCGAACAACAGAAACCTTTGCAATCGTGAGGCTCTTTCCCAAGGAGCTGGTCAGGCGAAGCGGGCGATATCGCGCATTGTTTGTGGGCCGTAAACACGACGGACAAAGATCACGATGGAAGGTGCTTGTTCGGAGATGGTACAGACGCCAAACTGTCACTCGAAAGTGTATTCGGAGGCCTGTGACTCTCGTTTAGTATGGTGCCTAAGAGTTGTAGACTAGGCCATGTAATACCGGACTGCTTTCGTGCTCCAGATGCACAGACTGTGGTGTAGGAGGCAGTGACGATATCGGGGATTTTCTTTGGACAACTGACCTTGGATTGCTGTCATGACAGATTGAGGCTCTGCAAACTGTTAACACTGGATTGAGCCTGCTTCTCCCTATTCACCCAAAGCATATGTTGCAGTCGGGAACCCAGCCTTGAGGTTAGGAGTCGTCATCTGGATCATTTTGAGGCCTCTAAATAAATGATCAGGTGTTAGAGACCCCAGATAGTGGAGGAACTCTTGGAATTGACGTCTGGCATCAAACAGCACTTTCCAGAACAATTGGAACATGTCAATGTGGCCCAAAAATTCGAATAATTGTTGTGTAGGAGTATTGGACTGCGTACGGTGAATGGGCAGGTAGAGGCGTAGTTTGCTTGTATTGACTTGAAAAAGAGAATCAGTTGACTCCTTAGCTGCAATAGCCCAAAATAGCGCCTTCTCTCAGGCCAACAGTTCCACCTTCCCTCTAACTCGTAAACTTTTGACTGCCCCATCCTTCCTTCCCAAACTATAGGTGATTCAGATTCAAGCCTAATAAAACGGAAGGCTGCAACAAACAACACCATGTTCTTCCGAACCTTCACTCGTACCAAGTCCATCGCCCAGAGCCGCATTGTGTCGTCTGTGTCGCCAATCTCCACGCAGCATTATGTCGCAATCTTCACCACAAAGAACGAGCATGCTGTAACCAATCTTGAAATGCGGCATGGTGCGTGATCATACCTAACACTTCCAATTTGTCTCGCCTACTGTCACCTCTATTAGCGGCAGATACTTGAGGAACACAAGGCGGACTTGCTGCGATGTTATGGCAGATACAAGACGCCAAAGTTGACAGTGGTAAGTCGGTAAGGCATCTGACCTGACAGCAGATATGGTCTCACGGAGCCTAGCAAGAGATGATCTTGCCCATGCAACCGAGGAGTACGTCACTGTAACGATGCAATGACCGCGACGAAAGACAAAGATCATGATGGAAAGCCTCCTGCATGAGAGGGCCACGAATGCGAACCATCGTCAGTAGGCAAACTGGTGAGTCATGATTCGCCCTGATTCAACAGAGGTACAAGATCGAGCTACTAGACGAGCAAGTAATAACGTGTACTGATCTGTTGCAGGAAAACCGCATCTTGGCTCACCACGATACCCTCACTCGCAAGCACTGCTTTCGATGCATATCAGTCATACGCAAACTCAACATCAAACACAGAAAGGCATGGTACTCACCTGGGCAAGCAAGTCAGTGACTCACTGACCGTTGACAGGCACCGAGTCCTCCGTCACTTGTCTCGTTTCTCGATGAGCCTGCGATATTTTCAAAAGTGGGATCCGAATTGCATTTAAATATCACCTTGATCATTACACAATGTACCTTCATCTATCTTCGCAAGGTTTACCAACTTGGGGGCTACCACTAACTATCTGTCAAAGGCCGGAGTGGTGAACGCGGTATACGATCGAAACGACGGAATCACCAGCCAGACAATTCCCTCCATAAGCGATCGTGCACCCAAGTGCACTGAACGATAGGCATATCTCAGCGGATGCCACTATTGAGAACGCTTTTCGGTCCGATTGCACAACCTTTCAGTACTCCTTGTGTCGGTCGGTATGTTTGCACTTGGCTTCTAACAAGCAATACACGCAAACATATCACGTCGCACGAAGACGTTGGCGTGCTCTTCTCGGCAGCAGTTTCTCCCTCTGATCGCCTGACCACTCAACAAGATTTATCCCATGAGTAGCTGATGTGTCATCGATTGAAAGCTCATGCTTAGCTATACACTGCATTGGCTCCAAAAGACCTCTATTGACCGGCGAGAGTTGATCAAGCTAGATCGGGGGGGAATGTATGAGCACTCTAACCGGGCGGCAATCGCATTTTTGGACCAGCTTCGGAGGCACCTCTATGTGTAATCCATGGAATGGGACGGCTGATACTTAGCAGGATGAACAGTTCCTTATTGACGACGGATCGTTACCGAGGCACATACACAGGCTTGTGGCCATGTTGCTTTCCCGGCAGATCTCAATTCACCTGATACGAACTCAACTCCCCTCAAGTTATGAATTACAACAATTGTTCATGTGCAAAGACCTTCAAATCACAGCTAACCAGTATTGCAAACTATTCCAACAATCATTTGACTTCATAGGTATGCTCTGCGCGTCGTCCGGACTTCCTGATTCAAGATGCGCGTCTCAGGGGGTGATACACAACCCCACGTGGACATGCTTCGGCTGACGTCGTTTGTCTTAGAAACAGCCCCAATGCTTGTGAATTACCATCTGCCACCGGCCACTCACAACCAGGCCAGCCACATTGCCGAGAACTTTCTGTTCATGGGACTGCCGAAGTTTAAGCCGGAAGTGCAAAGGTGCAAGCATTGCAAGAAAAAGCTATCATCATCGAATCAGGTAGTTGTTGCGTATGAAGTCAGAAGAAGGGGCTTGTGCATGACTGTCAGACCTACCATGCCCAAACCGTCGAAGCCGAAAGCCAAGATTCAGGACTAGTGATATCTCATAGCTTCAACAGGGGTCTACAAAGGTCAAAGGTTCGTTGCTTGTGGATATCCTAGAAGGGCTATTCTTGCGAGTCGCGTCTGGATGCTGATGTTCCTACTAGTCATTCCCAATTGGATTTGATACCAATGGCTATCATGCTACAATGATGAGCTCTTGAAGCGAGGAAGCAGGAAATGGCTGAGCTCTAGGTGAAGAGGGCATTACAAACGCTGAGGCGTGTGTACCTTACCCCTGACAAGTGACGGCTGCGTTTTCGTTGCAGAAATGACATCGACTTTAAGAGCTCGGCTGTTCATATCGAATGAGTAAAGCGGAAGACTATATCTATCCGTTGACTAGTAGCTGATCAGGCTCTTGCGCCGGTGATTCGTGCCACAATAGAGAGCTAGAGCTCAAATTCTCTAGGATCCGTGATAATGATGCGGCAAGAACGTGTTGTGCTTCTCCTCTGATCTTTACTAACATTCTGACAATTCCAGTTCGATCTCCCAACCCCTTCTTTTTGGTACCAGTCGGGGCTTATTTAATTCTTTCCGAGACCTCAGCCCTCCTCTTCATTACCCTAGAAGTCCATGTCTACCCAAACTTATACACGTTTCGTCCATGTGCACAGCGGATGTATTAGTTTTCGTCAAGTAAGGCCTAGGCACCTTTGAGTGGGAATCATTTCTTGTGACTATAGCTAACGGTAAGCTATCTGGCCCATATCAATAACAATCGACAACTCGGAACTACTGAGCTGCGAACCGAACTGCACCCTCTACTACAAGCTTCAACTTCCAATACACCCACGGCTACTACAGCTATTCATGGACAATGCCGAAAGACGAAAGTCAGACTCTACCATTTTCGCACGCACAGCCCTCTTGATAACGGAGCGGATCCCTCCATACATAGCCTATGCTCATAAGACTGAGACTTATCGGAGAGGCCAGTTGAAGCGAAAAGAGCATTCCGGATACCAGCATTGTGAGCTCGCATTTTGCATCGTGTTATGGTGTCTTTACAACGAAACCATCATAGTAATGGTAATTGGTGATATGTCCCGGTTCTTTTATGTCTCTCCATCAAATACAGGGGATCTACCCCAGTCCTCAACCAAAGCTCTGTGGCATTCGGGCAACGATGCATTGGGGTAAGGTATCTCTTAGCTTCAGGTATTGGCTGACCTTGCCAAACCTAGGGCGCCAAGCGGTCACTTATACGTCCAGGCTGGGGATAAATAGGGATTTCATCATTAAAGTTCCGCATACAAAGCAATAGCACTGATACGTTGACGACATCTTTTACTTTTACCCTACCCTAACATAAGCTTTCCTGTCGTCTATAAAAAGATTCGCTTGCCCCATTCTTCCATTTTCTCTTCCTGTAACTAACATATGATTTACTAGATGGCTATCGAAATGGGGATCAACTCAACGAGTTACCTTCTCTAGAAGGATAACTATCTCTCCTACCAACTTCGGCCACCGTCAACGCTATCATCACGCTTGATGAGAAGATATGCGCGCTCTTTCTACTACCTATGTCTTGGCCAACGCCATGGTAGCAGGCAATAGGTGGCCAACGTGGGACGGTGTGCGCGGAATGGAAGATCCTTACGAAGACCTCTCCATTCAACACCAATTGGAGAGACGCTGGGTTGATACAGTCTCGGCAAGGGCCTTCTATTACGATCCCGCAGTTTTGACCTTGTCAAGCAGGAAGCTTTCGGACCAGCAAAGCAGCGAGGATATGCTGCTGAACAAGGCCCTGATATGCGTGTTGGTACAGGCAACCCCGCTTGGTTACTGGAAGCTTTTACTTCCTGAAACCCTGCCACGTGCCGACGGTACGGATATTGCTCAAGGTTGAACTATGCAGATAATCAACGTGAACTTGACAGCAGTCCTACATCACTCCAACATGCGCTCCTATGACCTCGAAGGACCAAGGGGCTGCTAGTCTCAGAAATATACCTTTATGGATGGTGATCTATGGACTGCTATAATGACATTATTGGATTGTCATGGGTCCCGGTTCTGCTATATGCTCAGCCTTCCGCGACTTCGGAGTACGCTGACAGGCCCCAGCAAGGGTGATTGTCGAGATATCAATGCCTATGATGACAATTTTATCTCTGCACGCTGGGATCAGTATGGGTTTCTCCAAGACTATGAACCATTCCAACCCAAGATTGCAGATGTTCGTACAGACCCTGATTACCTTAAGAAGAAGTGTGCCCAGGACATCAAGCGCGATAAAGATGGACACCTTGAACGCGCTCGGAAGCGGCTGTTCATGCCCGTTGATGAGTTATCTGGAGATAAGGAGGATGGCGCTGCTGTGGGTGGTTGGCTCAACTATGTGGCCCGCTACGAGCGGTGCAACTTTGGTGAAGCAACCTTGAGACATATACTTCCTCGTGTACGCAAACGCGTATCCTATCTAAACGTCCAAGTCAACGATCCACCCGCGTATACAGGAAATCGATGCAGTCTTCTTCTGCTCAGGTTCCTGACATTTGCTCTCTTCCGTCATTGCCCATGATGGGGTCTGCTAGTGAACCCAAAAACCGACCAGCTGCTGAGCAACAGGAGCGTGAGAAACGGGAGGCAGTATTGGAATCTACCAGACTGATAGCAGCCGAGCTGGGATTCGGCCACTCGGACCATGAAGCTGTTTCCGAGGGCAAGGTTGTGATGGCACTCGCCATTCTTTGAGCCCAGTACATCGAAGCTGCCGGGGCATCGTGCATCAGATGAGATGAAGAAACCTACCGGAACGTAGCGAATGCTCGCAGATAGTTGCAGAGGATCAAGATCAAGTCTCGTGGGACTAGTATCTTTCTCTATGCGTGTCTGAGCGCAGCAGCTTCCTAGCTACAGCTAGATTCCTCCAGTTGATTAAAGGTCTTACTAAGGAATCTTGTGCAGAAGCCCTGCGATGGTGTTGCATATACTTTCGAGTACTTGGGCCATGATGCGTAAACCATAAGTTCTCTCTATATGGCATAGACGTTGCCGTATCTTAGGTTTAGTTTCGTGGGACTTGGGTAGGGTGTCCAAGGGACGGACAAGATTTGGACATGAAGCAGCTGGAAGTCGTTGTGGGACTGCCTGTGTTCCAAATGGTGATGGCTTCATGTGAGCCTTCGTTGGAAGGGTTGAACGGCACTGAAGTCCCTGTGCCGGTTGCTTTTTGGGATGGAGAAAGGCGTGCAGATGAACCCCTCCGGCGCCCAACTAGAAAACGAACTTGTCAATTCTAGAACCTTCCCATCTTCTCCGAGGAACGATGTTGGCCAGAAGACGTCGTTTTGTTCAATGACCATTTGTGCTTCTTGATTCGAGTTTCCATCTCTTTGGGTATGACTGCCGGTTCAGATCCGTCTCGTTGCTTCGCACTAAGCGCGATTTATGCCAACTGCTCGGCAAAGTGTGTGTGTGATTCCCCAATTCAACGTGTGAGCGATATGTGACTGCATAATGACTTCTTTGACAAAAGACCTTGGGGGATGGGAGGACTTCAGCTCCCCACGGATCAATGATGGCAGGTTTTGCGGCGTGGATCAAACCTTGATTCTAAGAGAGATAAGTTCAGCATCAACCGCTCTCGAGCAACGTGTCCCTCTATGCTCTCACTCGACTCGAGGTACCTGCGAGGGATCTTGGACAGCATCCTAGCTTAGTAGGTGGGCAACAGAAAAATATCCTCTAAGGTTTAGGATACTAGAAATAAAATAGCCTAAATACCTCCCTAAAATGCCTAAGATGAATAAAGTATTTCGTCCCTTACGCCTAATAGTCAATCCCTCCAACACCCTGGGGCCCAGCCCTTCAGAAACAGATTAGCAGCGATGTGCACAATCAAGTCAAAGTCAAACGCAGACTGTGAATTATCACCGGTTGTCATAAACAATATCATGGGACACATCGTATATGAATAAAAGTATATTCCATATTTCGTAAAACTAATTATGCTGGCCACTGACGTAACTGGCACAAGGCTACGCTACCATTTACATCTCGGTAGTTCACCTTTCAGCTGCAAGAATCATAATCCACCAATCCGTCTCCATTCTACAGAGTCGCGCTGAGAGGCAGGTTACGAGAGCTGCTGCCGACCCAGATCTTCTTGGCGTGATCAGTGATCACCCAGTTCTGGGAGTTGACGTCCCAGTTGCTCAGGTCACGGCGGGTGAGCTGAGCGGTGAACTTGGCGCTCTGGCCAGGGGCGATGTTCTCGAGACGCTCAAAGCCACGGAGGACACGGACAGGCTCGTTCTCACCACCAAGGCTGACGTACAGCTGAGGAATCTCGTCAGATGTGGCGTCACCAGTGTTCTTGATGGTGGCGGTGACAGTGTAAAGAACGTCCCAGAGCTGGGGGTTACCACCGGGAGCACCAGAAGAGGGAAGACGGGGCTGAGCGGAACCGTTGACAGCGTTAGGAGGCAGGAACTCCTCAGCAGTGGAACCGAAGCGACCCTCGACATCACCGGAAGCCTCTTCGGCGGAAGAAGAGGTGTTGAGGTAAGGGTAGATGAATCGGTAGAGGTATCGGATACCGGAGGGGAAAGTGTAGTCTTCCAAGTTGGTGCTGAAGTTACCGAAGGTAGGAGCGGGGATGGTCTCGCCGGCAGGAGGGCTGTAGGAGGCGTTGCTGACACGCTTGACCTCGAGGTCAGAATACTCAAAGGTGGTCCAAGACAGACCAAAACCGAACTCGTAGAGGGGAGCGTTAGAGTCGTTGGAAGCTCGCTTTCCGTTGGTGCTGGGAGATCGACGGTCAAAGTGGCGGTAGTCAATGAAGTTACCCTCAGTGAAGGTCTCCTGAGGAGCACCCTCGCCGTTGTTGGCCTCGTAAAGGACCTCGGTACCGTAGCTCTCGCGAGTGCGGCCCCAGGTGAAGGTGGAACGTCCAGGGCTGGTCTTTCCGTAGAGAACATCAGCGATAGCGTTACCAGACTCCTGTCCGGGGACACCGGCCCAGAGGATAGCGGTGATGTTGGGGTTGTTGTGCCACTCGGTCAGGAGGACAGGGCCAACGGTGTGAAGGACAACGATAGTGTTGGGGCAGATGGCGGAGACATTCTTAATGAGCTCGTCTCCGTTCTTCCAGAGAGTGAGGTTCTTGCGGTCACCGTAGTTGCCGTCGACATTAATGTAACCCTCACCAGAGTTGGCGTTGGCGAAAACGATAGCGGTAACGTTGGGCTGGCTGACGAGAGCCTGGGTCTGGGGCCACTGGTTGTTGTTTAGGATGCTCTCGTAGCGGGTGCCGTCCTCAACAGCCTGGAGCTGGATACCTTGGTCGGGAGTGATCAAGTAAGGGAAGTTAGAAGTACCAGATCCCCAAGACATGGCAAGAGTACCGTTGTCGCATCCACGGTCGCTGCAACCGTTAGGCCCGGCAGGGTTGGAACCAGCGTCTTCGCCAATGACAGCAAGGAACTTGGGCTTCTTGAGAGGGAGAGCACCGTCAGTGTTCTTGAGAAGGACAGTTCCCTTGGCGGCGGATTCGCGGATGTGACGCTTGTGGTCGTGCATAACGTTGACTCCGTGGTTGACCTTGGCGGGGTTCTCCTTGCTGTAGGTCTGAAGGAAGCCTTCCTCGTCTCGGGTCCAAGAAGAGAAGTTAATGTCGGGGAGATCCTCAACGGTCTTGCCAACCTTGAAGAAAGCAGCCATGATACGGGTAGCCATGTCGTCAATTCGCCAAGCAGGGACAGTGCCGTTGACAACAGCGAGAGTCAGGTTTCCGCCCCAGAAGCTGTAACCGCTGTCGAATGAGGTGTCTCCGGGCATGGTCATGTCAAGACCGGCGACGGCGGCAGCGGCACCGGAGTGGGTAGCGGCCCAATCACTCATGACAAAACCCTGGAAGCCCATCTCGTCCTTGAGGATTCCGTTGAGCATCTTGGAGTTCTGGCAACCGTAAGAGTTGTTGATCTGGTTGTAGGAGCACATGATAGCGCCAACACCAGCGTGGACGGCGTCGGCAAAGGGCCAGTTGTAGAGCTCGTGCATAGTCTTGTCATCGATGTTGGAAGACAGGGACTCGGAAATGTTGAACTCGCGAGACTTTTCCTCGCCGGACTGGCGGAAGTGCTCTTGCTCGTTGGCGATGTAATGCTTAGCGGTAGCGATGACTCCGGCATCCTGGATACCTCGAATAGACTCAGCCATGGCATGGCCAGCTGCGTAAGGGTCGAGAGTGAAGCCTTCCCAGTTTCGTCCACCAGCAGCATGACGACCGAGAGGACCACTAGCAGGACCGAGGAGAATGTCGATACCCTTCTCCTTGAACTCGGTACCCATCAACTTTCCTCGCTCGTACCAGAGGGCTTTGCTCCAGGTGGCACCAGCGGTGAGACCAGCAGGGAAAGCGCTGTTGTAGTCGGAGAAGCGAATTCCCAGAGGGCCATCCTGAAGGCAGAGGCCTCGCATACCCATACGAGGGATAGATCCAACGTTTCCTACACAACGTTCATTCTCCCAACTAGACAGACAGTTAGCTTGAGGTTAAAAGTGCGCGTGCTCTCCCAATTGCTTACCCAACACCGGTGGTCAAGTTGACCTTCTCCAAAAGAGTGAGTTGAGAAACAAACTCCTTGGCCTTAGCGTAGGCGTCCTCCCAGCCCGGGGCATTGGGGTTCATCCATGGCGAGGGATAGTGAGGAGGAGAATAAGCGAGGTCGTTATCGCGCGCGATCTTTTGAGTGTCAGTAGAGAGTTCAACTGTAATTCCAGAGACTGTCGCGACTAGCGACGTAATGATAGTAAAGCGCATTGTGTAGGAGATCAAGAGGCGCGTAGAAAATGAGAACAGTGGAGGAAAATAGCCGTCTACCCAAAAGAAAGTCAAGATGGCGATTTATCAATGCGAGGGATGTAAGGGAGAAGAATTGTTGTTGACTGGCAAAAGTTTGGGACGGGATGAAAAGCTTACCTTGACGCCCGCGAGAGTGCCAGGAACTTGGGGTGCAGCTGCCGCATCAGTGCCAGCAGCCAGTAGTGCGGCTGCGGCGAGCCAATTGGCCTTCATGGTGTGCTAAATATATAATATACAAATATATTAAAGCGTCTGTAAGTTATTTCGTAAGTAATTGAAAAGGACAGGAATCCTCGTTGTCGTGATCGGCAGCAAGGGATGGATGGAAAGGGAACTGACGGTGATTATTAGACTAGTCCAATCAATATATTGGAAGGCTAGTCAAGAACACACGATGTGAGGCACAGCGTGAAGAAGGGAGACGAACAAGAAGAACGAGGTGGGAATTGTTCTTCTTTTATACAACCAAAACAATGGGTGCTTGTCCTGTCCCAAGTCAAAGCACGACAAATGTTGTGGTCTTTTATGTTCCATGCATGCTACCTCAACTTGAGTTTAAGCCTGCGCCTCACCCAAATAATTACTTCCATATCCACTGTAGCGTGTCTATCATTTCCCTTCAGAGTCTAATCACACCAGAATTGTTCTGTACCGAGAAGAACATCCATGCAGAGAAAGTGAAAATCGTCATCAAAGGTGTCTCTCGTCCTCTTCCCCACAACGTTGGGCGACGGTCGACTGGAGGGTTGATCATGGCTAGGATTGGACAATTGGGCAGGGTTCTTGGGTTGATTGGAACTACCAGGTCGTGGGGTAAAAGGGCCGATATGTTGATGTTGGAAGAGGAGAAATAATGGAATCCTTCTTTCTTACAGAAAACAGACTCGTCTGATGCAGACCAAGACGTTGTATTCTTACTGGGGTGTCTTTGACGTCACATGGTCTTGATTGTTTTTACTGTTCTTACTCTGGTTGATGCCCTTTCATTCTCCCGTCTCGTGAAGCATAACAACAGTTTATGAGCAGGGATTATCATTACCTATGTCCACCAAAACAGATGATGACGAGTTTGAGTTTACTGTAGACTTAATCATGAGACTAGCAGTAATTAATCTAGTAACTAAAGAAGTGGAATCTGAGACTGTATCTCTGTAGAGAGACAAGATCCCCGAGACCAACGTTACACTACAGATCAGCTTCGTCTCTGCTTCTCGAGCTCCTCTTCGGCTCGGTCAGAAACAACCGTGATCGACATAGCTAATTTTCTCACGCATGACAATACATTAAACATTAAGTTTTGGTTCAGAGCTCAGTTTGCCCGTTGGACAAAAGTCTAATAGAGACGAGCTAAGACAATTTGCCTCATAACTTACCCTAAGCAGACCATGCTACTAACCTCTTCGTCTCTCACCTAGCTTACCGGTAAATTCGTTCTAAATTGCCGACAAAAGTACTCTGTACTCCTCATCCATCAAAAAACCTGCCTCATTCCCCACGATGCCCTTGCTCCCCGAGCCCTGTTTCTTCCCCGCATCGATGAACTAAGAACCCCTGTCAGCTTAGTCCGAAGCTATCGAGCGATCGTCTGCGTCCGACGAACCCCCGTGGAACTGCGGCCCGTTGATCCTATGATGGATTTCTTACCCATTATACCGATGTATATCCACGCGATGCCTTGTTATTATCGTGATATGTCGGTCTACAAACTTTCACGGATTGCTCGGAATCACAGCGAGGTTCCATAGTTTACACGTAAGACGTCTACAAGTGGCGCAGTTGCCAGAGTTTGGCATCAGGGACATGCACGAGGTTGGTCTTGAATCTCACCAGTAGCAGTAGCACATACATACGAATCTTGGGTGGTATGCATGCTGCACACGTTTAAAAGAACATATGTTATTAGTTAGATGACGCAGTAGCTTAATTCCTATACAGGAAGGTGCATAAGCTTTCTATGCAATTTTCATTCGAGGGATATTCACTTCCCCCAGCCATCAATGAATGCCATCATTGACTTGACTCCATTATACCCTCTTCTTCTTACGGACCGTATGACCGATATCGCACCACAATATCGTGGACCGTTTACTTCTAAAACCTCCAGTTTTTGTCTCCATACATTAATCAGTAGATGCCAGGAATGATTCGGGAGCGGACAATCTTGCGATACTCCTCCCAGTCCTTGCCATACTTTCGGTGGCACTTTTCGTCGTCGCGGCGCTCTCGGTGAATAAGAAGAATGGCAAAGTACAGGATGTAAAAGTATGTGATCAACATGCCCCATCCCTTGGCCTCACCCTGGATAACCTCACGACCGTCGCGCATCACGTACGCGCCCTCAACGTTAGCTCCGGCGCTCAGGATCTGGTAACCCGCAAGACCGGTGGGAAGGCAGTAAGGCCACGACTGGATCCAATCGCCGAGGTAGTTGATGTGTCGGGACATACCCCACCAGCCAGTAGTAAGCAGCTTGCTACCCTTCTCGGTCTGGATGTACTTGAGGTGCGAGATTCTGGGGTCGTTGGGGTTAGTGCGGAAGCGGTTCTTCTCGTTGTTGGCCGAGCGGAAGATGTAAAAGCCAAGACCAATAAGGCCGAGCATTGCAGCGAGACCTAGAGGGCCGAGGGACACGGGGTGGATGGAGAGGTAACGGGTCTGAAGCGAGTAGACATAAGGCACCCAGACGATATCGCCGAAGGCAAGCATCATACCGAAGCCATCGGTGGTGATGTCCATCGTCGTCAGAATTGCGGGCTCGTTCCACCAAGAGTCAAAGACATACAAGGCCTGGACAGCGGTGATCAGGATGGAGCTATCAGTCACGTAACCGTAGTTGCGGTACTGCTGAGCGCACCACGAGCAGTTCATGATGATCCAGCCCATCATACCAGGACGAAGCTCAAGGAACTCCTTGAGGTCAACCTCGCCGATAAGAGGGATCACAACACGAGGGTTGAGTTCGCGACCAATGAACCAATCGTACAACATGTTTCCTGAGTGGCCTCCCGCAGCAAGCTCACGAAGCTCCTTGTTACCAGCCTTGACGCTGAAGCTTCGGACGTAAACGAAAGTCGAAACGAGGTACGAGTAGATAATGTTGGCGGACAAGATCTGGATGAAGTTCTCCGACATGAAGGTCCAGACAGGGAACTCGGCGCCCTGAGCAACGGTTCCGGCGGCGAGAATCGCAAGAGTGAAGGTGCTGGAGTACAAGGCTAATAGAGGTTAGCAGGTATATCGTTGAAGCTTAACTAGAGTTGACGAACTGTTGAATCGGTAGTTGAGTCTACCACCAGAGCGCAACTCAGTACCCTCCACCTCAATCGCGGGCAAGACGCGGTAGAGGATCAGAGACAGCACATTGTATCCAATAACAGCAAGCGTTCCGTTCCAGCTAACAAGACCAGCGACTCCATTCTGGGGCCAGCCAACCTCTTGTTTGAAGGCATCAATAGAGAAGGTCTTGGGGTGAAGAAGAGAGGGCGCGGGGCATCCTGAGATATCGTTGCAGACGAAGTTGAAGACGTATACGAGAACGGGGAGGAAGAACGAGATAACAAAGGCGCCAGGACTATAATTGTGTTAGTTGAGGCTTGAGTTGAGGTTGTAGAGTAAACTTACGGGCCAAAGAACTCGTAGCCGTGTTGCTCCTCAGAAGGAGCTTGTTTAGCCTTGACTGCCATGTTGTGAATTGAGGAACAACAGTTGCGCAGTTCAAGGTTGTGGCTTAAAGGAGCTTAAAGGAGCTTATAGGAGCTGGCGAATTACTTTGCCAGAGGCTATTAAGCAACAAAACTGTTGAAGAAGACAATAACAACTTGCAAAACAGAATGCGCAAAGAAACAACCTGAACTACCAGGAGTCGTGACGAAATTACCCAGACTTTTAGTTTAATCTAAGGAGCTAGGATCTGCCGTCTTTTTCGGGTTACCCCTGTCGTATTCGGCATTGCCTCACTGCTAGCAAATCAGAGCTCTTTTGGACGGACATCGGTAACAAATTCCCCGACAATGGATGATGCTCGTGTCCGGATTAATACCTTACCCGTAAGCTTCAATAAGGAGATAACTCTGTGAAGCTCCGACCAATCATGAGCTTCAGCTTCATGCCCCTAAGGACAGGAACACAGGGACATCAAGAGCGGGTTTTACTAATTCGGGAAAGAACAGTTTGAGGTTTCCTAAATGCAGGGCCACCAACGCGTAATCAGGGAGAAGCTCTAACAACTATCTCTCGTTTCATTCTCATCGCCAATATCTGTCTCAGTTGTTTATTTCTGACTTGACGTTGCTTTGCTTTTGTTCTCTTCTACGTGATTCTGATTCATTGTCCACACTTATCCCTCCCACTTTACTGGTGACATTCATTTCATGACAGGTCTTATCGCAACCTTGACCCAACGACAGTAGATCTGTCTATTGCGAAGGAACGACATACATTCCATTCCAATCCCGACTCACTCTATAAACTTGTTTCGCTTCTTTCTTCTCTACACTCACGATACGACTCGACTTGATTCATTCGCGATGCGGTTCCAAACATTACCATTTGTTCTATCGTTAGCTGCTGCCGTGAGCGCAGATATCGCAGAGGTACCTTCGACTACAGTACCAGTTCCAGCATGCACCGCGACATCGCATACCGGTATGGGCGGCTTCTACGACCTGCGTCCGGACATGGCCGTCGTTCCCGATAAAGACACCTCCAAGTACGCCATCACAAAGGATTACACCTCCAAGGGTTACGACTACGGCAAGAACTTCACACTGAACCTCTGCGGCGCCGTCGTCGAGCCCGTCACCAATGTCATCGGCGTCGAACCTCCTCTGTGGCAGAACGTCAGCGCATATTACCAGGTCGGAGGCGAGGTCTTTTCCATAGGGTTGGTTTGAACAATACTCTCGGGTGTCCATCTATGCGCCAGGAATGCGCCGGCTAATACGATATACAGTTTCGAATCAATGGATTTGCAGAGCCGTGGGCGCAAGCTGGTTCTTCAGTACACCGGAGGATCGCCTTGCGGTGCCGACGTTAACAAGACGGAACCTATCTACAAACGATCCGCTCAGCGCGACTCTTACCTCGAAGACGAGAACGATCTTACCGCTTACACACCTGAGCCCGAGCCCGAAGAGCCCGTGGAGGAGGAGCCCAAACCTAAAGATAAGCGAAGACGCAAGTCGACCACCATCTCTTTCCACTGCGACCGAGATCCCGGCACTACCTCCGCCAGTGTCTCCTTTGTCGGCACGGACCCTGACGAGTGCGCCTACTTCTTTGAAGTCCGATCATCCCACGCGTGCGCCCACGCCGAGCCGCATAAGCCCGGTAGCGTCGGGCCCGGCAGCATCTTCGGTCTGATCGTCGTCATCGCAGTCCTCGTGTACTTCCTCGGCGGCATTTTCTACAACCGAACCGTCACGCATGCGCGGGGCTGGCGCCAGCTCCCCAACTACAGTCTCTGGGCAGGCATCTGGAACTTCATCTGCGTGCGTCAATCCCTTTCTGGTTCCTCTAAGCCCGAGCGATACTCTCCCTGAGTGTTTCATTATTTGTTTTTTTATTTAATATTGTCTCCTGCCCCCTTCATTTTTTGTTGTCTGTAAAACTGGGAAATACAACGGCGAAAAAAATACGAATACGGGGCTGACGGTGGGATTTTGCCTTTTTTCTTTACAGGAACTTTGTTTTTGCTGCTTCACGGCCTGTCTGCGACGCATGGCCTTTCGACGTGGCTACCAACCGGTGCACTCAAGTCCTAGCCGCAGAGAGCAGGACCGAGATGCCGAGAACCGGCTGATCGACCAACTAGACGAGGAGTGGGAAGATTGAGAAAATAGAATGGAGGTGTGAATGGTGTTTGTTTGTTCATGGGCTTTTAGGTGTTCTTGTTGCCTGGGTCTGCGTATCGTATATAGAAGGACATGAACGGAGTTTCAAAGGGTTGCGCAATAATGGCCATATGCATAGTACTGGGTTTCGAAAGAAAGTCTAGCACCTCAAATACACGTCAAAAGTTTATGCCATTTCTCTCTGTCTTTTAACTGAACCCGTGGTGTTATGTGGTCATGCCAATCTGTGTCTTCCGACGTTGCAAGATGCAGTTACACTACCCTAGACCACCAGCTTTTCCATCTCTCGGCCGAGTACAACCCGTTACTCCTCCGTCTACTGCTGGAGGTACTTCAGAAAGTTTGCTCAATGAATTGGAGTAAGTACCAGAATGGATCCGTGACAACACTCAAAACTTGCAGAAGCCTGAAACTTGCATGAAGCCAGCCAGCCAACTTTCTCACTTCTAACAGTTGCTTCTCGAACTATCATCTGCAGCCACAGGATCACTTCCTGTCATTTCTCAGTTGACCACATCAGCGCTGCAGCTGAGAGAGATATGCTTCAGAGGGACAGTGTCAAAGTCCAATGTGAGCGGCACGGCCCATTCCTTGACAAGTCTCTCTAGCTTTGTCTTCTCCCCCCCTTCTAACGCTTCCCTGCGACGGGGAAAAGCAAATCCACCCAAAACGGACCCTGCCTTGAGGCTGATCACAGCCACAAACGATGCAGGCGATGCCACTTAGAGACACACCATTGGTACAGCAAACGCAGTTTTCTGCAATTGCTGCTGATGAACTACTGTAGTAGCATTAGAGAGACAACAGTCGCGCACGAGTGGGGGGCCTTGAGGTTGAATGGCATGCAGAGGATAACCGAACGATGACAAGGCTACTAGCTGCTGCTGGAATGACAGGATTCTTGAAAACCCCGCTGCACGAGAGATATGACAATGGCAGTGTTGATGCAGTCTTCGCAAAAAAGAGAAAGCATCTCGCAAAAGTGCCCCCCCACTTATCGCGAAGCCGTTCATGTCCGGTCGAGTACACAACAGCAGATCGATCAGCTTGAGAAGGATCTACAGATGCAAATGCAGATCCAGATGGTCCAGGCCAAGGTTCAACCCTGCAAGCAACACAAAATATTGAGGAATCACCATTTTTACCTCCGACGCATTTATGATGCAACACCAAATATGATCGATCCTCGGAGAATACAACCCATCCACTCGTAAGTTCAAATGGACAACCCATGGACCCGGGTAATGGTGCGATTCGGATATGCAGGCGAGCAAAATGGCAGGATGGATGTAAGAGCGACATCCGCATTTGCTCTTTTGGACGAGTCGGAAAGCAAAGCAAAAAGAAATCCCTGCAAGCCTTTGTTGTCTCGATGGGCCACGTCCAGACCCGAAAAGCGTTTAGCTGTTTCTTGCCTTACAACGGTCGTCCTTGTCTCGGCCCCTGGCGATGCTTCGTAGTACAGAGCTGTCTGAGCCTGGTATTCTCAGCTCTGCTTGCTTGCCATGCCGAAATCCATGTCTGTATACCGTCTTCATATAATTCCGAGGGACAGGGTGCAGCACGAGTATTGTAAATGCACGACGTAGTACACAGCATCGCAGGACCTTTGGATCAAGTGACTGTGTCTCTCGCATGATACATCCCGTCAAACATTCGAGTGCCAAGGTAACGAGTCATGTGATGCTGAAGCAGTCCAAGGTATCTCACTGCCCTCTCGAGTCGTGGAGCTGAGGGCCTCAAAAACAGGCCTTCGCAGCAAAAAGAAAAGAGTGAATCAGCCAGAATCCCCTCGTAGCTAAGTAAGTACCTTGACAGAGTTAGCCAGTTTGCATTGTTTTCTCGAGACAAGATCAACCTCAGGGTCATGCTTCTTGTAAATGTGACACTCGCGTATTGCTTCTTACCTTTTGGAGCAAGAACTGCGTCATTGTGCGATAGAGGCTTGCAAGCTCGATGGGGATAAAGTTGATGCGCGTTGAGCCGCATGGAAGCAACGGGATCGTCTTCCGGGCAGCCATCCTGTAAGGTAGTATGCATGCTCGCGTAGTAGGGCCAGAGCTTAGGGAATTGGAATAGCCAATTCGTGTCGACAAACTTGAGAAAGAGTTCCTTGCCATGGCGGACATGCTCCGGAGTTGACGAACATGATCGTTGTGTGTTTGCGTCTCCCTTGACTGTGGCGATCGTGAAGCCTCGACTTTCTGAAAAGAGTAAATGAGATCTTCAACAAACACAATCTGTAACCCGTTGTTGCCGCCCACTCTAATTTCGCCGCGTCAGGTCTTCCCGAACTCGTCATTGCTTGGGGCCTTTGCTCCCGTCGACTGAGGCTGCCGCTGACTGAGGCCGCATCATAGTATTTCCTTAAAGGTCGAGGTGCTGCATGTTTAGTCAGTAACCGAGGTACTGTATAGAAGTACTACGGTCTGCAAGAGACGGAGAGGAGCCCATAGCTATGTGTCGTCTCATTGGGTGGCTGAGAGCACACGAGCTGAAGATAGACACTGTCTATTACCACTCCTCCAAGCCTTGCTATCTCGCACACCCTGACCTACCTGGAAAGGTGCCCCCACAACTGTAGACGACCGTTATAGCTCAAAACTGTCACGGCTGGTCTAGCATGGCATGGACCATCACACCGCCCATAGTAACATCCCAGACGCCATCGAAAGCGGCTTAGATCCCACGCGGAAGGGTGGACCAGGCTTAAGATACCGTGAAACATCCCAAAGCCGGCTATTTGGTATGCAGTCTTCGCTTAGGACAGGAAAGCGGCCATTTGGGGACCTTGCGCTAGGTATCAGGTATCTTTAGATGAAGGCATACGGACGCTCCGAGCGTGTCGTTCGATCGGGAGAAGAGGGAGGAGGCAAGATCAGATTTGAGAGGGGTGATTTGACGGGACGGAATCGGGTTCGGACTCTGAGAGTGGTCGGTCTGTTTGCTTGCTCGATTGAAGTTGGTATCGACAGGGAACAGGGCGAATAGCCCTACGGGATCTATCAATGCATGAGTTAGTTACTGCATAATCAGTGAAGCGTAAGCAGCCTGTAGACGGCACAAATTGTCGCCACTACCTGATTTACGTTGCGAAATGACTGAGTTACAACGTATGCCAGGTACCGTCATCGTCGTGATGACCGCCTTTTCTGCGTACATCAACGGCAAAATCGACTGGGCAAAGACTTGAGAGTGTGCAGTGGGGAAGTTGAAGCGAGACGCGGTGCCAATGAGGAACACAATATGCAGAGACGTTGCCTCTTGGTAACGTACCTGCATCCACCACTGCCCGCTGGACCGTTGGTCATTCTTCCCAGTGTCGAGATGACATGCTGGTATGGAACACGGTTAACCAATCATCCACTACTGGTGCTCTTGGTAGATTGCTCCTGCCTTGTCTTGTGTCCCGTGCCTTTGCACAAACCAGGGAGGTGCGGACTTGCGACCAGAATATGCATCAACCAGGACTTTATGCTATTGGCCCAAGTATGGTCACTAGCAGACAGGTACAGTAATGAAGCACAGTAGACACTCTCGTATAATGTTTTTGGTGTTTTGTTATTTTCAGCGAACGTCTGGAGTCTCCCAGCTGGCAACAACGTCAACTTTTACGCCGCTGCCTAGGGATTTTGGAATTGGACTGTCTCTTTAGGATACTCGATGAGAAGGGGCTTGACTAGATTTCCCAAGCAGTACATAGGGTCTCTCCTGCTGATACTGGGAGCAGAGGAGTGTTGTGGAAACTAATTTCAAAACGCTCCTTCCCGAGTTGAAGTGACCCTCAGCCTATACTGAAGAGGCGCTGAATCGTGATTCACTTCCTACAGGCTACGAACCTAGTTAAAAGTGAACAATCCAGTGTATCTCCATTGCAATCTACAGTGAATCATCGTGGCTTCCGCACGGGTATATCAACCTGCTTTCCCTCCAGATCGATATGTTTGTTTTTCTCCTCTGTCCATCACTTGATTTTCTGGCTTCTGTGATCAGCCGAGTTGATGACTCTGGAAAAGGAGCAAAATCTTGTACCATGATGCCCAAATGTTCTCTCAACCCAACGAAGATGATATTTTCACGCGATGACCCCAAGCTACTATACGCAGACACCGACCGAAGCAGACGTTGAAGCATCGACTCTTCAACCAACCCACACCGAAATACCCTCCGATCTATGACCCATGAAGATTATTCCCACCTATTCATTCGATAAAGATGCACCTTCTCTCATCTTCTCGAACCTCAACTTCCCATGATGGATACCAACCCCCTCCTTTCGTTGAGATGGGTCATGGGTCCAGCAAACCCAGCCCAACCAGGTGCGTCACTTTATTGTTCAAGTCCAATGGATGTACTTGCCTTTATGACAAACAATTATGCATGGCCCCTCTATTCATTAATTTTACTCTATTCCTGCAGGCGTCACTCTGAAGAGGGGCGTGCAATCAGTGGTGTGTGACCTGAGGGGACCCCCTGCCCCAAGACCAATCTTAGCTGCAGCTGCCAACCCCCCTGGTCCAGACCAGAGCTACGGTATGCATGTCACCGGCACTAGGAGCCGCAAGACAAGTGTCTATGTACCAAAATACCCTTGATGGAGTGATCGTTTAGCATACCCGTGGGTCTGCAAGTTCGCAAGTCCAGATCAAACATGCCCATGAACCTGGAATTTCCTCTTCTGGACGAGCACATCTACAAGGGGAGCGGGATATTACACATAGAGTGGCTGCTAAGTGGCGGCTGCAAAAGCCGTTGTTTCTTGTTGCCGATCTCATCTTGCAGATGTACGATTTAGGAATTGGTTGAACCCTGTTGATGCAGCCCTGAGCTCTGGACCTTACTGCCATGAACACTTGGACCAAGGGGCTCGAGTGATACTGCATTCAAGTCCCCTCTGCATGTCTTAATAGCGGTGGAATTACTGTCCAAGTTGGAGAAGAGCTCCAACGGATGTCTCTATATCAGGAGCTATTGTCCCCCTCTTTGAAAACGCTCCGAGTTATCGTTCAAACATTCAAGTCTCGACTAGCACTCTCCAATCCTATTCATACCCTTGTTAGTATCCCCCTCCTTCCGTATTATCCTTTGACTCTCCTTCTTCCTATTGGCTCTGTTTGCCAAGTTCGCATGAGCTCATACCTACTTAGTGCAATTTACAACGAGGAGTTGTTGACAGTACCCACAACATTCCCAGTTTGGACGAACTTGAATTAAGGTCCGACGCTATGGCTCCTATTCATCACTGGCAGCGTTCTTCAACAATGGAGCTTCAAGTGCCAGAGCCATGGAGCTCACCTCCAGGACCAAGCTATATTTCTTCTCCTCTGTCCACGATTTTCTTCTCCCAACCTTCTCCCACATCACACTTCTCTTCATCTTTCTCCCCACAGACATCATCATCAAGCAGCAACTCCTGCTTCGAATCAAGCTTCTACATCAAGCAAGAGACTCCCGAATCTACAACAAGCCCTTCTATCAAGCAAGAAAGTCCGGCACCACTCCTCCCAAGCTCCACTGGTCGTTCCTGTTACGAAGGTATGTTTGACATTTGCTTACTTACTTCTTTGCCTCGCAAGAACCTTTCAGAGCTGACTTATGAAAGACATACACATCCAACACGAACTCCTGAAGACTCTACAGGATAGCGACAAAATGGCCCCATACATGTTTGAGGATCCATTCCAGGCCGGCATCAACCCCTACATGGGTGCGGGTTTTGACGCTTCCCTCCTGGGAAACATCTCTCTACCCTATGGAAACGCCCACTATGTCCCTAATGGGATCACCTATCTTGCCGACAGCCTTTCCTACGACGTACCTATGGGCGTCAGTCAACCCTGGGGCGTCGCCGACTCCCTTCCTGCCGGTGCCACCTACGGCTTCCCTACTGGCATGAACCAATTCCCCAATGCCGTCAACTATATTCCCAACGTCGGCAAGAATGTCCTCCCTGGCCGCGTTCAGGAGCCTGTCTGGGCTCAGAACTCCGAGCCAGCTCAGCCTGCCGGTGTCGATGCTATCGTCAAGAATCGCGAGGCCTGCTTGCCCGAGGAGGCGCTCAAGGCTGCAGCTACCATTCGAGAGAAGTATCCGCAGGTACCAAAGGAGGTGTACGCTTCCTTCCTGATCCCACCGCCCAAGGGCGATAGGGTTGCCAGAAACGAGTATGCAGACCGAATGAGGGAGTATAAGATACCGCATGGCCTGATCATCAAGCTCGGGCAAATGGACTGTGCTGAAGCAACTCTCCGGGGGGGCCTCCGTAACAAGAGGCTCCCGGCCAAACAACGACCTCGCAGCAGCGACGATATCTGGAATGACCAATATGTAAGTTGATACAAGCTTATAACCTCAGACTTATACTAACGACTTGATTCGATAGGTCGTTGCTCTGCTCTTGGCTGTTGACGATGTGCAGAGGCGTATGGGTATTCCCAGGTGCAGCACCCATGGCATCGCCTGGGAAGAAGTCACAGATGGAATGCACAAGATAATGGGACCGAAGAGCTTCAAGTTTTCCTCAATTGCAGTGTCCCGTCGCTACAAGTGCCAAGATCCTTTTGAGGGTGATGTAGAGAAGAAGAACAAGAAAAAGGCTATGAAGAAGAAGGACTGAGTGCGGGGGACAATTTGATCATGCATTCAAGGCGTATAGGGACAGGGTATACCATGGGCATATTGCCTTTTGCTTTTTATCGGATGATGACCACCGAATTAATGTTTTATGAGGATAGTTATAGATGGTCAATGCAATGAGCAAGAACTGGCTTACGCTTCGCTTTCCGTTCCTTTGGTGACATGCTGACTTCTTAACCCCTGATTCCCTGATTCGTATGTGGTTTCGAATACTCTATCTGTGAACTATTTGCCTTGTGTCTAGAAGACTCTTGACCGCCGTACCACCTAATCAAAGACGAAGAGTCTCTCCATTATCAAACGTCGTCGGTACACCAATATCTCGAAGTACATTATGCAGCGCCTCAGGATCCTGCTTCAATGCCTCCCACTCCAACTCGTTCTTGACCAAAGCCGTACCAGCGAGCAGGGTACCATTGAAGGCCAGAGTTCCCAGGACATCGCCATCTTGGCTCTGTAGCTTGACACCTTCCGCTAGACGAGGGCAGACTACGAGCGTGCTCTTCGTCATGGCCATGTTGTAGCTTATCCGCGTGGGACCGTCGCTGGGTGCTTCGTCCGCGTGCATGGGGTCTTTGGTGTAGTATGCCACAGCACGGCAGGCCTTGCGGTATAGTCGGAGGTAGATGGCGTGGAGATCGGTGCCAGACATGTCTAGGTTGATTTCTTCAGCGAATGTAGCGAAAGGCGCAACTTTCATCTTGAGTTGGTCAGCAAGAACAGTCCAGGGTGTATCGACTTCAAAGCCATCCTTCATCCTTGCAATAGGGAGCAACTGGATATGTCGATGAGGTTGACTAGCACCAGAGTGATCACCGCAGTTGAAAAAAGCATATAAACCATCTCCGCCGCCCAAGGTTCCATCTCGATGACCCTGCTCAGCTTCAGTGCGTCTTGCAGCTTCATATGCCTCGATACAAGCCAACGTGGCTTCTAGATCAGATTCTTCGAGGACATGAGTCTGAGGCTTGAATTCTTTGGTAGCGAGGATGAAGTGCTCAGGAACAACGGCGAACTTGTTCAGGACGCAGTAGTGAGAGGGACCGAGGTCTGTGACTTTCAGAGCGGGAAGGGGATTCTCGAAGGGATCAAAGGGCTTTTGGGGCTTGGAGATGTCTTTGGGTGGTGGTTTGGGCTTGTTGGCTAGGGATGGAGAGAATCGTAGTTGGAACTGTGATATCCATTAGCGTTGGCTCTGTATAGTTGTCTGAGATTTATCAAGCTGAGATAGACTGACTGGGATAGAGTCGACATTGAGAACCGTAACCTGAGTGGGGAAATAGTGCAAATCGCCCTCTGACCTGGCCTTGGTAAAAGTCGACTTGACTAGTTCTGGGAGATTTGAAGGGGCTCTTATACGAGGCATTTCGAACAAGTTGTCTCAGTGAGTCTGCTGATGATGAAAGTAGATTGCATACGTTTAACTTCTCAAAACTTGGAAGTGACTGGCTGGGCTTGTCAGACGTTACTGTAGTGGATCAACCAATGATGCTCCGCTCTGGTTGGTTGCGGAACCTTGTCTTGTTGCCGCAAATCCCGGACCTAGCTTGGCCAAGCTTCCTGTGGCTTTTCTTTGTCACCAACAACTTGATTTCTGAAATCTCCCAAACTTCTTTTTGAAAAACAGCAAGCAGATGTGAATTTTCTTTTGATTTTCACGAGTCACTTCAGACTTGTCTGAAATCGAAAACTTGGCCGACAAATGAGGAGTTACAGTCACTTCTTCACAGTATGTTTGGCTTTCTCTGAGATTGAAATCATGTGAATGTGCGTTGCTGACTTTGATTTAAGAAGCTACTCTTTCCCTTCGATTTCTTTCTTCTTCTATCATCTCGATGTACATCGAGCTATATATACCAAGATGCGGCTGCTATCGCGCTCTCTGCCCCTTACAGCTAGGGTTAAAGCCTGCACAAGATCACGAAGTCCCTTGCAGACAAGACAAATCTTTTCTGCCTCTGGAGAATCATATGCTATATAATAGTAAGTCAAGAGCTGTGCCTCGTACAAGATCCCGATCCGCTAACCATAGATCGCAACGGCCTAGTCACTTCTCAAAGGTTGACTGTCATCGTCACTGACCAGAATCGGAGTGACTGCTAGATAGGCACTTCCGGAAACCAGATCTGGTCGAATGTCACATCGGCGGAAGAAGTAGAGACTTCGAGAAGTATTTAATGCTGAACCGCCGATGTGACATTCGATCCGCCCACGCTTGGCGTTCCTGGCGGGTCCCGTTCGCCCAAGGTAGAGAAGACTACCAAGGATTAAGAGTCCGAGAAGTTCTCTGAATATCTTGGTGAACAGCCTGGGAATGAGCCCCCTGATATATGCTGATATATGCTGATATATGCTGCCCCATCTGCATTCGCAACCGGACCTGCAAGACAGTCCTCCGCGAGCAGGCAAAGGCCAAAACCAAAATCAAGATCAAGGCTAAAGGTATCAACGTCCCCAAGACTGATCATCCTGACGAGATCTGAGGCAAAGCCTGGGAGGATGGCACCGGCCACTACACTATGAAGCTTTGGGATGGCCACCTCCATTCAGGCGTCGCCGATAACGTCTGGTACTTCAAGAGCCTCAGCTGCCACGAGATCGCGCTCTTTGAGACGATCTACGACGACGGCGGGTGAGCCTACTGGACCACAGCCCGGTGAATGGGTATTCACCTTCCACGTTCTTAGCGTCGAGGTAATTAACGGGGGCGGTCTACGGATGAAAGGGTGCGAGTAAGTAACCAGACACCAGTCTTTATATCCCCAAGAGTCAACTTACTGACGTAACCCATAGCTCGAAGCCAGAGCCACAACATATTGGGCTCTTGTGTGAGGTGGGATCGTCCGAAGAACATTCGACCCAAAGCCAATCCCGGCAACGGCGGAAATCCTCCCGTGGAACCTTTTCTGCTATGAACGAACGGCATCAACAGCAACCGCGGCGTCTGCGACAATATCTATATATTATATATACTATACACGGATCAAACAACAAGACCGCTTCTCGCAATACCCGGTCTTCATGTTCACTGGCAAGAAGGTCCACATCACCTCATGCTGGATTTCCTATTTCCCGCCGCTTGTACTCTACAAGTACCCCATCGTCGGCTACTTCCACTACGACGACGTTAAATGGGATCGTCTTGAGAACATCCAGCCCAGAGACAATCTCGGGAACGGTGGCAATGCGCCCGTGACTCGTCTTTGCCGCGACGACTTCGAGATGCCACTCCTGCTGAGTGGTCCAAGGACCCATAGCCCGAAACCCATCTGGGAAACCTACTACACTCTAGCAGTGTCTTGACCGCGGTGAAGATGACGATGAACAGCCCAAGCGAACTGCCTTCCCCCCGCTATCGAAGGCCTTCGCGCCACCTGGAACCGGCCGGTCTTCAATGGGCGGTCGGCATGAATACCCCACTATTCCGGCTCCAGTCCCGGTTCTGAAGCAGGAAGCCACCGCAAAGGAGTCTTCAGGCGCGGTCTGCAAGATTCCTGCCCTTGTATGGTGCGCTGCACGTGTCCAAGATCTGTGTCGCCTGCGAAAGACCTTCCGTCCTTGAGCCCGCTGACCGGACCTAACAAGGCCGAGCCGACTCAGTCATATGGCTCTTACACAGCACTGACCACCAAGGATGATGGTACTGATGAGGAGGAAGACGATGATGAACAGTGGGGTGTTTAAACGATCTCAACCACAAGTTGGTATCCTACCCTCCATCCACGATCGACATCTTTGACAATGCCTTCCACCAACGAGAACGGCGCTCGACGCAGCAACAAGAACTTTGGCAACTGCGGTAACTAGGCCGTAGACCGGTCTCAGGATACTGCTACTGCTCGAAGTCAGCAGCGAGCAATGTCTTGAACTGTCTCCTCCCTCGGGAAGACTGGACTGCGCCGAGATATCTCATATATATATATATTAGAGCCGGTCCATACTCTTTCGACCTCTCCAGCTGACTACCTCTTGTCACATGCGAGTCAAGCATGTCTACTGCCGCTCACACCAACACCAACACCAACACCTGCAACAAGTCACGCACTATAAATACTATACCCGACGGTGTAAGCTTGCGCTATAAGACGTCTGCTTGCCAACAGACGGAAGCGACCCGAAACTTGCACCGGAATTAGTAGGCTGGTACGCTGCATGTTCACCTCTCACAGGCAACAGAGTTCGCAGCAGGCCTTACGCCTACCCAGATCTGTCACTCGTATTGCGATCCGTCCATCACATTTGGCAAGCAGTTTGCAGCAGCTCTTGACTTTGAGCCTAAGCGTGCTGCCCTGGTAAAGTTGTTCCAGTTCTTAGGCTGTAGCCTTATACAGTTAACGTAAGTAAACGCTCTTCCCTCTTCTTATTCGTACTAACATTCTGTGTCCAGCGAAGAGACGGCCACCTTCATATTCGCGGGAAAAGACACGCCTCCCAACATGACCAAACTGGTCTGAGAACTTCGGTTAGGGCTGCTGTTGAAGAAATAATGAATCGCAATGTGAGCTGGGCTTCAATGCTGCAGAGTCGAGATAGGCGATCAAATTTGCTACTGTATACAATAAGGGGGGAGCGGGGGTACGAGGCTTCCACGGCTCAAGCCTGAGCTATTGCTTGATGAGCCTAGGCATCATTCCGGCTATTCAACCTCCGGATTGCACGGACAGATGCACACAGTTGGACACGTTTACCCAATGGAACTGGAAGCATTGTGGAACAGACCGGTCTTCAACATGTTTGAGGAACACGTCCCAACTGGGGCGTTTGAAGTACCA